AATTTCCAGTCAATAAATTAAAATAAGCCGCGGGTATTAGTCACTACCAAAAAGTTATAACCTACGCAATTTTACCATAGTAAAATAGATGATCGACCATTAGAACTGTTTACTGGTTAGTAGATACTCTAAAAATCTAATACACAAGTATGACACTGTGCATTTCAATAATACTAACAAAATTATGTATTAGTTTTTTTTCTACAATTATTATTTATTACTATTAACTTAGACAGTGGAATCCCTCGAAGAAAATAATCATGCAGGAGTGGATTACGGCTCTTGGAAAATGTCATAATAAGACATTTTTCAACATTTAATGACAGGCCGAGGAGATGACTACAATTAATAAATTAATTAAGCTCAGTTTGTAGGGGACAACAGTCCACATGATAGGTAATACTAAAGACGATTTTTGTGTCGTCCGCAAACAAAACGAACATCACGTGTTGCAAAACTTCCTCTTATGTGATGACGAAAAGAGAAGAGGACTAAGGTGGCCTGCTATAAGACGCCTGAGGAGATAGTAAAAGGTTCAGAAAACGCTCCGTGAGCTTTAGTGCATAGCATTCTATCGGAAAGATAAGATGTGATCCAAGTGATTACAATGGCCACGATCAACAAAATCGAATGCTTTTTGAAAATTGTGAAGTTAACATCTACTTGATGGCTCTTATTAAAACTGTCAGAAATATAGGATATAAATACGACATCACTAGTTGTTAAAGACTTGCCAGACCAAAACCCATGCTGCTCGTCTATGAAAATATGGCTCAGGCTGTTTTTAATAAAGTAGGCGTTCTAACAAATTTGCTAGGCGAGGAAGTATGGAAATTGGGCGGTAATTAGCGTCGTTAGTTGGGTCACCGATCAGTTTTCCAAATATTAAGGAAAATAACCTCATCAAGGGAACACCTAAATACGAGTAGAACTGGATAAAAAAATAGAGTAACGGCAGTGATATAAAACTAAAGTGAAGACGCCCTCTGGCCCAGAGGACGAATTATTTCTCAACGGTTAGGTTAGGTTACAAAAAATGTTTGCAGCTCTAGCAGGTGAAACAGAAAACTCGTTACTCAAATTAACTACAGAGGGGGTAGGAGGCATACGTTTAAGTTCTTCTAAATATTTCAAAAACAATTTTAGTGGAAGCAAACAGCATGTTTTCAGTATGCTGGATATGCGATCGATGGTTTGCTTTGTGGAGTAGTCTGCCAGATGTGCTTTTTTTTGAGAAGTATTACATTTTCAGGTCGACAGAGACCTAACTTAGGTATTGTGTACGATTTTTTCGGTTCAAACATATTAATAGAATTAAAAATCGCATCATTAAAAACCGTGGCAGCATAATTAACTAAGTAGCGAGAAAAGGTAGCATGCTAGTTGAAAAAACTGACATAGAGGTATAGTCCCCAGATTTGAAGTCACGGCGCATAATTAATTAGAAAGGTTCGAGTAATGAGTAGTTGAGAACAGGAACTTCATGAACAAAGGAGGATGGTAGGAGTCAGGGAGATACAAGAGGTAAGATTGCCTGTGTGATTTTTAGGTTATATGTACAAGAAAATATTAGGTCGAGTAAGCCATTTTAAGCGCTACCAACGGTATTTAACTGAAAAAGGTTTAAGAGAGAGAGGGAGTCAATAAAGAGGAAATCTGAGTAGGATTGCCAGAGAATTATTTCGAGAAAATAAGTAAAGTGTATGTTTCGCTATTTGTTATACATTGCTTTTTGTAGCATTTTTCTATATTTAGTTTAAGTTTTAAACATAAATTGTGGAAGCGTCATTGTTTGATATCTTTAGAGGACGCTACCCACCCGTAATTTATCCACGAAAAATGGTTTTTCGGGGGACAAGATTGTGAGGGCGGTATTTAGAGTAGCCGTATACAATTTTCACAATGGATAGAAAAGAACTTTATCTACGGGGTAGCGTTTTTAGTTTTTTGATAACTTAAGCACAATCAAAATTATTCATTCGTAAATATTCATCATTTTTTCCTTTTTTAATTTGTTTATAAAAAAATATTAAGTATTGATATTAAACAAATTAAAACGCTACCACATAAATAAAGTTCTTCCCTATACATTGTGACAATCTAGTAAATTTACTGTTATACTGGCCGTACATACTTGTCCCGCGCAAAGCAGTTTTGATGGGAAAACAATAATTGTAATTTATCTTATAGAAATGATTGTGATAATCTTACAAAAAACATGTCAACCAACAAAGTACCCTCATTACTGTATTAAAAAGTATACATTATAGTTCAAACTCTAATTTAAAATTGTTTGAAAAATTGCCTATACTTTACTCCTTAGAAATGGTCTGGGTAGCGTCCTCTTAAAGTCGAGTGCGTCGTCTGATAATCTTGCCCTCTAGCTTGGCTGTAGTCGCGAAATTAATACGTGCACTAAATCATAATTTTTTTTCAATCTCCATTGCATGTGTGGGACAAGGCGTAGGTATAGTTAGATGCAAAAAAGCAGTTGAGTAGGTCATAAACTCACGTTGAAAAATTATTTGTTTTTTTAAATCGCTTTGTTTATTATGATTAGTTCTTCTTCTTCAAACGACCCGGAGATTAAAAGTACTCTATTCTGCGCACTGTTGTAACTTGTAAGGCTTTCTCTGGAAATTGAATTAAAAATAATACTTTTTTTCCAGAACATTAAAACTTGGCGCAAACTAGTTATTAAACATACTCATTATTACTTAATGGAACAACAATAACTGTTCTTAGGATAAAGTATGATTAACGTAGTACAATATATATATTATAAAAATGTAAAAATGTTTTTTTTATTAGAATGGGACAACAAATATCTGGATTTTACCAATGAAATTGTATTATAGTTATTTAAAATTACTTTAAACAGTTAAACTTAAAAACAATTTACAAATACATTATACAAAAATTTAAATGTCTTGTTCAATCTATTATGATTAAAAGTGATGACACCACATTTGTATAGGTTATAAGTTTATAACAGGCAGTCACACTGCCTATTTACTAACCATAATTATATATTTTTTCCACTAAAACTGTTACTAAAAACCAAGTTAGGATATTAAATTTTGCCTTTTCCAAAATCAATAAATATAATATTTGATAGAAATTGTCTTATTATACATATTTAGACTAACTTTTATCTTCAATTTTGTTTGTATAGTTTAATAAACGACCTATTTCAATCACGGTTATAATAACCAGTACGTATAGCGCCAAAGCTACTAGGTTGACTATAAATGTACATCTCCTGGGGCAGTTTTGAGACCCGAAGAATGTGACACACAGCTTTTAAGGAAAACTAAAAAGGCAAACTTGTATAGGTGCCATAAAAAACATTTTTTTTTGTAGGGGCAAAAATTGAGTTCTAAACTTTTGTAACTTTCTTTTACACATAAAATAAATAAATAATATAAAACAACTATATAATATAGTTAACTAATATAGTCTATATTAGTTAAAACAATTTTTTAATGAAAACCTAACAAATTGTCCTTCTATAACCACAACAGTACGATTTAAAACTAAAATACAATTTAGACATTTGTTCAATACATGCAACAAAAAGTGACTTATATGAAAGTTATATTTTTATAATTTAATTCTACGCAATATCACATTTAAAATTAGTTATTAGCTATTTATTCAGGAATAAAGTTTAAAACATCTCTCTAGACATTTTTCATTCATGTTTTTACTCTTGAGTTCTTAAACACTTTTGAAATTCTGTTAAATTACCAGACCTTCAGTATACACCTTTAATGCGTCTTGCCGCGTGTACCCTCTGATGATTAAATTTTAAATGTACAGTACGTCATTATCTGTTACACTGACATAAACGGTTATTTTTGAACTGATTAGGAGATTAATATTCAAACAATACCTAGACATATACTACGTTTGAAAAAGTTATGTTTCACATAGGAACACCATACCAGACATTTAGCCAACTGACCTCTAGATATTTATTTATTTTTTAAACCATTGCTTACTAAACCCGTAAAGTAAGCAGCACTAGACACTCGCTTTTTTAATAGGTAGATCGTTTCTGACCTGGCAGATAGCTAGACTAACGGCTAGACACTGATCTCCACAACCCACTCGGAATCTGTGACCTACCCGGTCGCCTGTCAGCCACTAGTATTTTCTTAAAAAAAAAAAAAACCGTTGTAGACCGTAATACACACGTTTTTCAAACATCATAAATCATAATATTAGATTAAATTGTATAATTTAGTTAATTCTTCGGAGTTGTAATTTATTTCCATTAATGTCGTGTCGCTAACTACATTCTTCGTACAATATGGTTTGAAATTTAAGTATTTTACTATATTATACTCCATTTTTACTTAAAACTGTATATTAGCTATTATTAGTATAACATTTGTTTATTTTTATTGGTACATCAGTTATTAGTGCTAATTATATACAGTAGATCATCTTCTTTAAGTTACCAAAACCATAAGTTTTAGAAAAAAAATGTAATTTAAAGCCGTTATAATGTTTACTTATCAATAAACTCTTTAACTATTAGTAGTAATGTTTGAATAAACACAAAAATTAAGACATTTTATGTCGTATCAGTATACACAGTATAAGTGTACAACTTAAAATGTTATAAAATATATATCCTAAAAAAGTATTATATAAAATATAAATTATGGACACAAGAGAATTACTAAATTATTCTTAGAAAGCCAAACCAAGCAAACGTACCATATTCAATGAACGATAATGTCCATTGTACGCATCAATCAATATTCAACTGTTTACTATGAAGTTATGATTAGTTTATAACTTATATACCGATATACGTAAAGTATACAATATAAAATACACCGAATATTGTTTTTAAATTACAAATTATAACTTATATTTCGAAAAAAATTGAATTGTTCATTACATTTATCATATAATCTTTAATTATAATTTATTTTTTATCAATATACAACACAATCGTTGATGATTTTATTTAAATTAATAAATTTAATTTATAGCTTATACTATTTGAAAATGTATTGATATAAAACTATCAATTCGTATGTCTTTAAAAAATAATAACATGTATTCCGTAAAAATAAAATAGAAATGTAAAAATGAAAACGTAAAAAAATAAAAAAATAACAAAAAAAAAAAATAGATTTTAGATTAAAGCTATTTTTACAGGAACTTTTAATACATCACATATATTTCACAATTTGGTTCGCTAAGTAGAATTCATTTACATATTGTTTCGAAAACCCTAACGTTATTTCCAATGGACTGGTTCGAAAATCCACTTTTGACTAGCATGGTCAACACAATCTTTTAGCACAATGCTTGATTCACTGGTAGGCATATCCAAGCACAAGTTGGTCTCTAAATGTATTAAGCTCATTGTCTATAATCAAACATTTTTAATTAAACTCTATAAAGACTTGAATGAGCATTTGTGCCTATTTCATACCTCTGTGTCGTATCTCCAATTTTGACGTTTTTGTCCAGTACAAGCAACAATCCTAACTTTCAGCGTCACATCAGCCGTTTCTAGGTCTGGTGTATCCAAGCATACAGATTCATCAGTCATCAATGCTCCAGACCATACCTTGGAAGAGAGGCCTTCCGTTGGTGCCATGACGAACATACGCGTTAAAGCAGCCCGTCCTTCGACATCGCATGTACTAATCAATACTGGACCCATAGGCTGGTTTAATGAGCCACGTCCTGTGGGCTTTTCAAGGCATTGGTTGGACAACGTGTTTTTTATCTAAAACAAAAACATATTGTTATGACTTATGCTTAATTTTATATTATTAAATATTATATAACAGAACTGAAGTTCGTTATAGTAAGCTACAGTATAGTATAGTTGTTATTCTTTTTTTAAAACTCATTATAGGCATTTTTTTTAAAAATAAGGTATTCCTAATTGAAGACAGTGATTTACATTTAGAAATATGTAATACTCCATTGCAAGTGTACGAATTGTTATAAGGAACCAGACGTTCAGCCTAGAGTTGTTTCGTGCACAAGACTCATTATGAGTATTGTCATTACCTTCCCGAAAAACCGTTGGTCAGTAGGCATAAAATGTTCTGGCCATACGTTGTCCAAATACCATCTAAACCCTTTGCATTGCAACCGATCTCTAAGTTCCAATCTAGTTCTGATCTGTTGCTCATCGCGGACTTTTATGGCTTCTACAACAATCGGCAAGAAATTAAATCAATTAATATGTCCAGGTAAATTGAGATTTATGCATACCAGGATTGAATTTAAAGTAGAACTCTTGCCATTCGTCCATCCACACCAAGGCCACTCGTGCCAAGTTGGTATAAAGTATTCGAGACACACCGCCAGGAAACGTATACGGAGACGATTTACGGAATATATGTCCAACGTGAGAACACGGAGCTATCTCAATGCTACCACCACATTGCCAAACCTGCACAAAAAAATAACAATAGTAATCATTCAAACAAAACATTTAGACACTCCAAAAAACGTACCCTAAATGACAATTCGAGATTTTCTCCACCCCAGATTTCCATTTTTTCATCGTAACCTCCCAACTCAAAGAAATACGATTTGTCCATTGCGAATAAACCACCAGCCATCGCAGGGGTCTTAAACGCCTGAGTTATGTCCTTTTGTCTTCTAATGATATCAGGAGTGGAGCGCGTATACCAGCGGAAATGCAAATCCCAGTTGAATGCACCCCAATGCAATTCAAAGCTCCGAACGTAAGCGAACGTCTCATCACTTATTATGTCAATGACAGGACATACAACTCGTTTTCGGTCCTCTGCCACTCGACTGATAAGACTTTCCAACCATCCTGATATATATTAATATTTTTATTTGTCAGATAATTATATTTACAACTTAACTACTAAAAACCATTAATTTATATTCGCTTCTCATTATGTCTAAAAAAAAATCATGTTTAACATTTTTTTTTGTAAATTATGTAACACTTAATAAACAGAAAAATATGTTTGTAGAAATATAAAAATTAGTTGAAATTTGTGTAGGGTTTGTTTGAAATATTTAGATGGTTACGGTTACAGTTATCTATGTTTACTATAGGCTTTGACAACGTTTCGGAAGCCTTCATCTTTAATCTACAAGTATGTATTGTCTGCTAGTTACGCGTTGCCCGCTCCGCTGCTGCCTGTAGTGAGCGTAGACTGAAGAGTGAAGCGTTGCCTCTGTAGTCGTAGTTTATATATTACCAATGCCAATGCGTGTTCTATCCCTACTGTAATTTTCTTACCACCGCCTTTTTGTTTGTCATTCACCACTGCTCGTTCTACCGCTGCCACCGGTTTCTCCTTCCTAATGTTCTCCCCCCTCTCTATCCCTACCCTTATAAACAGTTCACTCAACGTTTATGTCAGAAAAAGATCATCTTCTTTTGATTGCGGCAAACATTGAGAAGGGTCAGGAAGGGGAGCGAACAACAAGTAACCAGCACACAACCCAGCGCCCTGAAGACAGCGACCCTTTTATTTACAGTTATAAATTTGTAAGAATTTTGTGGGCATCTTTCAATTTTTTTTAAATTCTTTCATTCTTTAATGGTATTTTATACAACAATTTTGAAGTGTCAACATACCTATGGTGCATTCGCAGTGGGCATCGAGGAACACTAATACTTCGCCGCTTGCTTTTCGAGCACCCATCAAACGGGCTTTGATCAATCCGATTCTATTTTCCGAACGTAAAATATGTACAGGAATAGGTAATTTGGCAACGTATTCATTTAATTCTTCACCCAAAAAAGCTGAAATATTTATTACATAATATTTTTAGTATTTCAATATAAGTGTTGTAAGAGCATCGGTAAATTTACAAGCAAGATGTTGTAATAAACAAATTCAAAGTAGCGCAGTTATTATAATGATAAGCAAAAACATAAAATAACAGCATCATTAAAAAAGCAACATACCTATTTAGTTTTAATTATTCTTGCAAACCTATAATAATTATATATGATTCATTTTTATATAATTACATTTCCATGTTAATATATTCCAAATAAGTTTAATAGATCTAGGCTACTATTTTATATATTACAGATTTAAAATTGACTTATAGTAGCATACACAATACCAATATTAATTTACTTTTTTTTTTATCGCATACTTCACTACTACGAGTTATAAAGATTAGACCACGGCATATATTATCAATAATATGTATAATAATAAATAAATAATAATTACACGTTAGAACATACTTCGAGTGCTGGCATCGTCGACTAGAATTATTTCTTTAAGAAGCGCCTTTGGAGAACGGTTAATAACGCTATGAACAGTTCTCAACAACGTAGACCAAGCTTCGTTGTGGAAGACAATTACTATTGAACTAGACGGCAAGCCATCTATGATAATTTTTTTCAGTCTACACCTATTTGAGCAAATCATCAGTGTGAGTACAACAGATATGTTCTTTTAAATGACATTTGGCAAAACAATTACATTTTTTTCCGGACATCCGGAAGCGACCTGTTGAGCGGTATTCGGTCACTTGCCATTAGGTTGAATCTATTGATTCTATAGAGTTTTTGCATTTGCAAAGACAAATGTGGTGGTATGACAACTGGGACTCCGTCTTGGCCTTCCCTTGGTTTTGGGTCAAACATGTTTCGATTGAGCAATTCTGAAAAAAACACATTCAATTCGATCACGTACAAAAAACCAGTTAAAATTAAAAAAAACACGGGAAAATATTCAACAAAAAAAAGTACAATAAAGAACGCTATTACAATGCTGTTGCTGTTTTATCTTTGGGGATTTACATTTACAATCGAAAAGCAAAAAATATTGTCACGGCATGGTCCATTTCACAATCAAATAGCCAGAACTCTAATAAGGTGTAACAGAAACATGGATCATTGCAAATGGCATCGCAAAAATCGGAAGCGGTAACGCTCACGAGGAGATGGGCATACTAGAACCCACAATTAAAAATCGATAGGTATTGCATTCGAAAATGTCCCACGCATCACCAACATGGGCGAAACTTGCATTCAAGACGGTAACAAATAGGATAAGTTAGTCCAACGTCGAGTAGCCCTACGGCTAATCAGAGCCTACCGCACCGTGTCTGACGATGCGGCCCCGATGTTGGCCTGCATGCCACCAGCGGACTTATTAACACAAGAGAGGGTTAAGTTTCGAAAGGTAGAAGTTACCACCCGACTTTCTAACAGCTAGTGAGTGCCAGGAAAGGTGGAGCGCTTGACCTAAAGGTAGCTGGACTAGACGAATCTTGCTAAGGGCTGGTCCGATGGATAGGGAGACCGAACCCATTGGTCACGTTTCACCTAACACAAGTGTTGACAGGTCATAGGTGCTTCCAAGAGTACTTGTAGAGGAGGGGAATAGCTCGGAGTTCACAATGTGTTTATTGCCATAGCCCGATGGATACTGTGGAGCATACAGTGTTCAACTGCGAGCATTGGGCCCATTATATGACAGAACTTTATCAACTCTTGAGAAGACCACCAAATTCGGAAGATTCGGAAGATCTATTGTGCGGTCCTAACGTGGAAGTGCTTCCAGAGGGTAGTCATGGGGACCACCTAATGGAGGCGTCTGACAAAGCGCGGACAGCATTCGTCAGCATAGTGGGCATGATCATGGATACGAAAGCAAAAGACTGAAGAGAACGGGAGCGACTCCTTAGAGGAAAAGTGACATATTAATGTAATAATTGTAAATAATTGTATAAAACCGGACATGTAAATGAAGAACACAGGGTAAATAGGGTAGTAGTCAAAGTTCGCGAATTCCTCTCCCTCTTACATAAGAACAAAAAAAATATTCTAATACAAATGTATTTATTTAAACAATCTATTGACATAAATAAAAAAAATTAATGGCATATATTGAAAATGTTCATAAATGGACTACTACCCTTTTTCCCACCACCCACAGGGGTAAAGGGGATTTTTTTTACAAAAATAGTATTTATATATATGTACATATGTAAATAAACGATGGCTAATGAGGGGAAGTCATGTGATCAACAGTTCCCCCTCATTGGATCTGTATTTTTTTTTTAAATAGCCAAATTAGCAATTACTTTAAGGTTTAGAACTTTGATTGCCACACGTATGAATTACGGGTTCGAGTCTCATTCGTCAAAAACTTTTTGCAATTTTAAAAAAAAAATAAAAATAATTTTAGGGAAATATAAAACTGGATTAGAAAAATGTTTCATAAGAATATAAATATTTTTATTTAGAATATAAAGCATCTACTTGTAGGTATGCTATAATTAGAACAGACAAGAAGTGTTGTCCACTCCCCACTGATGTTTATTATTGAGATTGTATACTATATTGATATAAATATTAATATTAAAATAAATTACTTACCTTCAGTGAGATTCGCACTAGAACCAACATTATTAGCGTCTCCCAGATAATATCCCACGACAACATGAAGTCCTCTGCGATCAATATACTCCTGTTGATCTCTTTTTAATCTATAACAATAAAATTATTATAGATATTGATGTACTGCATTATACAACTATCAAATACAACTAATACTACTATTCGTATTAATACTATATACCCAAGTTCCCACGATAAAAATGTTATTTAAAAACTGCATCCTAATATTAAATGTGAGTGGCAGTTAAAAATAATCTTAAGATTCAATACATTTTTACATTAGTCGTTCATAATAAATGAAAGGTAGGTTTTTTGTTATCCAGATATCCTAAACGTTAAATAATATATATTTCATATAACATATTATTGTATAAATTAAAAATATGGTAAATCGTGAAATAACTGGTAAGAAGTTGACAAATTAAAACTGACAAAATTAAAAAATATCGACTGACCTAATTTTTTTTACTCTCGAATCTGGGTCAGATCGAATCTTCTTGAAAATACGTCTAAAACGAACGTATCGTTTCCATTACTAAAAGAATAGGTATACTGAACAAATCAATTTCTTTTTTTTGGTACGAACGGTCATGAATTAACTGATTAACTTGTTTTATCCATCCTCACGACGAAGCTGATATTAATTGATATTATTATTAATAACTACCAATGTACGAATAACATATTTTTATTATTGTTTTGAACTCAGTTTTTCGCAGTGGTTGTACATGTTTATAGTAAATCATCGCCGCTAATGTTATTAAGTATTAACATGATGTTAAACAGATGTACACGTTGGTATTAGGACAAAATAACACACGTTATGGTGTAAGTAGCGGACACTGTACATAATGTAGTAAAGATGGTGCAATGATTATAAAATAATCATCGCATAATAAATTGTATTATGCGAGGTCATCCGTTCTGGTGTGTGATAACAGCTACGGTACTCGTTGAAACAAATGACCACACGTCGCGGGCGATGAGCTCCTACCAAAACGGTCGGTCGGGAAACTAGTCCGATGGCGAAACTGCATTAGGTTGACGTGCTTTGTCTAACCCGTGTGCCTAACCAACGTACATTTCGCACGATGAACTATCATCAAGAAATAAATAAGTGTTTTTTTGTTTTTTTTTTTAATATGTACACAGATTTCCCCTGTGAGTGGGGGCCAGAATACACTCACTGCAGTCCATGCTCGTCGTAAAAAGCGACCAAAATGGACCTAGCAATGGGCAGCAGCATTGTTATAGTATCAAGTATAGATTTATCTTCGATACTTGAATAGCGTCCCTTAGTAATAAGAGGCAGAAGGCAGCGGCAAACCACTGCGGTAATTTTCCCAAACATCAAGCAATGAAGGTGAAACGTAAGAATGACAGAGACGAATGAAGAGTTAGATTTGCAACGACAAGGCAAGGCCTTTAGTAGAGAAGAAGAGATGATATGTACATAGATCAAACGACTATATTTCAGTAAGCGGTCAGTTATTCCGAATTATGCGTTGAACGTCCGCGAATGACGATAACAATATCATGATCGTAGCTCGTCTTTTTATACTTGGCTATTTCTTTTTTTTTTTCACTCAGATTTGCGTTCACGTGAAATACGCGGCGCGTAAAATCTCAAAACGGGAAATTGCGGTGTTTAATATATAAACGAAAATGGTTTCCTGTGGAAAACGGTCGTTATTTCGACGCGAAATGTATAATAATACAGTAAAGAACAATAGTGTTGCGGTTTCCCATCATAATATAATATCGTTATATTGTTCCCGATCGAACTGCACCCGCCACCACCACCGCCTCCTCATCATCCTGCTCGTTTTCCTCCTTCTTTTTTCTTTATCGTTCGAACCATTTAAAAGGAAATTATCCCTTTTTTGCCAACCGCAACAGCAGTCACGCGCGACAACCGAGGTCGCGGTAACAGGAAATCGGTATACGTACCTAAGTACTAGGTAGCTAAAATATTACTTATATATATATATATATCCATACAAACACTCGACATCTCTTAAAACAATTACAATTTTTGTAGTTTTACTTAAATAAAGATAATAATATATGCATTTTTCAGAGCCTTTTCGGCTTTTAAAACTTAAATAGTGACATACAAATTTAATTATTTTTTTTAATTACGAATAATTTGCTATAAATGTTGATTGGTTGATAACCAGTTTTGAGTAATTACTTCTACAGTTATTATGAAAAGTTTAAAATGTAGGACGAGAGGTGGAATGCGGTTGAGTAATAATAATAATATTGGTTATAAATAATATAGATAGCCCGTTGCAGAGCGCTTTATACTGTTTAAAGTAATACCATTTAAGTTTTAAGGGTTTACAAAACACTAAAATTTGTAATGCTCCCATTATTAGAATTTACAAAAAAATACATCAATTTGAAAATTGTTTAATACCGAAAATAATATTAGCTTAAATGCATCCCAAAAAAAAACTACAAGTTTTTTTCACAGCAAAATGAGCTTGCATTAAATGGACCACCCTGTGTAGTGGATGTGGTTGCATTCTCTTCATAATGTTTACTACTCAGCCCGACTATACGGCATTTCGAAAATGGCACCGAAGCCAAAGAACTCGTTTGTCATACGGCTAGCAGGTTGTTGCGACGACCAAGACAAGTTTATACATCAATCATGTATTAGTATTTACTTCTGTTAATTCCACGAATACCGTTTTATTATAAGACGATGGACGTAAGACCACAGAATGAATGAAATCAAAATTGAAACATTGATAATATAACATGGGAAATATAAGACGCATTTTCTATGGACCTTCGGCCATTTTCTCAGTGGTTGTTCTTTTGTTATATTTATATCTATTTCATTTATTCTGTGGTAAGACAATAAAAATAAGATTAAAAAAAAATTTGAAAAATATTAAGTTTAACCCGTGCTTCACAAGAGCTGAAGTTTAAATAGGATTTAACATAGGATTTCGACACTTGTGCACAAGTTACTACAACTGAAATAAATGTTTCTATGCGAATTTGTAGACAGCTATTATATTAATTATCAATCAAAGCAATGATAAAGGCAAAAATGTGTTTAAAATTATATATTTAATACTAGTGTGGACAAGACTAGAGCTGATTGTCTATCTGATAATTCGTTGTCCTTGTTACAAATAGGTAAAACAACAGCATAAAAAAATATTTTTCGGATACATTTTGACTACATTGATTACCTCTCATATAACAACCTAGAAATAGACTTGGAAGATACGGTTCAGCGGTTTGGAAGATTTCGTTGCTCCGGACACAAAAATTAAACGCATCATTTTAAAAACAATACATTCTCAGCTCCACATTGAAGTAAAAACCAGTAGTCTTTTTAAAAGGTTAATTTTTCCAAAAAGATTTTACTCGTATCATTAAATAATTTAGGGTGTTTCACGTTGTTGCTTAATAAAGTCGTAACTGTTGTCGTTTTCATAATATTTTATTATAATTACACAAGAAATGGCAGAATTTTTAAAGTAATTATTATTATATTATGTTGTAAATTTCCAGGAACATAATATTTTTAACTAACTGTATTGCTGTATTTTAGCACCGTTATTCTCGGAATAAGTGTATAGTGTATAATAACACTATTATAAGTTTATATGTTTAAACTAATTAGTCAAGAAGTATGTTTTTAGAATATCCCTGATTATTACATTTATGCCGTTTAATGAGATGTGAATATTATATATTTATATATACCAATAATGTAAGAACCTAATTACTATTGTTGATTATAATATTATCAGGTTTATAATCGCATCTTATTACTAATTAAGTCATTAAAATATGACCCGTTTAAAATTAATTAGTATAGTATTAAAAAAGGAAATTTCTATTATATTTCACGAAAAACACGAGTGAAAACGACTATAGGTACTGTAATACTGGACTATAAAGGTGCTAAATAGTGAATTATAAGTTACATTAAGTTTTTCATTAGGGACTGGACTACTAAAAGCATAAGTGGGGTCAGTTCTAAAATGAAAAATTAACTGTGGGTCAATTGACCCCAAGCACTCCCCTAGACACGCCTCTGCCTGTTTTACCGTAATTCTTAATTACTTATTAGGAGTAATAAGCAAATTATTATCATTTTTGAATCATTGTTACCTACAGTTTTTCAAGGAACATCTTTAAACTTCTGTTGGGTACCCACTTAAGTTAGAAGTAGTCAGTGGATCGCATATTGCTCAGAAGAGAAGGTTGGGGGTATGTTTTTTTCTTATGTCCTAATTTGTGTTTAGCCCACTTTTTGACTTATAATTGGCTAGTTATTGACTACGATTCAAAAAAATAATAAATATGCATTATGCTACCTTCATTAATTAATTTTTTTTTTTATGGACAATTTTTAAAAAACCTCATAAAATATGCATTCATAATTAAAAAAATATAATATTCATATTTCAAAAATCTAGTTTTTATTTACCACACCACATGCGGTGCGCAACGAAAACACCACCAACGTCCGGTTCGTGTGGCGTACAACTTTCGCGCCACCGCGACTGCCACAATACCACGACAGCAATACCACCACACTGCATAAGTGTGCGCATTCACATAAGAATACACGTGTAGTAAAATAATTTTTCGCTGCAAGTGAAGAGCCGTAAAAACTACTATTGGTGTGCGTCTAGCCATAATTAATATTGTCACAGTCGCGACCTTTTCGCTACTCTACCACTACACATAACAAGTTGGTAGAATATCGATAATTTAGTTAACGGAAATACGAGTATGCCAATAGGTACTGAAAATATACAAACAAAACATATATTAATATCAGTATATTAATATGAGCTGATTTTGTTTACAGTTTCGATACGTTAGAACACTGAGAAGGTAATGGTTTAAGTGTTTTTATATTTTGTGTGTGTGTTTTTAGATTTGCAGTATATTATAATAAAAAAAAATACACCAAAGGTACTTGAAAAGGAGAATAAACCCTTCAAAATCTAGGAAAAACACCATAATTCAATATTATAATAAGAGTTTTTTACATTTTTCTGTTTTTCCAAATAATGTATTTGTCTCTAACAAAAAGTCATTAAAATGATGATAAAAAAAAAAGCAAGTTTAAATTGGTGCGCTGAAAGTTATGTCAAAGTCGTGTTGGTCGTTACTCGTTCCTCGTTTGGGGCGGCGAAATTTACGGCAATTCGCACTAGAATTGAAAAATACCAGCACAAATCGCGTTAACCATTTCACGACACATGGTCGTCTAAGGGAAATAAATACGTGACATCTCCTTCCGGAACATATTAATATCCATTAATGCGTACGACTGACGAGCTAGTCGTGCAAGACGCTTTTTTTTTTATAATATTATAAACAAAAAAGTAGGTATAGGCGTTTGAAGCGTAAAATAGTAATAATAATAATAATAATAGGTAAAAATATCGGCGAATGAACGATGGACACACCAATCACCATAATAATAATAATAATAATATCTTCGATGCGGTGAAGGGGGGAGGTTCTATTTCATCTGCCGCGTCTAAACGTAACTCGCTTTTAACTACTCACGCGCTAAAGTGACATGCATACGCGTGCTATGCTTGTACGTCAACAGTATAATATACATAGTAATAATGTGATAATGTGTAGTAATCCGTTACACAGCAGACGCATTCTAAAGTCATCACGTACTCGCACATCGCCAGAGCAGTATATGTATAATATTGAGGGTCGTAGCCAACGGGCCGTTGGTTTTCCACGACAGAAGCAGAGGCGGTGAGACCGGTCGTGAAAACCGATTTTTCTCAAGGACCCCGACGGATGAACGACCTGTAATTGAAACCCGGTCGCCGGCCGTCCCACGTCATTGTTGCTAGTCTGCGGGCGACATGATAACGCGCAATAACAATGAACGTTTTTGAATATTATTACAGAATAATATATAGAACGCTGAACGTATAGCCGCGGCTGCGTGTCGATTTGAAGCAAATCGCAAGACGGCCGGTCGCAGAGATCTATTGAATTTTACCGCGGATCACTGCGCACTATTCCCTAGTCGTGTAGTACCTACATGCAATTATTCACTACAGACTGGATGATACCACGCGTATCACCATTGTTTGGAATCGAGAAAGTTTTTCTTTTTTTACGATGGGTAGTAATTTTTTTTTTCTAACTATCCGCACGACACACTCGTATTATGTTGTACCACCAGATGATAAATCGATTCCTCTAATCAACGCGGCGCGACGTGACTATCAAAATCGTTTGGTATTTTAAGGGATCAAAAGTTGTTAGCCGAGTCTCCCGCTTTCCTTATCTCCAAAATTCCGATGCCGAGAAAATAAAAATAATGACGACCATTCGCATCATTATGGTATTGTACTGTCTCCTATGACACGCAGCACTTTAAAAAACCGAAGTGCTAATAAATTATGCTAATTTTTACTTAGGTGTTGTATACTCACGCTACACTGATTACGAACTGTGATGCAAGTATGCAACTGACACAATACAAACAACATGTGAATTGGCTCAACGAAAACTCCTGTCTCGGTCCAAAAACTGAACAAACTACCATAAGGCCAGATTCTGATTTAGCAAGAAAAACATGTTGTATAATAACTATACTTTGGATCTTGTAGCTAAAATTGGTTATATTTGTGTGTGCAGTGTAATCTAACAACCTCAAGTTATAAAATAAAAGTATAAGGTTAAACACAACGGTGTCGATCATTTATTATAGAACAAAATATAAGCAATACAAATTAATTATTAGATTCGTTTCGATCTAATCTATTTGTTTTTAAGATAACTTGTATTACTGGTAGCCTTAGGCCATTAAATATTTTATAAGTGACGGCCAATTTGGTAATGAAAACCGACTACGGTCTATATGGGATTAAAGACGACACCTCAGAGAGTGATAGGATTTTAATTATTTGTTTTGGTTTTAAAGAAGAACACTTTTAAGGGTGTTTATTGCCCTTCGATGTTTTATTATATTACCAACAGGCAACAATTAATACAAAAAGTGTGTAATTCAAACTTTTATAATACCACATAAATGGATATATATATACTAGAACTCCATACACTCCTTCAAACAAACGAAAAAGGTACGTAGTGTTGATAGATTAATAAATTCAAAAAGATAATATTCTTTCAGGATAGCGATAATTTTTAGACACTGATATTTCAAAACCGTCTATAGTTCTTTTTATTTTGTATTACCGCGAATGTGAATATTACCATACCCGATACTAATTACTTTAATCTATTTCACGCTTCCTTATAATTTATAAACTTAATCTATAATTTATATACTAAACAGCAATAAAATAATAATTTTAGCTTAATGCCATCAAATTTTTTTAATGGGCTTATGATATTCCTAGAACTATCTTATGAGTACGAGTCCCATTTGTGTTAGTTTTCGTGCCAAACTAAGAAGGTACAAATTTTACAATAGTACGTTTTTTGTTGTGTGTATTTATGTATCTTTTGAGCCACTGATATATTTTATCAACAATATAATCGATATCAATATTATTAATATTGACTACATATCAATAAAAAATAATACTCGTTTGGCACTTTAAATCAAATGTCAAAAAGTTCTATACTTATAAAGTTTCAGCAGTATGGATATAAAAAAAAATTGACCAGTTGTCGTTTTTTTAAAAGTAATTTTATAGTATTAAATCACTGTCAAACATTTTAATGCTTTTCTGGAAATAGTAAGAAACTAGCTTAGTATAAACTACCGTACTCACCAGCACAATTCTGAGCTAACACAACAAACAATAAATTATCTGCATCGAAACGTTCTCCTGTACCTCCGATTTGGAGATAATCATTTCGTGTTATTCTTTAACACGATCTTGGTGGATCGTTGGATCGAAGTTACTCGTATTAGTTTATTCGATTCCATACACAAAAAAAAACTATATAGTTGGGACAACCATATTTATGGTTAATATAAGACACAATAAATATTCTAGCTGGAATAACTCAATAAATAGTTGACCCAATTAAACATTTAGTTGACCGATCTAAATGTATAGTTACATTTAATATAAATATAGTTGATCCAACTATTTATTTAGTTATTTCAACTAGAATATTTATTGTATCTTATATTAACCATAATTATGATTGTCCCAACTATATAGTTTTTTCCGTGTATATATATATATATATTATAGTTAAGTAATATACGTAAATCATAATACTATATTAATCCGATACTCAATATTTTAAATTTCATAACAGTTTTATAACCATGAAATTCAAAAAATGCATAATTGATGATATTGCCGACCTTACATTATAGTTTTTCTTAACTATAATATACTTTCTGCTCGATATATGCATGTAAGTAGTATTTACCACTTATTACTTACTGGCTAATCACAGATTCACAGGTAAATAATTATGTTTAATGAAACGTTGATTCCTTGTAAAATCAGGAAGCCATAGATCAGAGTGAACTTGGTTATACTAGTTATACTTGGTTACCTATAGGTAATAAAAAAGTCAAGACTAAAATGTTGCAGAATTATTCGGACATTTTATTTTTATTCAATATCTGATTTGTTTTATTACCCAAGAGTTAATGTGTAATTAAAAAAAATTTGACTAAAAACTGTGTTATTAACGGGTAGCTACGGTATGTTGTCACCATAGAATGTCCGTGTACCTTCGTGACGCATTGGTAATAACTATTATAAAATACATATATGTACGCGCGAAAGTTCTTAATCAATTAAACACATAATCATTAGATCTAACCGTCATCCGTTAATTGTTCAGTTAACGTTTAATTTATTGAATTATTCACAATTTACCTTCTTAGTTTTTATAACTAATAATATCTAGCTTCATTCACCGTTTATATTTTAATATTATATTATATTGGCAACATAGATTTGCACACTTTTCATCATCGGAAAATGGCCGTTTGGCGGATTTATTCAAGGTGAAAACTTGGTTTTGGCATAATAACCAGCGTTCATGTCATGTGTAATGTATATGTCTCATAACATCACCATTACTAATTTCTTAAGTCAACATTGATTTGTACAACAATATTATTGTTATTTAGTAATTACTATTATTATTATAGTCCATTTGCGTACCTAGATTCCATTTTTGATGATGTATTAGAGAGTCTTGTTAGAGCAGTTTGTGTAATAATTAATCTTCTCAAAAATACAGTTCACAAGACATAAAACCCGCTTAAGCAAGAGCTTTTACAAAACCTCCCTTAAATTTTTCGTTATGATAACCGGTGTCGATTTGTCCGTGTATGTGCCAAAGCAAAGACATAAAAATGTCAAAAACAAATATTATGTAACGTGAGACAGCCTTTTTTCGTTCTTACGCTTAAATAATATTAAAAAGACTTACTATCATCTTATTAGGAATTTATTTTTATTGGTTTTTTTTTCAACTCTGCCGATGTAATAATCTCAGGAATCCTCTCCCCGCGTACTGCCTACTATAAATATTGTAGTTTTGAGTATTTTTGTTGACAGTTGATTGCTGTACAAGATTATTCCAATCGTTATGTTTTACATTGTAAGTTGACGTGGATTACAAGACGTATACAATTCGTAATTTGTAATTAAATCATATTCACTATAATATTATACGTCGGTATTTATTTTTCAAATGTGACGTTACCTGAGCGAGTTCCAATCGTCCTGTAGAGCTGGGTCAATGCCGGTTCCGCCGTCGTTTTTTGACCACAGCAGCAGCCCAGAGGTAAACACGAACGCAAGTGCCCACGGCAATCCGCGGCGAATCCTTCGTCGGCAGCCCATCATTGTCCTGCCAGCATCCCACGATGATAATTGCACGTCGTAAAATCACGCCATAACGGAAATCTCAAGTATCAAAAGTAATAATGTTATAATAATAATAATAGATAACGTGACCGTGTACGGTGCACCGACAAACCGGTTTCGTCGGATCCGAAGTCTTCACTGACAATGTCGAATGCACATATACCGGTCTCCTCGAGACCGTGACGGACCGAATGAGCAGAAACGACGACGCGACGGCAGCATGTGCTGCTACGGTGCCGCCAAAGTAAGTCTCCAGTAACTACAACACAGAATGACGGCAGTGTTGGCCAAGCAGGTATAATCGTCGGCTAGCGCCATCTGTAATGCCACCAAATCCAAAAGAATCTTACAGTCGTATTTGCCACACCCGTATCCAAAAATGGTTACGCCGGACATCGATTCTCCCATGTAGGTACATACTCAATTCTTCTTATTAATAAATAATTATTCTTCTTACATTTTTTAAGAAGGCTGAAGGACGTCGCCCCACCTATTTATTAATGATGAAACTTGAGAGTATAGAAAAAACTTACTAAAATCTAATATTCTTTGTTTCCGACTTCTACAACACAGTCAACTAGCTATTATTGTACAAAAACTTAAAACATATATCTAGAGATGTACGTTACCGGGAAACTTGGCCATTGCCGCCCGTTCTGCGTAAAAGTACATTTGTTTCTGTGCTCCGTTTAAAGTATGTTACTTGTAAGTAAGTTTTTTACTAAACAATTTTCTTTATCTACAATCTATACAAAATATGTATAATCAGCAAGTCTGATGACAAAGATACAGTGACAATAATGTAGGAAGAAGACGGCTCGCAGCAGTGGCACCTGACCAGAATAAAAATATTTCTTAGAATGAAAAAAAAAAATGATTACGATTTTATAAAATTAAAATATACCTTTATTTAATATCAAGTAGCTAAATACCTAATGAACTTATAAAAAAAAAGGATAAGTCATTAAATAAATCTTTCAATTTCATAATAGGTGTTCTTGCTCTAAAACCCCTAATACTAAAATACAAATAAAACATTTAAAACCGCTGTTAAGGATGCTATGATAATCAGAAAAAAATTAAACATCCATCAATCCATCAATTTTAGTTACCAAACTAATTACACATTATAGTTTAAGTTAAATTATGATTTTACAAAAATTGCCTATACCGAACTCCTTAATAAATAGGGAGTATTGGTATTGGTCTGGGTATTATGTATATCTTTCTGGTACATGTTTTGAGCTTCGAAATGTATAATGATGTAACGTAATGTCAAAAATCAAAACTAATTTATTTCGTTTCCTGCAATTGTTGGTTTCTACTACGTTCCAAATTAACCATCCAATGAACATATTTCGCGATTGATAAAATATCTTAATAATTGTATTATACTATTTAAACTCGCGTAACGAGTTGACATTACACACGTGATTTTAATACTATAGTTGTCACTTGTCATAATTGTTACCGCCACAATTTAATTTCAAACTTAACTAGCGGTTTTGCTATTTACCAAACGATGAATCTAAATATAGCCATGCACGATGTGATTGTGTTTTTACAATGTTAGGTTAGGTATAGTTTTAGCCATAGCACACCAATACTCACAATTCCAATTGGTCTTATCCTTTTATTAACAAAAACAATTTGTATACAATTCATTTACAATGAGTTTTTTTTCATAAAATTATGTAGGTACATAGCTTGAATATCGTGAAAAGAAACCACCCATTGGTAGTCTTATCCTTAAGCAGACAACACATTTTAATTTTTTTGCTTGTAAAAAATACTTTTAATAAAATTGAAAAACTATATTTATTTTTCTGTTCCTCGTCTAACGTACAATTTAAGCATTTAGGCGTATTTTTGCCCTTACGTACTGATCAATCTACTTAAAGGATAAGGAATCTGAAAACAGAGTTTAGTTCATCAGAATCTCTTCTATGGTACAACATTTTTTACTGTAAATTGTCTGGTATTCAATAAACAATAAAAATGTTAAAAAAGAATTAAACTTAACCGAAAAACAAATAAAAATGTATTGTTTTCCTAATTATGCATACTGGTTGTCGATCCACAGTTTTTGGAAAAAATCATACTTTTAAAAAAATTATAAATTTCATAAAATTAATTTTTCTATAACCCAACTTCTGATAATTAAAAACTGCCAAAATTAAGATACTATTCTCGTATTTAATTTCTAGTACATCTCCGCTTAACCATGTGTTTGTATAAAAATAGTTTAACAAATGCGTTGTAACTGTTGATAACATTTAAAATTAAATATAGGTAATTTTGAAATTCACTTTGCTCTGTTAATATGCATAAAGGTAAAAGTGTAAAAATATCAGCTTCCTGTTAAGTTTTATCGAAAAATAGGCTACATACAGTAATTTACTGTTTAACAAATAGGTGGTCAGGGGTCATCTTAATCACATTGCCATCGATTTTACAAGAATCCTACACATTATTTTTGTATGTATTGAAGATCTATAGCTTCAAGTTATTAGAATACTCTTAAACACTGGAAGGACGTAAACACTATATTAAAAAAATGATGGCCTATCGAAATTTATTTTCTAGGTGCTTTGAAGTTAATATTAATCTAAAAGAACCAAACACAAGAAACAGAAATCACTCCTTGCTGCTATCAGTTCGAGCTTACCTATACCTTTTGGCCCCGAGTTTTTTTTTTTTTGGTCATGTATAGGTGGAATAAAGAATTCGTTTTTGAGGAAGTTATGACTTGAACTACTTCATCTTTCATAATTATATTTTTTTCATGTTCCTTAGATCCTTTGTTGACAGTTAAAATTATCATTAATCGAATAACTTAATAATAAATAAATATCACATAATATAGTTAAATTTATATTATATGATAATACAATTTGAGAAAATTAGACCATTACATTTGTTATGACACTAAGAAAGTTAAACAAAAACTGTTATGTTTATATATATAAAATACATTTTTCAATTTCTAGTAATGAATAATATTTGACTCATATCAATATATTGGTATAGATTATTATATGAGATAAATTAAATTCTTATCGTTATCAAAATATTCTGTTAGATTTCCAAATCATCGTCAGGATCTTCTTCATCCCAGTCATCAGCCTCATCGGGGATATAATGAATAGTTCCTCCGATTTTAGTATTTTGCACTCTAAAAATATTGCCTTAATTAATATTATTTAATTAAATAAAAAACAAAAATTTAATAATATATTTACTGAGTATATGGCAAAATTAATTTGTCTTTCGCTATCTTTTCACTGTCTTCGAGAACCAACTTGAAACTGGCTAAATTCATAGGTACACTTTTATCATCTTCAATTATTTTCGGTGTGTCTACTATGAGTTTAAAGTTACCATCTACTTTCATCTCACCTTTCAATTTCTAAAAAAGTATAATAATTTTTAGAAAAAACTACTAGTTGGTTTTTAACATAAATTTCCATACTTGTACAACACATTTTCCACTAGATCTTTTATGTTCTAACTTTAAATTTAAAACCCTAGGACTGTCGGTACTTTGCACATGTATATGAGTTTTACATAAATTTTTCAAATGCTCTATTTTAATTGTTTCGGTCACATCATCATGGATCACCGCAATAGTTTGTACAACTTTGGGCTCTAATAAAAATATCAGTAATTTCCCATTATTAATCAATACTGTCAATACTATAGTTTTATTTTATTTTTATAATTTATTAACTTACCCGTGCTTAAAGAAATTATATCAAGTATTTCTTTGTACACAGTAGAAAACTTTGTGTGAAGCAGATATATAGATAAAGAATCAATAATTAGTACTATATTTTTTTTGGTTTTTTTAATTATACTATTAACAACATCTCTTGGACATTGATTTTTGGATAAAGTATCTACCAAACAATCATGTATAAAAATATTTTGTAATGATGGAAGTAAATGTTGATAATCAGAAATCAATGATTGAAAACACAGTACATGAACATCATGAGCTTTTCGATTTTCTGCTATATATTTTAACAAAAACTGACCCTTTGCCAAGTATGAATCTGAAACAATTAAAAATTGTATTTGTATATAATACAAATAACAGTTAGTAGTGATATACAAATAACCTATTTATTAATGATTAATCTTTGTATACAAATATTTTAAATGTATAATATGCATGATAAATATGTTAAAGCATTTTTACCGCCAATTCAACTATCAATCCTTGATTAGATTTTAGTATCATAATGAAATATTTACCTTCAATTAATATAAATTTACTAGCTTGGGTTCCTTTAAGAACAGTGTCGTAAATATTCATGTTTTTTCAACATGAAAGTAATTATTTAAGGAATTTTAATTTAAAACTTGAACTGTATGACTTATTAATAGTTTTTGTAAAATAAAACGTACTATACTATAAACACGGGCACATCATATTAGTTTTTCAATACACAATATACGTCGAAATCGGAACTTTAAAATAAGATCGAGCTTTAAGAAAGTTCTTCGCCGCTTAAACTTCACGGCGTCTGGCTTGTCAGTTGTCACTAGTTGTTATCACTGGACAACGGTTTATCAATAATTTACCTACTGAAAATAATAATTTTAAAAACACTCATATTGAACGCTTTAATTAATGTTAAATAAAAAAATACATAATTAGTAAACCGTGAACAAGCAAAATATATTTTAAATAATTAGTAATATTAATTGCATAATATTTTTCCAAGCCAATAGCTGAAAAAATATAAATCAAATTCAAGCGATTGCATAACAAATCTAACCTAGAAATCCACGTTGTTTACACTGATTTAAAACTAATGATAAGAGTTTTGGTGATGTGTTGACTTTTTACGGACTATGTTCATTAAAAAAATGCATTAAAATTTAAATGTCAACTATTTTAATTTTTTAATTTTCCTTATCGAACAAATATAATTACATTCTCTCGAAATACACACATATACATGTTATTGACGGTTTTTGACAGTCGTGTACCACCTTCACCTGATACTGGGCAACAACATTTGTTATGATTTTATTGAAGTTAAGGTAGGCATTCTACATAATCCGTGTTAGAAATAAATCATGTTTCGAAGTAAGTTTCGCCTTCATACTTGCAAGATAGTCATAGCTACCTCATTACTATGGATATTCATCGACATTTTGATACTGATGTATTACCCAGACTGCATCGGTCCTAACTGCAAATCGAACAATATTAATGAACAAGATGAGTCCTACGAAGAAGCAACTGCAGCTAGAATGGGTTGGGGATCCATGCAAAAAAATATGCTCCAACGATTCAAACATTACAGTGACAATACTACTTATCCACCATATATGCTCAAGCACTGGAAACCTATGCCTCCAGTACGGGAAAAACATGGAAGACCCGGTGAAGGAGGGCAGGGTGTCATAATAAAACCAGAACAAGAACTCATTATGAAAGAAAAGTTTAAAGAAAACCAGTTCAATATAATGGCTAGTGATATGATTTCATTAAATCGGTCTTTGAAAGATGTTCGACAACCTGATTGTAAAAATAAAAAGTACCCTACTCTAATGCCTACCACTTCTATTGTTATTGTATTTCATAATGAAGCTTGGTCTACATTGTTAAGAACTGTTTGGAGTGTCATTAATCGGTCACCTCGTGCACTTTTAAGGGAGATTTTATTAGTTGATGATGCTAGTGAAAGAGGTAAATTACTCACTTAAAATTTGTAATACTTAATACTTGTATTATTCTTGAACATATCTCATATTGATTAATGTTTATTTTCAGACTTTTTGGGACAAAAATTAGAAGATTATGTAGCTACTCTACCTGTTGAAACTAAAGTATTAAGAACGGTTAAACGTTCTGGATTAATCAGAGCTCGCTTACTAGGTGCTAAACATGTGAAAGGCCAAATAATTACATTTTTAGATGCGCATTGTGAATGTGCTGATGGTTGGCTAGAACCACTGTTAGCTAGAATAGTAATTAATAGGTATTGTTATTATTTATATAATATAAAAAACTAATATGACTTTTATCAAACTAATAAGTCTGCTAACATTACTTTGCTTTTAGGAAAACTGTAGTCTGCCCAGTCATTGATGTAATTTCTGATGACACTTTTGAATATGTTACTGCATCTGACATGACTTGGGGAGGATTTAATTGGAAATTGAACTTCAGATGGTAAACTTTTTATTTAAAATTATATTAAATTTATAATAATATTAAATATTTTTTTTTTTTTTTTTAGGTATCGAGTTCCACAAAGAGAAATGGTAAGACGTAAAAACGATCGCACAGCACCACTAAGAACTCCAACTATGGCTGGTGGACTATTTTCAATTGACAAAGACTATTTTTATGAAATAGGTTCTTATGATGAAGGAATGGATATTTGGGGTGGTGAAAATCTTGAAATGTCCTTCCGTGTAAGTATTATTCAGCGTTAATATAATATACCATGCTATTAAAAATGTATTTAATTAAAAAACAATCTATTTAAGTTATTACTTGAAAAATCTTATTAGTAAAAGGATAATTATAGCAATGTTGTTTTTCTATACACATTATATGACATATATAATACCGACATGTATACTTGAGAAAACGTACCCAAGTGTTTAGCTATGGGGGAAACTTGTTGTTGATATGCATATTTCTAGGTGTGGCAATGTGGTGGTATGTTGGAAATAGTGCCATGTTCACACGTAGGACACGTGTTTCGTGACAAGTCACCATATACATTTCCGGGTGGCGTATCAAAAATTGTTTTACATAATGCAGCTCGTGTGGCTGAGGTTTGGCTGGACGAATGGAGAGATTTCTATTATGCAATGAATCCAGGTATAGGATGTATCCCATATAAAAGTTCATTCTGCTTTTCTAAGGATTACTAACACGATGTAGTTCTTTATCTAACCTAATTATTAATCCTGCTTGCTAACTTGTACAAAATACAAATTATAAACTGTTCTTAGATTCGAAATAACAAGCCAGTGATGTAGTTGTATGATAAAATATATTATATTCTGTGTGTACCCGTTTTCCACTTTTCCCATTCTCGTATACTTTGTGTCTGTGTACTTATAAAAAAGTGGGAGGTAGGTACAACCAGCGTTAACAAACAATTATTTTAATTAATACACAACATAATGTAGGTATAGAGGTCAATATGTGTTTGATTTTATAATAATAAAATAATCTTAAAGGTAACTTGTAAGTGTTTTAAGAGAAATGTCATTATTAAAGCGTAGAACATAATAAGTACATAAGTTATATATGTACCAATAAGTGGCCTATAAAATATCTTTTGAGTTCCTTTACTGAAACGTCCGGTCGTAGATTTGGATGTGTGGTGGCACTCTGGAAATATCGCCATGTTCACATGTTGGCCATGTTTTTCGAAAATCCACACCATATACATTCCCAGGTGGTACTTCACACATAGTCAATCACAACAATGCTCGCCTTGCTGAAGTTTGGATGGATGATTGGAAACATTTTTACTACGCCATTAATCCAGGTATCCCTATACCAAAATTGATTTAATCCCACCATCACCCACCTACACATTTATTTATAATTATGATTTTTCACACCTGTGGCACAACATTTGAATATTAAAGACACGTTTTGTATTATCAAAAAATATATTTTTTATGTATAAATATTTAATAATATAGAGTATTGTATTGTTATAATTTAGATATTTATTAACTTGTAGATAGCTAAGTTATTCACTTAACACTAACCTCAATTGGTTATTCTGAGTAAAGTAATTTGATATAACGTCTTTAGTCTATTAATGATTAAAAAAACAAATTCTTTATTAAAGGTAAAACTAGTTAAAACAAATTTTATTATTATTAAAATTGTACTTCAACAATTACTAACCAAAAATTAATTTTGTTTAAAAAACATACTACGAAATGGAATTAAGTGTTAAAGTTAAATGATAATATTTCAAGTGGTGCGCCAACCAAATTATTTCAGTATTCAATTTTCTTAAATGTATATAAATATAAACAGTTTTTCAATTAATTATCGATGAATACCTGTTTAATAATTGTTTTTTTATAAGTGATATAGATTTTATTTCAAAATTATTTACTCAAAACCACTGCATAAAATGATCATAAATTGTAGTGAGCATGTTTTGTGAATTACTTTGCAAAGTAGATATTTACATATGGTATATATTGTGCATGCTGCTTTTATAAATAACATCAAACATTTTTAATACTTGTACAGCTATATTACAAAATATCTTTTTTTTTGCAAATTTCAAAATAATATTACATTGTTTTGTTAATGCATGTTTCTTTGTTGAAAATATATGAACAGCATATTAAAAAACTTAAAGGTTAAATGTTATACCAACAATAAATTGGTGCTCATGACAAAGTTGGAGAAATACTCAATTTTCAAAACACCGTCAAAATGTTCATTAGGATCAAGCAACTTCAATTATATAATTATAACTAATGTGTGCTAATCTGCTCTTGAAATGTGCCTAGTTCAAATCTAACCCCATTCAGCATATTTGTTTACGGTTTTTTTAATTATTTCTCTAACTTTGTTTGTATGTTTAACTTGATGCCAAACAATCTATTGAATGATTATTATTATTTAAATGTGTCGAACAACAAGTATATTATATTCGAGTTATTGTATAAACTATATAATAACTAATTCACATTTTGGTGACATGAATACATTTTTTTTCATCAGGTGCATCTAGTGTAGAAGTAGGAGATGTATCAGATCGTTTAGCATTACGAACAAAATTGCAATGCAAACCATTCCGTTGGTATCTCGAAAATATTTATCCAGAATCACAGATGCCATTGGATTATTATTATTTAGGAGAAGTAAATCTATATGTTTTTTAATATTTTGATATTTAATTTTATCATTATATTAAAAGTAGTTATTAATTAAAAAAAAAAAAATTTCAGATAAAAAATGTTGAATCGATGCAGTGTTTAGATACAATGGCACGTAAAAGCGGTGAAAAAGTTGGCATGAGTTTTTGTCATGGTCTTGGAGGAAATCAAGTAATTTTTCTTCGGGAGTATGTACACATTTTAACTTTTTAATTTATTTACAATTTCTCTAGGTATTTGCGTACACGAAACGTGCACAAATAATGTCTGACGATAACTGTTTGGATTCAGCCAACATGTTAGGACCAGTTAATTTAGTTAGATGTCACGGTCTTGAAGGTAATCAAGCGTGGGTATATGATACCAAGGTATGTTTGTTATATTTAAACTCCATAAGCAAACACAGAGTATAAAGTCAGCCTATTTAGCAAAGGACTCCAAAAAAATCAATTTTTGGTATATTCGGTATACCTTATTATTTGAATGAAAAAAGAAACTGTGCGTCGACTGGTATAATAATGATTATATTTCAGTGCTCTTTACTATGAAACGTGTAATTAACAGTAAGCAATTGACATTGAAATATAAAGAATAAATTTATCGTTTTTTTTCTTTTTTAGCGTGAAAGTAGTGGTATTTTGGAGTCACGCCCATTGTTAAATAAGCTGACGATATATAAAATTATATTTGGTGAAACTAAATAAAAAGCGGAAAACATTGGTAATGTTTGGTAACAGAAAATTTTGAGGCTAATGCCTGTGATTTTAAACGTGTAATTTAAATACACGTGTACACGAACCTGGTATAATTAACATACACGTGTATTTAAAAAAATTTATTTTGTCAACAATTTTAGTTTGAGTTAACGTATTTACACAACTATACTTGTGTTTGAGTTTGTCTGATTAAATAGACGTGATATTAAACGTGAAACTAAAATTAATAACAAAAATAATTTTTTTTGAATACACGTGTATGTTAATTACACGGGTTAACGGGTGTAATCGAATACACGTGTAATAGGGACCTCTAGTTGAGACTATTTTTATTAAAGAGTTTTAAGCATATTAGTTTTAATAACTGTAACCGTGGTTTTCAACTTGATAATTACCAACCTGTATTATGTTTAATTTGTATACATCTTCGATACTTAGGCATAAAGTATTAACTATATCTAATAAAAGATACTGTTATGTACTTGCTTTTTTCAGTCTGTTAAAAAAATGACTTAAATATTTTTGATTTTTAGTCAATAGGATTTATGTTATAATTAATCTGCCCTGATCCAAAAATGGAAAAAATATGGATCAAAATAAGTTACACTTTTATTTTTTTTAATATTTGACTTAACCTGTTTTGACTAATCACCAAAGATATTTTATCTTATTCAACCACGGTTAACAACACTGTCCAACGCCACCCAATATTTTCATCATTACAAATTTTTCAAAAATTGATACTTATGTTTTTCACTTTTATTATTATGTTTTGAATATACTAATATTATTTTTATAATATTTCATTTTAAGACGTTAACCATAAAGCATAGGACTACAGAACAGTGTCTTGAACATTCTAATGCTGAACAATATACTGCCATTTTAAGTGATTGTGATGGATCACCTACCCAACAGTGGACAATGAAGAGTAGTTTCCACTGGCAAGCAGCTAGCTCAAGCTCAAGTTAACATTTACTTTATAGTAATGCTATATTTGTAATTGAATGTTATTTGATATTAATTAGTATATATATAGTTATATATATATTATTATGTCGTAAGGGATCAAAATATTTTCTACTGAACAAAATACTACTTAAAAAGTATAGAAGCAAAGCATCACCAGTTATTGATCAATCTATCAATCCATGACAGTTTATTTTTTTAATTAGTTAAAATCTAAAAGCCATAAATCAAATTTTTTTATATAAAGTTTTATTCAATTTACAATGTTACTTAAAAAGAAAAAAATATAATTTAGTGATTGTTTATGTCTTAATGGAAATTTGGTGAAAATAAACACTTGTGATATTTACAAATGATTTAGGTTATCGTAATTATTACTTTGTAAAAATAAATATATATTTACTTCATTAAATAATTATATAGATTATAAGAATCGTCTTATGCAATATGCATACATAAATTAAGTACATTACTAGCTAATTCACATAAAGACACAAATTTCACACATAACTCAACATGTTAACACACAATTTTAGACAAATAGTTTTTTGCTATATTTATATCATTGTTTGCTTACAAAATTTTGAATGATTAGTATGTCTCAGAATATCAATTATTACCTCTTTATCTAACATGTTTATAACCCTTTACAATTTTGATATTATTATAATAGAAATTATTAAAATATTATTAATAATTGTTTTTATACTATTCTGATCTGATTTTACACAAGATCTGATGTTTGTATTGTAATTTTTTAACACATAAAATTACTAGTTGAACAGAGTTATCATAGTTGGTGTATTCTGAAATATTCAATACTATTGTACATGCAATCGAGCAAATTTATTTTTACACACAAAAAATCAAAGACAAAAGTATTGCTGATTTTATGGAAGTTTCCAACATTTTTTTAATTACTTAATTAACAATATTACCAATGTGTTTTAAGTTATAATTGTATAAATAATATTTCAGTTATAAATAGTAAAGAAATTATAGTGTTTTTATCCACACACGTGTATATCTAAAATGATATTTATTAAAATGTGAATGGCCATTTTAAGCTTTTATCCGTCCTCTTTAAATCATATTATTATTTTTTAAAAATTGTATTAAACTAAGTAAACTAACCCACTTAAACTATAATAATTGTAAAATATGGAAAAAGAGTATTTTTGTAAAAATAATTTAACTTTATTAAAAATGATACCTATAAGTAAATGTTCAAATTGTCTTACAATTGAAACGATTTGTATAGATGTATTGTAGGAATAGTTAATTCCCTAAATTAAATGTTTGTTATAATGTTTAAATTTGTTCTTTTTTATTTCATTCTTTTTTTTTTACATATCTTTGAACATCGTTTATAAAATTTAAATTTCTTTGTTATTGTTTACAGGTTAAAAATTGTTACATATTTAAAGTTGTCTTATAGGTACTGCAATATTATGTTATATTTTTACTATATTTTATTTTCGTTCTACTTATTATTTTGATTTCTTTCACAAATTGTGATAAAAATATGTGTATCTATTACCAGCTAAAACATAGTGTGCAATCAGTAGTTATTAAAAAGTTCGAATTAATTAATCTTGTTTTGTATTGTTTTATGTATTTTTTTAAATTATTATTATAATCTTTATTTTAAAAATTATGTTTTATTGTTTATTATTTACTTATAGTTTTTACATTACAAAAAAATCAAACTGTACCAGTCATTGGTGCATTACTTTATCTTATTTGTACATTATATCAATAATTCATTAATTTTTAAATAGGTAATCTTAAATGAAAATATGTATTAAAATATATAATTATGTATTCAATATTATTTCTATTTTGTTTTAGTTTTGAAAGGTTACTAACAGTATGTACAGTATTCAATACATGTTTAATAGTTCAAAGCGGAAAAAAATAACATATAATTTAAGTTAAGACTAAAATATTTTCAAAAAACCATAATTACAAAAAATACTACACTATAGCGCTCACAACAGGCTGAGATCGATTACGAGCAAACAACCTCTTTTATACTTATACAACAGCGTCTTACTTCGCCGGAAGTGATGGTTCATCGTCAACACGTGTTTTTACGAATTTTAGTAAAATGTTTGTTATGGACTTAAGTCCTAGTTCAATAGATTGTTCTTATTTTTTTTAATTCATATTCTTCTCTAGCTTCTATATAGCCCACTCAGGGCTTTTGCTGCTTCTACCTACTATTTCACGCCATCTTTATCTTCACTCACCTCTAGTTTTAATCCTGGTGCAAATTTTTCGAGATCTGATTTAATTACGTCTATCCACCTCTGCCTAGTGGTCCTCTAGGTCTTTTTCCATTGATAGTGTCAATCATTACTTCTTTAATTATACTACGAATGTCCATACATGTCCCGCCCACTCCAAACGTTTAATTCTTAAGCGCTTCAGGTACATTAGGTCCTGTGCGTCTCTAGTTCCTCTGTATACGACCATTTATTTGGTATTGTCTTGGTTAACCTCAAATCTCATAAGCATAGCCGCTACGATAAAGTTTTTCGTTTCGTCTTGCTAACGTTTTAAGATTTTCTAGGAGAACGAGTTGTATTGTAAAGAATGTAAGTGGGGATTTGCTTTTAAAACGTTTATTATCTCCATACTATAGACCTTGTCTGTTCTCGTTTACTAATACCTTATATTGTTAGTTAAGGTGGTGCCGGGATGCGGAAACTCAAGATAAACGAAATAATCTAGTTAGTTGGCAATACACTCATTCAGAGCAACCTCTCAACCAGTGGTTGATTTAGGTGTTCGATCTAGTGACCAGGCCCGTTCTGGCCCACCGGGATACTGGGAGCTTTCCCGAAGCGCCCCTGCTCTATAGTAAATAACGCCCCCAATCTCCACTTTCGCCCCCCCCCTCTCCACCAGTGTTCTGGGGAGCTGCTACATGGTACTTGTTGTCTGCCTAAACTTGCACAAGCTATGCTTACCATTGGGATCATTTTCTCTCTGAGTTTCTATTTTTTACTTTTATTTGTTGTATTCTTATTATTGTTTTTTTTCAACGATTTTTGTATTTTAAATTATTAATTTTTTTCTTTGGTCTATCGTTGGTAATAAATCGATAAAGTCTGTCATTACTAATGTGTCCACTTTGATTGTTTAATAGCCAACAGAAACTTGATTTCTTTTATTATTTTAGGCCGTCAGTCCATTATGCCTCGACAACGATATTTTCGTCGTCTTCGCAAGGCGATTCACCGACGGTAATTTGTGTATAGACATTAGAATCACCGTCATAACTGCGACTGTCGTTATCGGATACAGATAACAGATCCATCTTCTAAGTGATAGAAAACAGCCAGCGGTTGATCATTCTCATCTTCTTTTTTTTCGTTTTTTATAACGTCATCAAAAAATCCAAATTTTTCCATTGTCCGTATCCGCTGTCTTTTATCAGCAGTAGAGTTGAGAACTGCTTCGGCACCTTAGAAAATGCACGTGATGGGTGCCCCCCCCCCTCAGATTCTGTGAGGCCGGCCTTTGCAGAGGGTGGATTTACAGAGTAAGTCGGCTTACCACCTGGGGTACAAAATACCGTTAAGTTTTCTTCCATCATTGTATGCACCATGTATAGCTATGTAACGTACGGGTCGCCGCTGCCGCACATAGAAGATGCCTTGGTGGGGGTTTTCCGGGCTCCGTTGCGTCCAAACCGTGTCCAGAACACCCCTGATCGTCCGGTCACCAGGGAGGTGATCAATCTCCCTAGGGTTTGTTCCGTTGCTGCACTGATGTCGTAGACCACCCGGCTAAGAGCATTTCGTTTCATCAGCGCGGTGTGTCCGCCAAGGTTTTCTGTCAGGCTTTCCCCTCCCTCAGGCGATTGTCTTACAAGACTTATGAGCTCGTCTGCCGAGAGTCGCTTAGTCTGTTCGCTCTCCTTTGGCCTGCCGACTTTGGGTGATGGCAGCCCTCCGGGTCGTCGGGATACGCAAGCTCTTCCGCCACTCTCGGAAGGGCCCCGTCTAACGTAACCATTTGTTTTCGGGCTGGAGATTTATCTGGACTTAAGTGTCATCGCGACACAGAACGTGAAACTGAGGGGAAAGGAAGAGAAGAAAGTTAGAGCCAAGGACGGGGAGGAAATGGGAAGAAAAGCACGACGTGGAAGTGTGGTCAGGACTCCGCGAGGTTGAATTTGGAAACGCGTAAAATAATCACAAAACGTCTATTTTCTCCACTCCACGGAAAAATATTAAACTATGGATATGTTTTTAACATTACGGGTCCGCATAACCACTAAAATTAAATGTTTTAATATGATTATTATGATAATATTGTTAAACTACAAACAATCATTTCCATTATTAAATACAGCTCTTTGAAATAATGTGTACCTACTAGTGATGGGAATCGGAAAATCCGGATTTTCACAAAAAAAACGCTTTTTAAGCTACTTAAAAATCATTTAAGTGTTAAATAATTTTACAATATAAAGCTCTATATCTAAGTAACATTTTTTTGATAAATATGTGAAAATAAAACAAAACACCAAAGAGATAAACTGCTTTTGAATTTCGGATTTGTTGAAATCCGAAAATCCGAAAGCATTTTATAGACAAATTTAAGAGTTTTTTTTAAAAATTGTTATCAACAAATTTTACTTAGGTATACATCTTTATATTGTAATAGTATTTAACGATTATATGATTTTCAAATGACTTAAAAAGCGTTTTTTTGAAAAATCCGGATTTTCGGATTCCCATCACTAGTACCTACCTAAGTAAATTAATATACGTATTATTTACGAGTTTTTTCCGAAACCATAGAATTAATGTAGGTTAATACAATTTTCAAGTTATTGTTATTCAAAATATACAATTACTCTCGAGGTAAAACTACCTTTTATCAAAAAAAATATTAAGTTTACCAACATTTAGTAGATTTAATTTAAGTAAAACTGTAATAAATTAAAAACATAAATGATATTATCTATTATACTTACTTAGTTGTTTCATTAAGTTAATTCTTGGGTGACATAAGACATTCATTATGCATACATTTTTTTTAAGCTTCGGCTAAAATGGTTACAACCTGTTGGTTGATTTTGTTGTATATTGGTTTTTGTGGTTAGTTTTTGGGTATGGTTGGGTTGGTGTTGATATGAAACACGTGTGGTGGGGATATGGCATGGGTCGCCGCTAAAAATCCCGGGTGATCACTCATCCGGGATCGGGGATCAATCAGCAACGGACACAGCTTAACCTTAGGTACCGCGTAACAGCTAAGGTGTCCACAGTGCCACATTATGTCTTTTTCATAAAATTATCTATTACATATTATCATTTATCAGAGTTGTGAAAAACAAATTTGTAAATACATGTAATTTTTCATTTTTTAATCATTTATTTCTTCGGTATTTATACAAAACACTTTTTTTTCTTATTTAGAAACCTGTCTACATTGTTTGTTTAAACCAGATCGCATTGTATAGTAATATCCTGTATCGTAATATAATATTCAATTGTCGTTATAACTGACCGTTTTTTAAGTACCTACCTAGTTGATGGTTCTATTCAAAATTCAATGGTTGAAGGTACTAGCTCAAGCGCTTCTAGCTGGTAGCTGTGTGGTATCTTTCATATTAGGCTTTTATCCTTGTAGTTTATGAATTCTGTCACTATTGTCATTTAGATATCATTAATAATAAAAATTACCTAATCATGTTTTTTAGTACTGCTTACTTATGCGATCTCGTGGTGTTAATGTGTTATCATAACTAATTTAAAATATCGCTTCTTGAGTTTTAATTTAATTTGTAAAATGCAAAAATATAAGGAAAAAGTTTCAAAGAAAAATTGAAAACTGAGCATGACCGTTCGGGAAACTTATAACTCATAAACATGTGGACTTTGTACAGCGCTCAGTTCGAGTAGAGTGGACCTGTTGACAACATTTCAGTTGGTTAAACGACTCGGCACAATATAGTGCATTAAGAATTATATATTCATTGTTTCCAATGACCATGGTTTTCGTTCTCAATTTACATATACTCATTTGGATTACTGTATGCGGTATGTATATTTTTCAGAACTGTTGTATTATAGCTAAGTAAAACATTACAGCATTGCGTTTGTATTAAACATTATAAGTTATGACATCAATAAAATGTACGTCAAATTTGTATTTAAGTACTTCTAGCTGTATACTCGTACTAGATTATATAGTTATAAATATATATATAATCATAAACTAGTTATTTAATTCCCTAAAACCTAATATTTGATTCATACACTACGCCTAATTTTGAAGATAACAATTATATTACTCGAACACGACGTATAATCGATATATACGTTGTTAATAAACTTATATACTTGCATACTATAAAGGGCATTTGTAATATTATATAATATTATGTAAATATTTATAAATTTAGGTAGATGCCATGAACAAAATTGATTAGTATTTTATTACTTTTATTAGCGTTGCTAAATTATCTTGTGTTTTCAGTTTTAATTATAAAGATGTATACTTAATTATATGCGAAAATTTAATTAATATTATTTATTAAAACGTTGGAACTATCAACCTCTCGTGACGGAGGATTATAATTAATGAAGTATGGCAACAAATTTAACGTACCAAGGTAACTGTATAAAAAAATAATAAAACTGTAGTTACCTACCTACCTACTTATGCGTATTCGTCAACTGTTAAATAATAAATAGACCCAATGGCCAATTATACTTATTATACACCTACATATTATGCTAAAATATAAAATTAAAAATACAATACATTAATTGTGTAATGAATTGATAATGTGAAAATGTCCTAACTCAAGTTCAATTGTGTTTTTCACATTTTACATAATATGTATGTAACGTATAAAACAGAATTCAAAAACGTATTTTAAAAATACATTACTATGTATGATATCGAACAAATATACTTTTCAAACAATTAACATTTAATATGTACTATTTTAACTTAATAAAAGAGCAATGGATAGAGAGGTGTACCTATATTTTAACTATATACCGACGATAAGAATACGATTCTGTAGTTGAACACTGTGAACCAAAAAGCTTCGCTATACGGCTGAATAATAATAAAAATATCGATTTTTAGGGAGGTATGTGATGAGTAATAAACTTTGACATGATAATGGTGGTAGTGAAAATATTTTATTACCACTTTTTTGGCGATCATTAAAAGTGCATAAACTACTAATAGTATACAAATTAATTTTATTATTAAAAAAAATTAACACAATACTGTAACGTACTAATAATATAAACAGTTTATGTTGCCTATAAATTGATAAAAAAATTACTTCTTAATATGCTTTATATTATTAATTTGCAATGTGAAAAATTGTATAACGTAATTTATAAGAGGTCTGTGTACATTTAAGATAATTAATAACGATTAACAAATGTTCAAAGCAACAACAACCTAATAATACAATTATTTAGGTTCATAGTTATGTACAATGAAGATACTGGATACATTAGGAAAATGAAAATTCTGTTATTTCCGTGCAAGGAAACTATAATACCGTTTTTATACCTATATAGGTGTGCTTCGTATTGATAATATTTTCAAGGTTTTTCGTAGTTTTACGCGAAATATCTATTATGAAAATTACATGGAAATCACAAATAAAACTACGTGCTATGTAAATAAAAAAAATTCTCCGTAATTAGAAATTTATGTTTTTTGTACAATAAAATTAGGTATAATTATATATGATATATATATATATATATTACAAACTACCGCCCTATAGTGTATATTTGTGTTTATAATTACTCTCCTCTCTCTCTACATTTTTATGTATTTATGTCGTGACCAGGTACAATAATTTGTGGCGGCCACCTAAAAAGGAGTGTACCGTCCAATTCTACGTCATTTCAGGTGAGTTAATAAGATTATTAAAATACACTTTTATACAGGATGAATGGTGATCCATTTAACACAAGACACTCAAATTCCAAGGAAATAATTACCAAATACCTTTTTAGTATTTTCTAATGTGCTAATAGCTATACTGAAACTTAAATGGGAACGTAATATTTAATTAACCTAAGGAGAATAATTTGATGAAAATTGTGGCTGGTCGATAACTAATTTTTTAAAATACCTTTTATAGCTATTAAAGTTTAAGATAATAAAGAGCTAATAAGCTCTATAAAAAGCTATAAAGAGTACTATAAAGTGCTGTCGAGTTATTACATCACTCCACCCTTCCTCTCGTTCTAAACTTTAAACTTTAATAAATAAAAAATAGAAAAATAAGTGCCTGATTAAATGGGTCACCCAGTATTATTAATGTAAATAACATTTATACTGCTTTAAAATGAAAAAAAATGTCCATTTTATGACTAAATATATGTGACATGACTATAGAATAATATCTGATATAATATATTGTTCTGATCATCAGAATCTGATAAATAACGTTTTATAAAATAAAATAATTGTTTTTTTAGTAACATTTTCTCTGTCATCCTATAGGTGACACATTGACGACAGCCTAATCCATTAAAGCTTTATTAAATACACTTTCAATAATAATCTATCTAGTGGTTTCAATTAATTCTGAAAGCTTATATAGGTACACCGTACATTCTCCGCTCGATAAAGGGTGTTAATGTAAACATAAACCATATTAAATGGTGTTGCGTTCTCACGAATAGACTTCTCAGAAATTCTATGCTGATCGAGATGATAACCAAGATGTCTGACTGTAGTACATTTAAATTTTTGATGATATGATAAAAATGTTAACAAATCAGCATAAGTTAAAAAGATTTCTATTTTTGAGTTGAGTAGCTTGATTATTATATTGTAAACTAAAAGTAGGTTTATATAATGTTAACCTTACAAAATATTAGAGTATCCAGTTAATTTAAACGATTTCATTTATCCATTTAAACTATAATAATACAAAATAACATAATATATTATATACATAATGCAAATTGAAACGTATTGTATTGTAAGACACGCGTGGAAAACATACATTTGGATGCCAGGGGGAGAAAGTAATATAATTTTCCAATAAATATTTACGACAACGCTCGATTTATTTTAAACAATATTTTTACTATTAAATAAATTTGTAAATAATAAATTTAAATCTAGATTGAACTCGCATGTATAGCTAATTTGCTTATTTATTCTTAACGACAGATTTACCCCAATCATACGTATACCGTATACAAAAGTTCTGGCAAGTACGCTCGAATCGCCGAACCTTTAAAGGACATCAATTTGGCACATAATTTTAGATTATCAAAAAATGTGTATGCTATGGTTTTTGGTATAACCCCAAAAGGAGGAATAATATATGTACAAGATAAGGACCGACTGAAAGAAATAAACCAAACGGAAATCACGTAAGTGCTGATAAAACCTACAAGAAATAAATTAGGTATTTACCTAAATAGTTTATGCTTCATACGAATTACTAAGTACTGCAAAATTTCAATTTGAATTTAGACTTATTATTTCCTATGGTAACGGTCATAGAGCTAAGGTGTTGTTGCATTTAATCGATTCCCCTAATGAACAATGTTTGGATACATATTCACACTGCTCCGACATTAAAATGGACACAGAGGCTATTTGCACATCGTCGTGCGGATTAGGGTGAGTGTAAAATGATCTTGAAACGAATATAAATTAATAGAAATATACAAGCACTTAATATCAACTAAACACGATTTTTTTCTAATAAATATAACAATTATTACACGTACATAAAATGCTAATCACTAAAGGTGACCTCTAAATAGAGTTGGTGACGACGATTAATTTACATTGAATTATGCATTCATTGTTTATGAATCTTGACTGTCACGCTCCTAGGCCGTCTATTTGGGTAATCAGAATTTCCAATATAATCATAATATTACTACTATTACTACCACTACGAAACAATTGAACCGTTTTAAATTAAACCGTACTTTTGCATTAAACAGTTTTAATGACGACTTTAATTAACTTAATAATCGTGAAAAATAAAAACTACAACTAAAACTAGCAACGGTATCATAGAATTTTATAACAGCTTAATCACTAAATTCAGAATTTAGAAGTCCATTTTTGAAAAAATTTATTTTTTCATCTATTTTGTATTGCTCGTATGCATTTATACATTTATCCTATAACAGAGAAACTAATGAGTAATGACTACTCTAATTGTTTATCAACTAAAAAATATATACGGAAATTCTTATTTTATTGGATATAAGCTCCTTTCTTTCTACAGTAAACTGTGCTTTTATTTTAGCTTCGATACGGAGCTGAGAAGGTATTGTATTTACAATGATGTGGTTTTCTTTATTAATTTTTTTTTGTGTTTGTACCCACAATTTTTTTTAAACCGCGATTAGAAGAAACAGCGACCGAAGAATTCAGTTCACAATATTAATACGTTAACATTTTTTGATACCATATTATAGACGATAACAATATTTTCATACGTGTAAATGTGTATTTTTTTTTTTTTTTTGCATAGCAATATATTTCAACAATTAAAACAAAATTAATTTTTTAAAAATGACAATGAAAAACACAATGGTAATAAGTACAAATTATACATTGAAATGCTTTACACGTAGATCCATTTTCAAATGTCAATGGCGAGAATCGCCAAAACCAGATTTATTTACTACGAATTATTCGACATGTACGCCGGACATAAACACCTGTCCAGACGGTAATTGTGATCAACTAGAGTCAATAGATTCGCTAATATGTCCTCAAGATTGCACTGGTGAGTATAATACATAATATATTTATAATTACTACTGATAATTTCGAATATTCAACTCGGATTATATGGCCGTCGTACAGAAGAAGTATTTGGTACGGGACAAGAAGGTAATAAAGGAATAGCAGCTGCAAAGGGAGTCTGTACATGCGATGAAATTGGCAAGTGTACATGTGAAACAAAACCCAAGGCAGTGAAAAAAAAAGAAAAGACATTTCTAAAAGAATACTCCTCATTATCACCAGGTTTAACATCAATTATAAGACGAGCTTTCTAATGTCACCGAATTATACTTCATTAACTTGGGTTAAATAAAGCTTTAAAATACATTTGTAACTCCATACTATTGCATAGTATTTTAGAAAACACTTAAATTTACATTGTACTTGTAAATATCTGATTTTCTGGGTATCATTAAGGAAAAATATATCCTTGAACCTTGATTCTATATAGATTAATTCGTTGGCATTGCCTATTATAAAGCTCGCTGAGTAATAAAAGATTAATATATTTAACGAAATACTTTATTTGTATTAGTAATAAACACATGCGATAATAAATGGTGCGATAGCAGTGTCATCATTAGCGCGATTATTTTAATTGCATTTGTAACCAGTGGACTTCTTTTGTATTGTTTTAGATATAAGTAAGTGAATATTGTATAATATAATAATATAATATACATATATTTAACCTTAAAATACAAATATCCAAATTAATATTATGCATACTGCACATTATTTGATACTATATAAATACGTGAAGAACTTTTAAAATATTGTCCAAAATTTCTCTTATGCAATGATAAAGATAATATTTTGTACATTGGCTGTGCGAAGTTTTTACTTCAATCCCTATAACTTGATAGATATCCAATGACCTATTATATTTCAGCTCAACTTAGCTGACCTGAATAATTTTACATTTTTTTAGTTTATATATTTGGTCGAGTCATCCAGATTTGTCAACACATGAATCACTTGATTCAAATAAACACCCTTCGCACCGCCAATGGTTGTGTATGTATAATAGACAAAGACAGCATTCCAATTTAAACAATATTTAATATAAACTCAATATTGTTAATTAATGTTCGTACTATAAATTATTATCATGCAAAATACAATTTTTTTAGAATTTCCCGTTGCAGCGTTTTTAATACCAACAAGTTAAACAGAAATACGAGAGCTTTGGAAGGATTATTACCAAATCGAGGTCATAGCGATTATCAACCTAATTCGATTAACAGAGATACTTCATTTATAAACACTGTAAATATATTAATATTATTTTATGTTCGTAAAACTAACTTTCTAGTTGGGGTTTCACAGGAATTTGACCCAAAATGGGAATTTCCAAGGAGTAGGCTTGTGGTAGAACAAATAATTGGCGAAGGTGAATTCGGTAAAGTTCTAAGAGCCCAAGCCATAGACATAGCTGCGGCCAAAGGTATAGTTTAACTCAATAATCTATCTGAAAATCGAATAAATATATAATAATATGCTTCTTGTATAAATACACACCAAACGCGATAAAAGGTTATTAAACGCAAAAAGGCGGAACACATTCCTGTCGGTATGATACCAAGATTCTGCCTTTTAGAAATATGAATTTATATTATTATAAATGCAAATGTCTTTTTATAGTCATTTATTATCTTGCACATTCGCATATTCTACACATCCCTTTCCAGAGAATGCTTCTAAATTTCACATTCCAAATTCCAACGGAGTTATATGATCTAACATGTTTATTAATAATAATATTTATAGGGATGACGACGGTGGCAGTAAAGACTGTTAAAAGCGGATCAGACAAAATTGAAAAAGATGATTTGTTGTCTGAGTACAACTTGTTAAAAGAAGTAAACCATCCAAACGTCGTGAAATTACTAGGCGCTTGTACTACGCCCGACGGACCATTTTACTTAATAATTGAATATGCTAAACATGGTTCATTAAGGTTATTCATTTACTATTTAACTGATTATAAAGACTAAAATGTATTTATTTACCAACAAAATAACGTACAGGGCATACCTTCGAAAAATCCGAATCATAGACAACAACAGTTCGGGCAGTATTGTATCAAATCCAGAGGAATTGCTGCGAAATGAAATGAGACCGTCTGTAACATTACCACTCTACCCAATTAATCCTAGAGATATATTGAAATTTGCATGGCAAATTTCTAAAGGAATGGCCTATTTGACTGAAATTAAAGTATAAAACAAATTATTATTATTAAATATTAGCAAAACAAGTTAATATTATAATTGTTTCCTATTTAGCTGGTTCATAGGGATTTGGCTGCTAGAAACGTGCTAGTAGCTGAAGGAAAGGTGTGCAAGATATCAGATTTTGGTTTAACTAGAGATGTATATGAAGATAACGCGTACTTAAAGAAAACTAAAGGAAGAGGTTTGAATCTAAATCAATAACATAATTTTACTTTTAAGTTAGTATACAAGTTTGATACAGTTCGTCTTAAAAAAAAAACCGCGATTCAACAGTACATTTTATTATTTACATATATGTTCACACTCTGGCACACCAACTGGTTTAAAATTTAAAAAGAGGTGTTTGACTAAAACACCAATTTTTTTTATTAATTAGTAACTAAAAGGACTGTAATACCTAAAACTTGAGCATAAAGGTTTTGAGCGGTCGATGGGTAATAAAAATACATGGCTACTCGTGTTTTTTATGCGGGTAATAAGAAAAATTGTAAAATACGGGTTTCTTGTTTGCACGGTTACCTGTGTAATCGTAACCTCTCTTAAAAATGTATAAACTTATTTTGTTTTAATGTGTACTTTATTGCATTAATTTCTGAATGTCTTATAAAGTTCTACCAAACTTCAAATGAACCTGTCTAAGGATAGGTGTATACCAGTATACGATATTTGTGATCTATATTTCTTAAATATCAAAGTTAACTAAAACAGCTACCGTCGTATCTCGTTATATAATGGCCATATCAAAAAACGTTAAGAAATATATTCTCTAGAGGTATATTCAAGTTAAAGGTATTCTCATATTCTCCTCTAAAATAATACCTACATTTTTAAATTCAAATTAATAACAATTTAGAAATTAAGAACTCTAAAATAAGTCGATATGCATCGTATTATTAACATACAAAACACTACCCTAACAGCAACTATAGCGACAAATTATCGCTAATAAGTATTTTTTGTGGTTAATATTATATTTACGATACATATACATATATGGTTATAAATAAAAATACGCAAAAGTAAATTCTGAATCATTTTTTATTAAAACATAAAATTTGAAAATGTGTTGGTACGTGTTGTTGTTAGGGTAGGGAAGATATTTTAAAAACTACCCCAACCCGCTCTCAAAAAAAAATGGCAGTTTTAAAATGCATGCCAAATTTGTGTTCAGCAACCTGAACTTAGATGACAAATTCGCCCTTTAGTAACTTTTTTCTAAAAACAGCAAATAAAATATGCAGTACACTTTAATTATTATACTACACATATTCATAAATAATTATATTTGTACTAAACTTAATAGTACAAAAATATCTATTAAAGTTAGCCACAAAATAAAATTTTAAATGTTTGTACTCAAAATACTATTGTTGGAATTTGCATCTTTTTTGTATAGTTCCTGTAAAATGGATGGCGCCTGAATCATTAGCGGACCATATATATACTAGTAGATCAGATGTATGGAGCTTTGGAATATTACTGTGGGAATTAGTTACCTTAGGATCAGTTCCCTATCCAGGAATAATCGCTCAAGATTTATTTCAATTGTTGAAAGATGGATATAGAATGGACAAGCCAAGCAATTGTTCAGATGAACTGTAAGAAATTTATTCATTTTAGTTTGAATCTAAATAAAAATTGTTTATACATATTGTTTTTTTGTTACATTATATTTGTTGTATAACATACACGTATACTAATATCTTATATTATACCTAACTCCAAGGGCCGAAGGGGTAGTTATGATTTAGATTGCTTTCATTAGCAGGACCGTATTTATGAGGGTGGCTGAGGGGGCTCCAGCCCCCCCAAAAAAAAAAAATATCTAAATACGCCCAAGTTTATTGGCATTTTTTAAATTTACAATAATTTTATATAACTATATTTGCTCAATATCTTGCTTAATGATAAACATCTAAGAATTAAAAATAAATAAACACAGAACCTCGTTCTCCTGTTCTGAAGTAATACAAAGATCTTAGTTCTCACCCAAATCGGTAGAAAAATATGCCCTGTCTCCATTTAAAACATCTTACCTTACCATTATACAATACAAGACAAAAAAAAAACCAAGCGTAAAGTAAAATGTAAAACATTAAGGGAAATAGTTATAAAACTTATGAGTTATAACATATATGTATACATAATAAACGATGAAAATTAATTAATAATACTTGCTTATTATTTTTAGTTATGATATTATGTTGAATTGTTGGGCAGAAGATCAGAATAGAAGACCTAGTTTTAAATCCTTAACGTTAACTCTAGAAAAAATGCTAGAAAAAGGAAATGATTACTTACAATTAGACTTCAAAACATTTGTCAGCAATATGTGTTACTTTATGGATGGTAAAATACAAATAATTAATTAGTTATCTTGCACTTCATAATGTATTTGCTTTAATTGATTTAGATGAGGAGCCCCAAAACAAAAATAAGGAAGACGAAGAAGAAGAACAAAAATACGAATCACCAAAACAAATAACCGAAATTGGAATGTCATATATAACAATGAAAGATTTTGTTTTTGAACCAGAACTTCAAACACATATTGCATGAAGAATTGTATACGTGTGTGATTGTTGCCAAATAGACTCTTTCAAGCATTTATTAGAACCTAGTCAAACTTGCATTAATGTTTACATTGACATTACTGTATTGAACACAAATTATTATTAGTCAAATCTTATTTTCCTATACTTTTTTTCCTCGAACATTGTTTTTAATCATACAATTTAAAATATACTCCTCATACAAATATCTTGAATGGTTGTTTATTGCTATCAAGAGTATCTGTATTTAGCGAACCCAGTCTTAAGTTTTTTATTTTAAAGGCAGTGGCTCCAAATTAATCTTTTACGTGCTGTCAGAAGAGATAAAAGTAAAAATGTGTATTTAGTTTTTATGTTGCATCCTGTTATGTTTCCTCCTATCTCTAGATAGTCGATAACATTATATAAATACAAGACACTAGCTGCCTCCGAAATACTATCTTCTAATATATAGGATATAGGATCCTATGTATATTATAGTTGTCTCCGGTGACCTTTATGTCTTATGTGCTAGTTTCTTCCCGCGTTAGGTATTAAATATTTTTTATCCGAATTGCCTCTCGTAAATATTAAAAAAATGATTTTCGATGATACAGTAACCTCTAACTTAGTCGTCATAGTTGCTATCTGAGGGTATTCCGAATACATTGTATTTACTATTATAGACTTAAGTGTGGTGTTTATTAAAGAGTGCTACATGGTAAATTATATTTATTTTTATTTAACTCTTGAAATTTTACGTTGAAGTTGCAGCTCGAGAAATGCTAAGTGAAAAAGGAACAAACTTTAAATGACTACGAATTTAGTTTCCAAAACAAAATATTTCAATGATATCCAACGATTGAACTAGACAACAAAAACATGCTGAGCTTAAGATATATTAAGAGGGCACCACACACCCGTTATTTTCTTCAAAAAACCCGCCTTGCGCGGATTAATTTTACCAAGGCTGTAATCAAAACTAAGAAACCAAATTTTCACATAATATAGATTGTCTGTGTTCTACCATCACCCTTTTTTTAATATTTCAACCAGTTAATGAATAATTAATTAATTAAGAAAGGACTTTTTTGACTTTTAAAAATGATACAGCGTTGGTTGTATAGGTACATCGAAAAAATACGGATGATGGATCACAGATAATTTTGTCATAAATAATATGTATTAATTTCTTTCCTTAACTATACATAAAGCCTGAGAAAAATTAATCCGCGTAAAGCTCAACTCAACAGAAATATTTTTTTAAATAGCTGTCAAGGATGCTGTGATAGTCCGAAAAATAATTTAACTACTACAAAAGAGTCTTAACTACTGAACTCATAGTTAGTTACACATCACAGTTTAACCTTTAAGTTAAGATTTTGTAAAAAAATTGCCTATACTTTACTCCTTAAAAATGGGCGGTGTGGCGTTCTCTTAATGAGAAACCCAAATAATTTTCGTACCTATCAACATACTAATATGTAAATATCTCGATTAAGACTTAACACTGGCTTATTTTACTAATTTTAGAAAAAGTGGTGATAAATAGTTATTTTAAAAGGAAACACTAGAAATACATACTTTGGCGCCACTGTGTTAGGGCATAATTGTAAGACTAATAACTAATAGGTTCATCCTAAAAACCAACACTTTCTAGAAACTCTCGTACTAAATCTGCATGTAAAAACACTAAACAAATCAAAATTCGAACAATAGGTACAACAAAGTGAAAAGGGAATTAAAAACATAAAGTTTCTTAATTATTTATTAAAAAGTTTCTGGATTGACGATTAAAAATGATCTGTGGTAAGTAATTTCTTGTGTTATTTTAATCAATGCCCAAGAATACTATGTACAATACGCCTTTTATATTGCATAGATAGTACCAAGTACGCATCTAATACGAGAATTACAAAATAAATAATTATATTATTAATTGTTACATTATATATTTACTTCTTTAAAATTTCGAGGGGGGAGGGTGAATCCCTAACCTTCCCTCCCCCTTGTATACTGGCTTGGGGAGTACCAACTAAGAAAGGATTGTCAGTAATTCATTTAATTACTTATAATATTATGCACTCATTTTTATACGCCTCTGAGGAGAGTACATAAATCTATAAATACTATAATCATGTGCAAGGGAGTATTTTAGGGAAGAGACGATGGGGTGATCTGGATATTTTTTTATTGTAATCTATACATTTTTCATCCAAGTATAATATAAACTTTTATATAATATACAATAATACATATATTTCTTCCTCTCCCAGGTTTATCCTTTAGGGATGACCTTTAACTAGGTTTAACAATTAAACCCAATTCAAGGCGAAACTCCAGAAGGCACACATATTATATACAATTATTTATCGACTGTAATGATGCCAAGCTAAGTGTAGTGTAAGCTACGTGGAATGGGTGGAATGCGTGGAATAGCAGGATGCGGCCGGCCGGCCTATAAATCAGTCATGGAAGAAAAAATCGGTTCAATGCAATTTAAATGGCAATTCTCGACTTGATAAAATATTAAAATATATAATGATAAATAGCGGTCGACCGGTGAACTCCGGTTTTTGTCATTTTAGTTTCTACCTCAAAAGCCAAAACGTCGACCTTTGTCTATATAATAAATAATAGATTCGAATTTGTATGTATAGTGTATTAATAGTACAGCTGATCACTATATTATAGTACTATAATATATTATTATATTAAATTATAAGGTACGTCAATAACGGATTAGGTAAAGTTTTCCATTTTCTAGCCAATCGTCCAATAATCAATAGACAAAAGCGATAAAGGTACTGACTACTGTATACAGTTGTCAAGGTCTGGCCGCTGGCGATTGGTGTTCCGCGTTAGACGTTAGTTAAAAGTACCGTTGTGAAACGTTATCTATAGTATCTACCTCTTTAGTACACTGTACATCGTTTCACAGAACAAATAAAATATTGTGTGATTTTATCTGTATAGAAAAAATTGGTTATTTATATGTTTTATCTATGTAATAGGTATATTATACTATAAAAAAGGTCAGTTATTAGTAATTATTATGCTATATTCTATTTAGCGGTCATTGAGGGTGCTTAGTGCTTACACTTAACTTTATCATAACATATGAATTTCATATCACTAATAATATTTTTCTTTACAATACGAGGACCAAGTTCATTAATCAAAGTTTAAAATATATTTTAGTAAAATACTCGTTTAGAAAATACCCAATTATATTTTCGTTAACAATCTATTTATACGTATATTTTTAAATGTTTGTTAACGCTATAGCTACTCTTCACGCCGCATTCAAGTGTCAGTCTCCAATTAGCCTTGTAACGAAACGACTTTTGAGCTTCAGCATCAATACAAAAATGCCTATCAAAGTAAGTAAACACGATTACAGACAAATTACCGTTAACAAAATGACACTTGTAACAAATTATAATATTAATGATAAATCGAGCAAGCGTTGCTTAGTAACTTTTTACAATGATTATTTAGCCAAAATAATTTTTTAACAAATAAAAATAAATATATTTATAAAAAACAGAATTACGTTATTTATGAAATTTTTAAGACCTCTTCAAATTGCTTATATAAAAAAGGCTTGGACATACCTAAGCTCAAATTCCAGGAATGCTAATAGTCGGTTAGAATATTATAAAATATTTGTTTGTAAAACACCAAAAATGACATTTAAGGAAATAATACAGTCAAGTATTAATTCATTATATTTTAAGCGACCCAGTGTGTTTTCCAAAGTTCCAGACTAATTCACATGTTCTTATCTCTAACAAAAATTGTCGATTATCAAATATTTTTTAGTTTCAATTATAAATCTTCTTATATTTTATTTTTTATTTTTCATTATTTGATAATGGTAAATTGTTTATATTATAATTTTAATAATAATTAAAAACCATCTCATGCAGTGTGGGTCTAAAAGGCCTGTTAAGATAGTTGATAGTGATAAATGATAATAATTATTATTACAGGTTGGAGACGTCATACCCAGCGTGGATTTATCAGAGAATACACCCAACAACAAAATTAACATTTTGGACCTATGCAAAGATAAAACTGTAGTATTATTTGCAGTACCTGGTGCATTTACTCCAGGATGTTCTAAGGTAAAAACAACAACCATATTATTTATTTTAGCTTCTACGTGTATATAGCACAAGCTGTGGAGCCATGCATCCGCCACACTTACATTTATTTATTTTTAAAAACTGATATTTTGTAATTTCAGTCGCATTTACCTGGTTATGTAAGCACAGCTGATGATATAAAGAAAAAAGGAGTAGACGAAATTGTCTGTGTTTCAGTGAATGATGCATTTGTTATGGCAGCCTGGGCAAAAGATCAGAATTCAGAAGGAAAGGTAAATATTTAAATATTTTATGGCAACCCACAATATCTTATAAACCACTAAACAATTTTGTCACGTAGCAAATGTATTGATTGGAAATAGTGACTAAAAAGTATTTTATAAGGCTATAAAATCAAAAATGATTTACCCTTCCCTCTTCGAAATAAAGAAAAACACCCTAAAACTTTGCACATTTTTTAACTCAAAATTACATGCTATACATTTTTTTTTTAAATTAAAAGTTTTGTTTAGTTAAATTTCTTCCAAACTTGTATGGGATATTCTTTAGATATAATACTATTGATATACAATGAAAACCCAAGAAAATTTCATTAACCCTTTCCTCCAATTTCACTATTTTAGAATTTAATGTTTGAAAATTAACCTGAAGATGCATCTAGCATAACCCAAATAATATATTTCAAAAATACGTTATAATCAAACTTTTATTCATTGAGAAAAAAAAATAAAACTAAAAACATATTATTCTTTTAAAATGGTTTATATTGACTTTTTTTTATTTTAATGGCATAAATATATATTTACATATAATAAATTAAACTTGAGACACTATTATTATTATTATTTTTTTTTTTTTATAATATTATTCATACCCCAATTGATCACTCCAAATTTTCAATCGATTATTCTCAACCTAAAAAGTTAATCCTATACTAATTTATGAAATATTTAAATAAACCCTTAACCACAAAAATAATACTCAATAGTGTATAAATATTTTGGAAGTAATGTTACCATCTTCAGCGCATACAATAAACTGCACTCAGTCTTAGTCTGTTGTATGCGCTGAAGATGGTAACATTGCTGCCGAAATTCATATACACTATAGAGTATTATTTTTGTGGTTAATGGAAGTTTTAAATTTGTAATTATTTTATAACATATAACTACAAGTGTTGCTTAAGTTTTTCTAGATATACTAATGTATCCATTTTTAATTCTATAATTTTTTACTATCTACAGTTTTGCATCAAAGCGTTTCTTTATAAGTGATTTCGCCATTTTTAGTTTTAACAATTCCTAAAGATATGCGACCCCATTGTGTGGGCTTTGTAGAACACTAATATTAAAAAAAAATTTTTTTTTTGTTAATCCAGGTGCGTTTACTTGCTGATCCCCAAGCCGAGCTAACAAAAGCATTTGATTTAGCTATTGATTTGCCACCGTTAGGTGGTATTCGCTCCAAACGATACTCTATGTTGATTAAAAATGGCAAAGTAGAACAACTGAATGTGGAACCAGACAACACTGGTCTTTCTTGCTCATTGGCAAACAATCTCACTTTGTAGTTCTTTAATTTATTTTTTATTTTATTTGGCTTCATGATAATTTTTTTTTTTGTGTTTTAAACTTTGTTAATCAATTTTCATTTCAATATTGCTTATTTCTATGTAAAACTGTATACATTTGTATAATGTTATTTAATGAAACTCATTAAAAACCTATATATTGTGTAATCAAACAATATTTTACTGAAAATGTACATTATAAAAATAATTATTTTAAAGTTTTTATACTTTACATTATGGATAGTAAAAAAATCATATGCAAAGTCTCAAAACACTCAAGTGGTCAAAGTTTAAATTTAAAGTATTGCATTTTTATCGTTAGCTTATAATTTAATTATGAAAACGCATTCCCTTCAAACTGCTAATTTTTCTGAATTATTACTTTTGAACATATTACAGATTATGGAATTTTAATTATAATATTAAGGAAATTAACCAAATTGAAAACGTAACATCACCATATAATTTACATAACCTATTTTTTTGATAAGTCAAATAAAAATTGTTGTTCACTATAAGTACGCTGAACCCAGTTTTGGCCAAAAAAATTGATTTAAATCAAAGCATTTTAGCTAAAACTTAAAATTTGTGATAAATAGACTTATTATATTTGTTACAAGGATTAAGTACCTATATGTAACGTTTATATTGATAGAATTAAAAATAACTATGAAAAATTCTGTTTAAACCTTGACTAGTGATATTTAACTATAACCTAATTTTAAGATTGTGTTCTAATATGATAAAAAACAGATAAACAACTCTTAAAGGCTAATCTATATTTTAACATACGTTTTTAACGTCGTGGCCTTAACTTAGTTCTTGCTAACATACAAGGCCTTTTATAATGTATAATATGAAATATTTATTGCTTTACATGAGTTATATCAACAATAACACAGAAAAAAACTTGTTGATTTCTATACCCTAGATTTTACAAAAAACAAGAAATGCATTTTAAATACAAATTCGCTATGTAATAAAAAAGAACAATGCTTAAATACCCGTATTTGTTAGATATTTATAATTTAAAAATTATATGTTTTTCATTTAAGACGGTACACGCTAATTTTAAAAAATAATACGTCCTTTCTGAAAAAATCCATACTTAACATCTTTATTTACGATTACACATTATATTTATTTATTTATTTTTTGTCGTTTGTAGACATGTAGTAATTGTAAGTATAACTTAATAGTAAAACAAACTGTAATAATAACGTGTATATTATTAAACATAATATACATTATAATAATAATATACAATAATTTTATGTATACATATTATTACAGTTAACATAATTGTATTGGAAGTGCAAAGCCCAGGGACACAGCAAATAGCACACTCAGTTTATAATAATGACACTACCCGATATTTTTTGTACTGCGGTTAATTTAGGCCCTCTCCAGTAGAGTGTAGAATCTACACACAAAGCTATTCAAAAGAAAAGTAATTAATATGTGATTTAAATTAATACGTATAAGCGACTCGGATCTGCAGTCTGCACTCGAAATCTACTCAAAACGTGATCGAGATTAGTAGTTTGTTTTAATGTGTGCTCATATAAAGCAGGACTTTCGTTGTCATAATTCTGCAACACCGTGAATTTTTTGATAGCGATTCCAGTGAAATAGTGATGAAGAAACGGTGTTAGCATACTACTACTATAGAAGGAATATAAGACAAAGGAGAATTTGTGTTCATCCACACCTCGAAAGAAATTGTCACCGTTGATTATTCGTTGCTGCAAGAGGATACTATCTTTCAGATGCTAAATGTATATGATTTTATCGCATGTCTAAAGACGTGTTCAATTTTTGTTCGTCCATGCTTGTCTTATCTTTTTTTTTGAACACAAGGAAATCGGAAAAAGCCTTGATGACGAGAAACTGAAGTGACTCGACAGTTGAGTCACTTGGAACTTATCACCAACGCGTTACTAACTGGTTAGTAACCAGTAGCGTAGACGGCACGACATTTTATTACTTAGGTAGAAACAGGACTGGTTAGTGGTTTGCGTCAAAGTTCTGTTTCTTTTGAATAGATACGTGTGTAGACGGTCTTACACCTTTGATGCATTCGTTTTTACCAACGCTTATAAACACCCCCATTTTAAGGTCAATTTGGGCGTGTGTTGGTTAGTGGTAATTGTTATACTAGTAATATAATATGTGCTTATTGTTATTACATAATAGCCAATTGGAATACATAATTAAAAATAGAGTTCAGGTCCTAACACTCCGGCAACGTGGTCACTTTTTAGTTTTTAACGTAGATTAAATATAGTAAATCGAAAACAGCAACCGTTATGACAGCGAAATGGTCACAACGAATATACAGTTAATATAGTTTTGCGTCCAAAATTGGGGTTTCACAAGTCTATGGCGTGATCTACCTAAATAATATCATGTATGTTAAATGTTCTATGGACTTGAAAGTTAAAATACTAACTCATAAAGCATATTTAGTTGTTTATTTTTAAAAATGAGTATCTCCCGTGGCTTATAAATATATTTAGCTACGTTGAAAATGAATTGGGATGCAGTCTCCATATCTCGTTCAATAAATATTTACCCTCCTCAGCCCCTCTTTATTTGACCTTTATCGTTAAACCATTGCGAAAACTATACCTTGCTACAGCCTTCAGCAAAGGGGTCCGGTAACAGCAACAGATTTTTGACGGGTATCCCTTATTATATTTTACCCTACACTGCTATACTCAGTACTCGTTCAAATGATCAAGCGCTTTACGGTATTTGGGGGTAGGTATAATGCTATTGTTGGCAACGGCCGCGGCTTTAAAAACTGTGATGTGATGCCTATGTTAATTGTTTCGGTTAGGGGTAGATCAATTAAATATACTTAACCGTGCTGGCCAAATGATTTTGCATTCGTTAATTAAAACAAAGAAGTTAACGGATTGTATACACAATAATTAAAAAAGGTTTGTCATCAATAATTTTTTTGATACATTTTAAGTCAAGTTAAGGTATTAACGTGAATTATTTTTTATCGACTGTATACAACCAAATGCACAACATTGTAATTCCTAAATGTAATTTTTCTATGGTTATAGGTTAGAAGTAAATTGTTTATTTATCTTTTTAAGTTGAAGTACCTAGGCAGGCCGTAAGTTGCTGTACACCGAAAGTAAGAATTGATTGTCGAGACATTTCACGTTAGACAAGATAAGTTAATAAATTGGCAATAAATACACTCGAGGGTATTAAATAACTATAACTAAACATAAGTATTTACATTTTATAATATATAATCAAAAAAAAAAAAACCTTTTTGGTCAGTGAAAATGGTCATTGAGGTGATTTGAACATATGGAGAAATGTAAGTACGCTTGTCAATTAAACCTTTTACAAAATAATTTTTATTAACAATTTTGTTTTAGGCATAAGCTCAGTAGAGTGTAGTTAATTCAATAGTTTTATTACAAGATCTCATTAAGATATTTAGATCTAGAATTCATAGATTTGAAGCCGTATCTCAAGTTCAAATAACTTTTCGACTAGTTGTGTTCAATTTGTTCCCAAATTCGGCAGTCACATAGATAAACTTGATCTTCTAACTCGTATTGCCTGTTTACTTTTTCAGAAAAAAATATAATTATTAAAGTACAAACTTTGTTATGTTTTTTTTTCAAATACATATATTCAGATCACTAAATATTTAGGCATGAATACGGATGTAAATTTAAAAACGAATTAATCTATTTTTTTTTTTTGTGTATGATGGTTGCCTCTACGATCTCATATTATTAACAATCCCACGGATATGAATAGAAATCAATAAATATTTTATTTTCTTAAATTAATAACTAATAATTATTAACTTCCATCTAAGAAATTATAGCTTAATACTGAAAGCACCCAGACTAGGTACGATATTTTTTATTAGTACATAAATAGTTATCTGTTTTAGATAACCAATACTATAGATAATAAAATATAATACGTGTAAATTATCGCAGAAAAATCATGGTATTATTTTTATCTGTTACGTAAACAAGTGCAACAAAAATCCATATTATTAAACAGAGTTCTAACGGTCAATTAAATAATTATAATTAACCCATTACAAGTTTAATCGACTTAACAGTGCACTACAATTTACAAATTATAATAAAAACACGGTGTACCCATCAAGTCATTTAAATAAGAGAGAATGAAAGGCCCAACAAACATTTTATGCGCATGCGCCATAGCTAGTCTTAAGGTACAGTGACCAATGCACTCAAATAGTGATTTGTATTTCATTTCAGTTACATTACCATTATATTATTTTTTACCTAGACCAACCCGGCAAACGTGTTCCCAAATTTTTCCCCCTGAAGAATCTTGTCCACCAACCAACGTCAGTATCGATCCCACTGGCGCGGCGAGTCGTTTTTATTAATAACTTTCAAATTCTATATCTAAACTCTATTCATTACCCAATTGAAATTTTACCGACAAAATATTTATAAAACGTATTAAAAAAACTAAATGTCGTATACTGATATGTTATGTTGTATTCAAAATTGTCTATTTAACCAACGACCTACAAAAATAGTATAAGCGTGGGTACTTAAAAATATTTTTAAAAAATATTTTCACGGCTTTTTTTTTAGCACTCATATTTCTCGTACCCGTATTTAATTCTTACAATTTGTTCAGATGTTTGTAGCTGATTTTATCTGTGTGTGGTTAATAAAATAAAATGTTTTGCACTTTTTGTTCATAATAACTGCGGTTGTATTTATTTAGTCTAATGAAAACCCGAAATATGTATTTATTCGTTTTAAAATTATTCTATATAATCTCGCGGCGTAGGTTTTTATTCAATTTGTAATTGATCAAACGAAATTATTTACAGGGGGTACGTTTCGTCCAAATATATTTCGTATCCTTAGTAGCTTACTATATTACATTTCAGTGGCCGTGTTTTGTTGCCTACCGAAAATATTACATACAAACACGTAGGTTTTTATTATTCCCAAGTGTTGTGGCCTCTTGCCTGTTAAACGCATCTTATCTGTTGATGGCGCTAATAGTCGACATGCCGGGTTAGCGCGTTAAGCGTTTGACGGTTTTTTTTTACAACTCCTATGGTTTACAATGTCTTTGGAAAATCGATGTTTACCACAAACAAAATGTTGAAACCGTTACACAAACGATCGTCGTACCGTACCGGCGCCCGGTGCGATTATGTGACGCACACGGTTACTCGTAGTCTCGTACCACTGAAATACAACATGTTGCGGAGTCCGCTTCACGTTTACAGTTGTGACTTGTTGTTATGATTATTATTTTGTATTTCATATATGTTGTCTATAGTAGCAGGTATATACTTTCACTAGGGGGGGAGGGTGTTTATAATAATGATGCGACGTAAAATCAATGACCCGGCTTGTTTGTGTAGGTATACAAAAAAGGGTGTTCAATAAATAATATTTTCCGACTAATTAAATGCCACGCATTGAATTAAAGACAAATTTAGAATAAAACAAAATTAGTGGTCAACTCCCAATTCAAAAAGTCATGTTGTCCACAATAAACTTTACAGTTTATCATAGTTGCTAGTTGGCCCAAGTTGACAAACTCGTTAACCAATAAAATACTAATCGCCACAGTTCCCGTTAACATATTTATAATTTCTTTATCTGGGATAAAGACGGTGCGAAAAGAAAAAAATATTTCTTAACACTACTCTAGAAAATAACTGATGGGGGGTCTTTTTTTTTTATTTGTATTTGCAGCAATAAAAAATCCCACAATGCAATATAAGTATTAAATTATTTTCGATACGAATATCGAAATTGATTAGCTAATTTGAATTATAAACACAACACTGTAAGCAATACAATTTTCCTAAACGTGTTTATAATAAATTGTTTTTGTTCAAATAAATTATTATTTAATATTTATTTTAAATTCGTGAGCACAAGCATGTACATCAAATAATACGTTGCCTAATATTTTTGTTCGATATTAACGCCAAAAGCGTCCGTCAGAGGCGCTGTTGTTCGTTTTAATCTCGTCGCCATTGTCGCGTTTTGCCGGTTTTAATCTCAAACCCCTCTAGATTTTTCCTAATTTTTCTTAATTTTCTAATTTAAAAGCCAAAAGTTAAAAGGACATTATTATAATAATAGTGTACGAATTTTAAACGGATCGTAGGGGTTTTATTCGGCCCGAAAATAACAAAAAACCAAATTGAAAATTTGACGTCGGCCGGCCCCACCAGCACGCGCAATCTTCACAAACAAAGAACACCGCTCGCTCGAGCCGTATTCGTTGTACGTTTGTCCGCTCGTTCGTTTGCTCCGTTTATTTCTCGTGCCGACTCGCGTGCATTTTCGGTTCGTTTCTAAACGTGTTAGTACGCCGTTTCCGTTTTCAATACCTTGTGTATTTTTCCCACCGGATCTCGGTGTAACTTCTGTTTTAATAAAAAAAAAATAATTTAAACCAAAAATGAGTACAAAAGAAGCAAAAAACGACGTGGTAGAAAAAATCGCAGAAAACGACGTTGCAGACCCCAAGGCCGACATCATCAAGGGAACCAAAAGGCCGGCAGACGTAAGTACCCGTTAAAAGTATGATTAATCCGTTCAGAAAATTCACAACACCCGTAGATTCTTACGAACGACGGAATCTGGATTTTCGCGGGCTTCGTTTGAAATAAATTCGTAGTGTCACCCGGCGTACCGGTTACCGGCAATTCATTATGCCCGCCATTTTTACCCCGGCACGTATCGTGTGGTACCGCGTGCGTTTTGCCTGATATTTAATATGTATATCACTAGTACTTGGCGTTGTCGTTGTTCTTAACCACTCGATGCGTCCGAACGAGATTTTTAATTATTACAATATCGATTTCAGTGAATGACGCCAGTATTTAGAGAGATGTTCGGTAGCGTCCCATACCATTCGTTTCCGGCATCAACGGTTTTTTACTAGGCCTGGTCTCGATTTTACCCCCTCCCCTTCCCGCTGTTTCGTTTACACCGGAAAATTTGATTTCGTTTTCCGACTTGATTTTGAAATATCTTCCGTCTGCAAATTGTTCGACTAGGTTACAACTTGTCAAATGTTTTTATATTATTATATAATAAATTATCGTAAAGAGAAATACTCAATACGGGTTTTCTGATAATGAAACTTATGCGTTTGGATTGATCAAAAATCATATTATTCTACGTGTTAGGAGTACAAATATTATCTCGTAAATGATAACAATGTTAGTTTGAACGTTAAGATGATTATGAAAACTTAGTTTATAATATTATTATTTTTTTTATTTTTATAAAAGCTTACATTCAATTAGGTGATACACACAAATTCATATTACTATTAACTTTTACATCAATAGTATTTACCTGAATTCTGTCCTTAAATTTCAAGTATTTGTCATTATAATAACTACAAAGATTATATCGCTGTGGGGTTACTTTTATTGAATAGAACATAATCAAAATATTTTATACTTGTATTTAATATTTTATAACAACCAATTGTATTGAAATTCAACTATATATTTTATTTGTGTACGAGCATAATTAATTATAGAAAATCAAATAATATTATTTATCAAGGTTAAAAGTAATTTTTTTTTTAACTTTTTAGGACAAATCGGATGAAGTAAAAAAACAGAAAAAAGAAGAAAACGGTGACGAAGAAATTGAAGAAGAAGAAGAGGTTGAGGGTGAAGAAGATGAGGAAGAAGAATTTGCTGAGGGAGACGACGATCTAGATGAGGCTGATGGTAATTGTTTATTCAAATACGATTAATGTGTATATTTTTTTCTTACATAAATTCTTTAATAGTGTGTTCAGAAGAAGACGACGATGATGTTGATGGTGTAGAAGAAGATGAAGATGATGTGTAAACTGATAAAATGTACAATTGAACAAGTCTCTTAATTTTTATATAATTTATACATAGTGCGCATGTACTCAGTGTCTCCTGTTTGATAGAATTTTGATTTCAAAATGTATTTTTTTTTTTTTTTTTTTTTTATATATGAACATATATATATATATATAACACACTCACATACATATGAATGACAAACAAATGAATAAGCTTTTCTGCTACTGAGTGACTAAGATAAAATTAGCCTTTTTTTAATTATTTAAAAACATGATTCCTACTAATTTTTTTCTGTGTACATGTTCCAAATCTCTAGTCACTCACTATCGGTCAAGTTTTGAGCATGTGCTTTGTGGAATAAGTTTTTTAAACTTTGGCTAACTGTTGACTGGAATACTTAAAACTAACTCGACCACTTTTATGATTGATTTTTTTTATTATTATTATTGTAACAGGTTACAACGCAATACATTTTGTTTTTTAAGTAATATTTCCTATTTATAAGTAAATAATAGAAATATTTACAAATACGTTTTTAAAATGCTAAATTTTAATTTAGGTAATAGGTTTAACTTCTAAACAAATTGAAAAATATATTTATATATATATATATATATATATATATGTATTTATATTGTATATAGATATATATATATATATGTGTGTATATATATATATATATTGTTTAAGCATGTAAGTTACTTTTGTATAAAACTTTGATTAAATGATAAGATAATCAAAAAACTCTCGTGTTGGTTTTTTTATTTTGTATTCTCGACATGTTTTAAAGTTTAGGAAATTTGTTTTTCATTCCAACTACAATATTTTTTTTGAAGAAGCCACTGAACATGTTTTAGTAAGATTTTTGCATAAACAAAGAAAATGGCAGTTCAATTTTATAAACCAAATAAAGTGTACTTTTATTAACCCGTCAAACATGTACATGTGTGCATAAGACAGTATTCTAGTTAATTTTTTTTATGTTGTAAATAATTTTAGTACAATAATAATGGAATGTTAATAATCTTAATACATATTGTCAGTTGCTATGCTCAGCATTTATTATCTTTTTTTCCAATTTAATATATTAAAAAATGTGATTGATATTTTTACTTACTACTGATTACAAGTAATTAATAATCATGGCTGAAAATCTGTAAATAATCTATACTGTAATAAAAACAATTATGCGGTCTGTTCATAATGAGTGAAATTTAAGTATTTATGTAAATCGTCGTAATAATTATAAATACTCTTAATAATTTCTTGTAGATTTGAATTAAATATCAAACTTCTATTTAGCGTATTGAGTCTAATGTCTGTTTAGGAATTGGACATAGGGAAAAAAATATTTATGAAGGGAATAGATAGTTATAATCCAATTGGTGTTTAATGATTAATTAACTTTAATAACTTTGTTTTATTATAATTATAACTTAATAATCTAATTAAGTACATTTTGTCAAATTAGCAATTCAACAGTATTAAAAACATACTTTTATATTTTAACTAGTCTTAAATAACAAATCAGTTCAATGTAAAAACAATAATTTATTTATTATCATAATAATAAATTGGAAAGAAGGAAAATGTTAAAAAAAATTGAATGTTTGCCTCAAACATATTTTTTTCAAGCCTAATTATAAATTATTATGGATCGTAAATAAATGTTTAGACAATAATTTATTAATATTATGTAGTTCATGTATGTAATTTAAATCCAACAAAAACCTAACAATGGAACAAGTTCCAGATCCCCTCTCAAAACAGTCAGCTTATCAAAGTAGTGATATTTGTGGCCAAGTCTGCTATTTTTTTAGTTCATAACGTCATTTCACTCCTAATTTCATGAGCAACACTGCTCTTGTATTTTTATTGCTTAACACTTGGCCAGGTTCTGAATGAGGCATATAACATTCTTGGCCGCAATTTAGATACCACTACTTAGATTGGCTGACTTCTTTGGGAGAGTATCTGAACCTCTTTGTTTTTTTCTGAGTAAAAGAACCTATTATAAAATTAAAAAAGAACAATATTCCCAAGGGCACCACGTTGCGTTTTTTTAAAAAAAAATTCATTTTTTAGTTACAGTCATTTAAAAATGTTGAAATAGTAGTTATTTCTAAACTATGTATTGAGCGTTATACTTGGAATAATTAAAAAAACGCACTGTCTTGCCCTCTGGAATATTGTTCTCTTTTAATTATATAATGGGTGCTTTTACTCTAAAACCAAAATTAACCGAGTTATTTTCAGTCTGCTTAAATATGTAGAGATGAAAAAACATTTTTAAATCGCTTTTAAGGATGCTGTGATAGTCCAAAAAATAAATTAACTACTAAAATAGAGTCCTAGTTGTTGAACTAATAATTACACAGCGCAGATTAAGGGGTTTGCATGCGGCCGGTTTTTTCAGTCAAACACATCATTTTTATTCCATTGCACAGACCGAACCAGTGATCCGATAAGCAATCTAAAAATAAATTTGAATTGCCAGGGTACTTATTTCAATTTTTAATTTTAACCCTTTCCAAATTTGATTTTAAAATTTAAAATTTTTATATAATGTTCAAACTTGTTTTGATACATAGTAGAGATAAGATATCGCATGCAATTCCCTTAAATTAAGATTTTGTAAAATATTGCCCCTGCTTCACTCCTTAACAGTGGGTGGTGCGATGCCCTTTTAAGAGGACGCCACACCGCCCATTTTTAAGGAGTAAAGTATAGGCAATTTTTTACAAAATCTTAACTTAAAGGTTAAACTGTGATGTGTAACTAACTATGAGTTCAGTAGTTAGGACTCTTTTGTAGTAGTTGAATTATTTTTCGGACTATCACAGCATCCTTGACAGCTATTTAAAAAAATATTTCTGTTGAGTTGAGTTTTACGCGGATTAATTTTTCTCAGGCTTCATGTATAGTTAAGGAAAGAAATTAATACATATTATTTATGACAAAATTATCTGTGATCCATCATCCGTATTTTTTCGATATACCTAATACAAGCAACGCTGTATCATTTTTCAAAAGTAAAAAAAGTCCTTTCTTAATTAATTAATTATTCATTAACTGGTTGAAATATTAAAAAAAGGGTGATGGTAGAACACAGACAATCTATATTATGTGAAAATTTGGTTTCTTAGTTTTGATTACAGCCTTGGTAAAATTAATCCGCGCAAGGCGGGTTTTTTGAAGAAAATAACGGGTGTGTGGCGCCCTCTTAATGTGATTACCTACTGATCATTCTTGGCATGACGCTAATTTGTTATAATTATCCACCGTTATTAGTGAGACAGACTACCCTAATAGGTATATCATCTTAAGGGGAACGGAAAGCGTCAATTTTTTTACAAATAAAGACTAAAACGCGGAGCACTTTCTGAAGTGTCTACTGAACCGATTTGAATAAATTTTTTTTTGGTTTTATAGTTTAACATCTTTTCTATGAAAGGCTATTAATTGTGAATATAAGTAATGAACGAAACTATATAAGCAGGTATTAACCAGGCACCAAGCGTGGATTGAAGGAGACGCCTCACCACCGCCATCCCTAAAAAAGCAGTTTCTGTAACCGCCAAAAAACAGTTGCTTATTATTTTCGATTAATAATAATAATTTAAAAATCGATTTAATGTGTTTTAATCACATTAAAAAGTGAATTATTAACTATTTTGAATAATTTATCTATTAAATAAATAAGCATAGTTTTTAATTGAATTATTTGTTTCAATTCATGTGATTCGTGAAAAATTATTCAAAATTTGAATAATTGCACTATAATCGGTATATTTACTTTTATTACACAGAGTGTGATTTAATTCACTAAAACGGGTTTTGTAGTTTTTCTATAGCTTGTTATAATATAATATAGCTCTGTTTCCAACTAAGAAGTATGTCCGAATGTCATATATACATTTTATTACGGTAGTCAGTTGTTATTCTAATTGCATTTTATGTATGTTATCTGTGATCCGTAGCGCCTATTTTTTAGAACGTTACAATACCGAAAAGGGATCTTTTTATAATTATGTGCCGAAATAATATTTAAATATAAAAGTTTATTTAAATTTCACAATGTGTTAATTATGAAAAATTCTTGTAATACATGCGTAATATTTTTTAATAATTATGGATCAATATGTCAGTAATACGATGAAGCCTTATAAGCGTCTATTTATGTATATTAAATTTAAATGGGGTATGCAATAAATATAATTATAGAAAGTGGTAAAATGTTAATTTATCTTTTTTTTAAGTACCACCATTGTTAAAACCTTTTTTCATAAACAATAATATATTTTTAATTAATAATAAAAATACGAAATAAAACTTAGGTACTACAAAAGTAAGTTTTACTTAATAAAACAAAGGGTGTATATAATTAATTACTTGCTTTCGTAAAACGTTAGTAGAGAATTCAAATAAAAAGTTAACGCTAAACATATATGCAGTCAATACTAAAGATTTCCAAAATGAATACTCCAAATTTAATATTAATTATTTATAATATTTAATATTTGGGTATTTCGAACTAGCAACCAAGGTCAAAACATTCAGTTTTATGTATATATTATTAATACATTATTTTCTAGTAATTACTAAAAATAATTTAGAATAGATAAATAGACTTATATATGAATATTTAAAAATAATTATAAAATTTGTATAAATAGATAGGGATTTTTGTTCAAAATGTAGGTAATCTTTATGAGAAAAAAAACTTTACCTGAAAAAAATATATAAAAAGTATTTTTTTATTCAAATGCATTATACTTTTATAAATTTGTTAATAAAAATTGTATAACCAACAAAAAGGGGTTTAATTAAATTAACTTAACCCTTTTCATATAATAATGAAATACTTAGCCCTTTATAAATAAAATTACTAAATCATAAATGGGTTTGTGTGCAATAGAGCGATATAACCCAAAACTACTTGGCAACGTGTTTGATTAATTTTTATTTATTTGAAATATAATTTTATAAAAATATAAATATCATTAATGCTTTTAGTACTATTAAAAAGTAAGAAAACCAAAGGTTTAAAACGTCATGTAACATAAATCATAATATCGATGGTGACACGGCAAAAGGGTCTAAGCGACACTTTGGGTCTTAGCGACAAGGCTTATACTATTGGTTAGAAAACCGTTAAATATTGAATTTTTTTTATTTAATAAAGAACTGAAAATATTGTAAACAATTTTTTAACGTTTTTATCTAATATAAATTTAAAAAAAAAATAGTAAAATTACAAAAAAACGTTTAATGGCTATCCTGAAAACTATGAATTATGTCGCTTAGACCCTTTTGCCATGTCACTATCGATATAACCATAATATAAATCATAGTTACCAAACAATATATTATGTATGTGAATAATATCATATACAATTATCATTTATATAGTTATATTGGAAGTTATATTTTTTGGAATACTAATCCAACGTTTATTTACTCATGTTCCGAAGATAATTTTTGCCAATTTTTTTTTTTCTCGAAAATGTTTAACTTCCATGAACGATTGTTCCACACTCCACAGTCTGTTATGCTGTTTGGTTGGAGCAATTAATGTATTGTGGAACAAACTCATTTGGACAAAACGTCCGTTGGTATAACTGTTTAGCGGAAAATAAGGTGATTGTAACAAATGTCTATTGGAACCATAGACCTTATAATACTAGACGGAGCATGCATGTAGTTCCAGCGAGCCGTCGCGCTGCGCTGACGGCGGTACCCGATGACGTCATGAGGCGATCTGTTCCTGCGCATTCGAGTTTCCAGTTTAAGAAATATGGTGCACGGCTTAAAAAGTATTGTATGATAAATGATAATTGATATGTACCTTCAGAATCAATAAATATTTGTAATATTGTAATAAGTAATAACTGTTCATAATAATATAGTAACCTATTATAAACAAAACAAAATAATGTTGTACAATTCTAATAAACAATAATTTATACTTTTCTCAGTGGTATCACTGCTACGACAATAGTCGTGCTCGCACCACCCGCCCGCATCCTACCCGGATGCTCCGTGTGGTAGTATATGGGCTATGATTGGAACAAGCCATAATCTTGGATAAAAGTCTATGGAACAAATGTCTCGTAGAATAAAAAATTTGTGGAACAAAAGGTAGCGATTCATTATCAATTATTCATTATAATTGATGCAAGCAGCAAGATATTAATATTAGGTACTATCAGCTAACTGATAACTGAAGTCTCAACTGTGTTTTAATAGTTAAAAGCTTAAGTTATAACTGTTGTATTATAAATTTGGAGTTATAGATGTTTAATGTTCACTTTACCGTTAATAATATAAATTTTAAATATCTGTTATGGGTCATTCAACGTGAATATAGCCACAGTATTTTTTTATCAAGTCTAGTATACATAATCTATCTTACTTAATAGGTAAATTGCAAGTTGGTTGAGATCAAAATGAAGAAGAAAAGTGCAACTAGTACACCTGTAAGTTGACATAATAATTGTTAAGAAATGTTCAGGTTATTTTTATTTGGAGACATTACTTACGTAGATAATAGACAGTAATTCAATTAAAATGTTTAAGTCTAAGGCGCTATAGTAATCATCAGAAAAATAATACATTGTACCAAGGCTCACTTTCCATTTTTTTTTTCTTTTAAATACCTTCAAGTTTATTTATAATTTCAAACCGTGCATTTTTAAAATATTAATTATATTATCATTTTTTATTGTGATTAAAATATGTTCTATAAATACGAAAAACAGCACAGTTGAGTCAGGGCAGTGATGTGGTCCAAATGTATGGGCACATGCCTAAATCACTGTTAGAGTTATACGTAGGTTAACTACACCCCTTCTTGCTTCACCATTCACAAATTTCTCCATTTATGTAATATGGTCCTCCATAAATAAGCTTGTGCTTAATGGAAAAAAACAAATATTAGACAAGTTTGGTCTTATTCACTGAATAACATGCCTGACAAATTGTAAGTACTGGGAGCGGAATATATTTTTAAAGTGTTTATTATTTTTTTCATTTATCTAATAAAAATATAATACCTACCTATATAAATAATATTTTATCTATTAATCTAATGTAATCAAGTATAAAGTTATAGGTTTTACATTTTTGTTTGTAAAAAAAAATGTATTATAGCATTTTTAATTATAAGTTATATATTTTAACATTAATAATTAATAACTATATTTTTAGGTGTATAATTTAAAATTTCAAAATGTTTCAGAAAACAAATTGTAATGTAGAAGAAACTAATTTGAATACAATTAAAAAAAAAAAATTAACTAGCAGACAAAAGAAAGCTTTGACAAAAGTTTTAGAAAAAAAGCAAAAAAGTCAAAAGGTAATTATAGTTTATAAATTATAATATATTAACCACAAGCTATCCGGACCCGGCGTTGCCCGAGATTTAGTCTGCCAGGGCTGAGTAAAAAAATCCCCATTCCCACCCCCATCTCTAATCTCTTATCAGATAATAGCGTGACAGCGTTTTTGTGACACTTTTTTCGGTTATTATATCCTCTTACTCAAGTGTCCTAGTCTCAGTCCCAGATCCCGTTCCAACAGTTAAAAGCTTGCCCAGAATCGTGGTACATAGAATCGGCCTGTTCCTTTATTTAATCATCACCTACCATTTGCTCGAACCGTGGTTACCATGGTTAAAAACATTTAATTTATTTTCATTTCGTATTCTAAGTACGAAGTTCGTGTTTGAGGCCACCCTTAGGGGTGGAATTTTCGAAAAGTAATATGCTAGTTAGGTTCGCCAGAGTGTACTCAACAACTTCCCAAAGTTTCATGGCGATCGGATCAATGGTGTACTAACGCATAAAGGACAAACATTAATTTATACATGTATATAGATTTGTTAACACTTAGAAGACGAACCACGTGTTTTGTTAAGTGGAGAAAGTCACAAATAGTCTACTTATTGAATCTATATGAACACAATTCATACAAAATATTATACTAATGATGTAAATTTGAAAATCCGGACTTTCACTAAATATGCTATTTTAGCCATTTAATAATTGTATAAATACTGTATACAAATCTATATACATATATATATATATATATATATATATATATGTGTGAATATTAATTTGTATACATATAATGTCCATAACTTCAGAATTCAGCAACAGATCAAGCAGAAATTTTCAGGAGTTATTCATGTTGTCCTAAAGAAAGGATTAAGCCAACTTGAACAACCCTGTAGAATGAGGAGTTTATACAATATATAAATGTGTTCAAATAAAAAGTTTTTAATAGAAATATATAAAAAAAAAAACACAAAACCGAAAAGATAAATTGCTTTTGGATTTCGTATTTGTTAAAGTCCGAAAAACAAGAACTCGAAAGTATTTCATCGGCAAAGTTAGGCATTTTTTTTTTTTAATTTTCATCAAAAACATTTTGCTTGGATACACAACTTTATATTGTATTAATATTTAGCATTAATATGATTTAATAGCTAAAATTTTCGAATTTCCATTACTATATTGTATAGCCATGAAAGTTAATTAAAATAGTAGGACCAAAATAATATAAAGTATTTTTTTTATAATATTATTTTATAGAAAAAAAAATTTAAAAACGTTTGAAAAACAAATTCAATTACTTTAAAGTGTTGATATATAGTGCTAAAAATATTAAACGCATAACAAGTATTGGTTGATGATGTTTCAGAGATCTGACATGCTCAATGAATTGAAAAGCTTAGAGCTTTCAGCACCTACATTATCCTTGATGACATCTATTAGCCAAACACAAACTACTGGATTAAGAAACGTTATGAAAGAAAAAGTAATTTATTTATTTTTGTTAAGGTTATTTACAAATCGTTAATTGTTAATAACTTTCATTCTTAGAAAAAACAACAAACACCAAAAAAATCAACTATCAACCAAAACAGTTCAGGTGTAATGTTAATTAACGAGGATAATGGAATCAATGAACAAATGAAGAGCTAAATTCCTGAAAAATTACTTTTTTTGGAGTATATTGTGTTAAATTGATAAAACATTATAGAGGTGGCCATATAGATTTCACCTCCTTATGTGCCGTTTTGGGTAACCAATTCAAATATTCATCCAATAAATCTAAAGAAAAAAATGTTTATAATATTATACGTGTAAAATAAAAAAACATCAAAATGTTATAAACATTACAGTTTGAATTTGTGCTCCAACTTTCTGCGATTTTCTTAGCCGAGTCATCATTTTTTTTTTGCAAAGTTTGTGGAACTAAGTAAAATGATTCTTTTAAACTATAACATATAAATATTATTAGTAACTGAATGAAAACAAGTAATGTCGGTAAGTTTTTATTATTAACTTACTATCTCATATGAGGCTTTAATAAAAGATCAGGTTTCGATAACAAATGCTGAGTAAAATCAACAAGTTTTGGGAACACTTTACCATTGAGTATAAAGAAAGCTAGCCAACAATACTTCTCTTCCACATCTGGAAACTCAATTTCTGCATGTGGTAATCTCCAACCAGCGTGTCCTTTAAAAATAATAATAATAATAATAATAATTTATACAATTTTACTGTATTAAATAGCTCAAATGGCTCATTTAGATTTTATTAAGTAAATTGTATTCAATATAATATAAATCAATTAAAAATATGTTCTTGGTTAACACATATAAAAATAGCAAAAAAAAAAACTTAAAATTAATACAATTTACATGACAGTCTACTTTTTCACCGATTTTAAATTATACAATTAAGCAGTAATTAGAGTACACAATATTAGTTACCGACATTATAAGGATTCTACCTAGTTTATCTATAAACTAAGATGAGGGTACCTCTTATGGCACAAATTCCTCAGAAAAACTATTTGCAGTTTTAGTGTATAGCACTGCTTACCTGTATATATTAAAATAAAGGGTATAATGAAAAAATTAGATAAACGTAATTTAATAAATACCATAGGTTGCATCGATTGTGCATAGCATCTTTCCAGTTTCATCACAATATCTAGGTTTGGGTTCATCTAATATTTTTAAAGTTTTGCACAACTTTGTAGCATATATTGGTAACCATTCTGGCTCAATAGCAGTAATTCCTAAGTAATAAACATATTTTGTCTATACAAATTGATAAGTTAATATAATTACACAATCATTGCTTAAATTGAAGGTAGGATTTGTAGATTGAGGGAAAATTAATAAATTTACTATGAGTGGTTTTGTTTAACATTTTTTAAACAATTTGGAAAATAAGACTCGATACATTGAATTGTTCTTGTAGTTATAATACTACCACTACTACGGAACAAATCTACTTTACCAGGCCCCTTTTTTGTTTCGATTTTTTTTTTCAAATCGATAGTACATTTAATGCTGATTATGAATCTGCAAGAATTTTTTGCCAGACGAACTTAGTTTGGGAGTTATAGACGTTTGAACACCCCTGAGATCGACATACGTGGGCACCCACCAGTGTACATCTACACTATATTTTTTGATTTTATATAATTGTTATCAGACAGAGCCAGGGAAAATAGACCCGTCGGCAGCGCAGGTAGTCGTCCACCACCAGGCGCCCGCGTATGTCGATTGCAGCGATCTTCAAATAAAGTTTGTTCGGCAAATTTTTTTTGCAGATTCGTAATCAGCATTAAAATTACAATTGATTAAACAAATAAAAATAAAAAAAAGTGTATACATGCACCACCGGATGCCCGCTTATGTCAATTTCAAATGTCTATAACTCCCAAACTAAGTTCGCCTGAAAAAATTCTTGCAGATTTGTAATCGGCATTAAAGTACTATTGATTTGAAAAAAAATTGAAATAAAAGGGTGCCCAATAAACTAGATTTATACCACATGGCCTATAATTTATTACAGAATGATAGATTTTAAGGTATTAATAAGAAAAATATATGTACCTTTAATGTACATTTTGTTCTCTACTTCAAATATATCCTGATATACCAACCAATCTGGTTTACTTCTTTTCAATATACTACTGTTATGGATGTAAATAATTTCTGTTATATTTGATGAGTAGTATGCTGATTTACTTGGTCTAATATTGTTTCTTTTTAATTCTTCAGGTGTTAACTTCCTAGCAACTTTATCTACCACACCTGACAATATGATTTGTCTCATTTGTTTCACCTAAATATACAACATTTTCTAAAAATTATTTTATTTATTCATTTTTTACAAAATGTTAAAATATTTAAATAATTAACAAGACATACTTGAATGGGTGTTGGTGGAATCATTTCTACATCAGTTTCCAATTTTAATGATGGAACATTCATATTAAGTTGAGTTATTAATTGATTGTTAAGTTTCCAAGCTTCCAAGATTGATTTCTGATGTAAACCAGTTTTTGTGCAATACTCTTGTAGACCACCTAAACCAAGTTTTTTCATTGCATGGTTGGCTCCACCCATAGAACGTAAAATAACCATTGGATCACCTAATTGTACAATGAAAAAACGAACATACATTGTAAGAGAATTTTTTATCAAAAATAGTGAATATAATGATTAATAAAAATATAACAGATATATGATAGTTAAATGCTAATTGCCCTGCTTATTGCCCTGCTGAGCAAAAGTGCATCTCAAAAAAAAAAATTAGCTACAGGAAACTTGTACAATTGATTTTTTTCAAGTTACGACACATGCTTAGCAGGGCAGAATACCTTTGTACTAAAAAAGAGTTTAAATTTGTTTATATAATCGTAAATAAAGTTGACCCTTTATCTGTATGTATTTTCTAAATTTAAAAGAGATAAGGATTTTTATTTCCCTCTTACTTTACAGGAAATTAGTTATGTCAAATAAAGCATCTTCGGTTCCTACATTTTTTCTAAACCCATATTAGCGTTTATGTATTAAATTTTCTCTTACAACATTGGAAAATGTTGAGAAATACTAGTATAATTAAAACTACAAAGCTCATCCCCATAGCTTCTTTGTAGGTGAAACTGGGTACTTTAATTTGTGGGCTTTACAGCTTATTTTTTTTTACTTAAAAAATAAAATAAATTTAAGTTTGTAAAAAAGGAGTTAGAATATTGTGGCTAAAATAAATTTTTAGAGACTTAGCCTTCTTAAGTTTGGGCCTTGTTGTTACGCTTATGGTACCTTTAATGTATTAACTTTAATGGCCCACTGTGTCACATGTTTTGCGCACATGTAATATTTAATAATGTGTAAAGATTGAAGTCAAATAACTATAAAATAATACTTTATTATATTTACCTAAAAGTAAATGTTCGCCTTTGTTTATCCACGAAAGCTTTGTTTTTTTCCAGGCTTCTACATCATCTCCTGGTAAATATTCTTGAACAGACATAGCCGAAATTATAAATAACATATACTGTAGTAGATGACGGTCATTACATAAACATAGCATTTTTGAATAATGAGGAGATAATGGAAATGCTGCCATACTTTTACCAAGAGATGTAATATTGTTAATTTCTAAAAAAAGAAAGTTGTAATAACATGTTCTTTACACCTAATAAAGATTTAAATAGCTATTTACCAGTTAAATTTTTATCTGGTTCTAAAGCTCCAAGTAAAATTAATCTTTTCTCAGCTTCATCAATGATTTGTTTATCTGGTGGTGTTGGAAATGGAAAACTAATTATTTTATCAATTTTCATAGCTTTCATTTGTAAAATCACATTATCAATAGGAGTAGTTAGAATTTCTGGCAAATTCCATTCGGGAAACTCATCATTGAATAAAGCAGAAGAAAATAACCTTTAAACAAATTATAAAAATGATTGTAAAAAGATAGATTTACAATATGTTATTTAATTAGGTAATAACCGTTATCTTTTTTTTACCGATAACAATGTCCTGGGGAAGTTCTTCCAGCCCGTCCCGCTCGTTGATTAGCAGATGCTTTACTTTCCCAAACTACTGAAAATCTAGAAATACTAGTTATTGGATCATATTCTCTGATTTTGGTTTTCCCAGTATCAACCACATATTTAACATTAGGTATAGTTAATGATAGTTCTGCCACATTAGTACTTACAACACATAATCGACAACCTTCAGGTGGAGGTTCAAAAATCTATTTAAAACAAAAGGAAACTATTTAAAACTATATTTTTATCATTTATAAATAATAATGTACCTTGGCCTGTTTGTTAGCGGGTAGCATAGAGTAAAGTGGTAGAACCCAAAGAGGAGAATTAGTAGATCTCAACATTTTACTTGGTATTTCATTACAATCATCGGCATCATTATCATAATCACTAGAATTGTCTGACAGCACTAGTTCATCTTCAGAATGCATTTCAATATCATAATCGTCTAAATTAATATCTGGCAAAGGCGCAGTTAACTCAAACTTAGTTACACCTTTTTTAGTTTTTTTGTATGCTATTTTCGATATATTGTCTTTGTAAGGAAATGTTTTACGGAGTTTAGTCACTAATTGTTTAACTTCTAATTTTCCTAAAAAAAATTAAACAAACATTTAAAAATTATTATTTAATGTAATCAAGTATAAATTATATCACAATAATTAATCAGTTTCAAAAATTACCTGTCACAAATACTAAAATAGCTCCAGATGGAAGTTTAGTATGAATCTTAAACACTTTAGTATAAGCCTCAGCTAAATAATCAAATGGAGTATATTTGTTAAAATGTATAGTTACTGGAAACTGCCTCGAACTCAACTATGAATAATTTTAAATAATAGATTATTTTTTAAACTATGATTAATATGCCAATTTACTTCAATAATTGGAGGTGGTTGTAAAAAAAGTTTTTCATTTTTTGAAAAATCATCAATTTTAAGTGTAGCTGACATGATAATAAGCTTAAGAGGGTTGTTTCTTTTAATTCGTAACCGGATAATACGAGATAATATTCCAATTAGTATATCGGTGAAAATACGCCTTTCATGAGCTTCGTCCAATATTATTGCAGAATATTTGTTTAATAAAAAATCCTAAAAACAATTTTTCAAATTAAATTACATTCATTTATACACTATATTTAATTTAATGAATTTACACTTTGAATTTCTTTTAATAATACACCGTCAGTCATAAATTTAATTTTTGTACTGGGTCCTGCATTGCCTTCAAAACGTATTAAATAAGAAACAATATCTGAAGACAAATTAAGTTCTTCAGCTACACGCTTAGATACTGAAATTGCAGCTATACGCCTGGGCTCTGTGACACCAATCAATTTATTTTCACTACAAAAAAGGGTTTAATTAAAAAATCTTAACTGTTTAGAATTCATTTTAAATAATTATACCTCGAAAATCCAGCTTCATATAAAAATTGTGGCAGTTGTGTAGTTTTACCACTTCCTGTTTCCCCAACAACAATTACAACGTCATTCTCTTGAATTGCTTCCATGATTATCTGCTCTTCACCGATAATTGGAAGTTTTGATCTTGATTCTATAATTTCTGCAGTACGATTGACTAGCATTGTATGTTTCTTAACAGGGACAATTTTAGAAGTTTTCATTGTTAATTTTTATATATTAGACCTAAAATAAAATTGAAATCAAAACTAATAAACTTTTAGATATTGTGAAATACTTCAGTATTTTAAATAATATAGTATTCTGTATTTTTTCATATAAAAGTAAAGGTTTATCAAACTTTTCAATATTGACTATTGAGCAGTGAGCTGCATGTGGTGTTTATCTGTTATCATATCACTTTATATCTTAAAGATACTATAATCACAGAATAACCAGAAGGAAAACTTTAGAAAAGTTACAAGGGTTCTTATGAGTCGCCGCCAAGATAATATTATATATTATAATCACAGACTTCTATACTATTTACTTTTTTTTTTATAACTAGATAAGGTTTGAGAAGGAGATAACTCCTGTTATCACATGAAGCATCATAAAAGTACGCGCCATTATTTGGGTTGCCAAAACATTTCATATTTTTAGTATAAAGTGTATTACCGATTACGGCAAATGTCGTACCCACTTGAAGAGCTGCGGGGAAAAAAGATCAATATCAATTTTTTTTCATTTTGAGAAAATCATGTATTTAATTTCAAAACGTAGTACATTTTGCTTATATGCCTAAACTACCGGCGGTCGTTACTCTCGACTAATCTGTTTTTTTCCCTGGTTCGAGCGATAAAAAGATACAATACGTCAATACAAATAATTTGATACCAAAATCTCATTTTCAAAAAAAATTGACATTGATCTTTTTTTCCCGCAGCCCTTCACATAATAAAGGTCTACTTATTTATTTGTTGTTATTGTGTGACGTCCTCTTAAGAAGAAGGGTCGTGTGATAAAACATTTTATACATTTTTATTTTATTGCTTAGGCCTTAGAAAATTAGTTTATCATTTGTAGAATGTTCTCTTAAATTTTTAAATTGAAATTTTAAGTCTAAATATACTTATGGTGTACCAATAAAGGCGCACTCTAGTGGCGCGTTCCAAACCGTGCTACGCGCAGTTAATATATTATACCTACGACCGCGCGCGTAAACGTTTTACCTTTCATTCAATTGGCCAAATATACTTTTTATTTTAATATTTTGACACTTGAGTGGTAGTATTATGAAAGAGATTCGATATTTTGACTATAAAACCACATTATTTGTTGAAAAAATCATAAAATTTAGCATGAAAATGCCAAAAAAAATTTCAAATCTTGGAGGTTATCTACAAACAGCGCACGCCGAAAACTTGGAAAATTGGCTACTTTAAACGCGTTTTTCTCAAAAAAGAAATACTTCGCACGCATGTAGTTCAATTAATTTTAATCCGATTGACATGTGGTTTGGCGCATTTTTTTCCTTACTTACTGGCCTTTGAGTAAACCTGAAAGTTTACTAATTATTATAACTTAATAATAAACACTGTTTTTTAGAATTTTTTTTTTTTAACAAAGAAGGTATTTTTTGTTAAAAATGATCCTGAATTTTTAATTAATTTTTTTTTTTTAAAGTGTATTATAAATCATACCTAGTTATACTTATTTTTGTAAAATATAATTTTAAAATATTAAATATAGTTTACTTGCGTTTAATCATTTTTGGGGATTCAGGGAAACTAGTCTTTAGTCATAGGGGTCTCAACCTGTTATGGGTCCCTGGGCCCTCACAACCCTGAATCCAGCCTTGAATTATGACAGCGCAATAAAAAAAAAAAGAGTAAAATACTAATAATATGTTAATCCATCATCAGTGCACTGATTAGTACTCTATAATGTTCATGGGGATCTTACTATTTGTATTTTCAATAATCTATTCTTCGAGTATTCTTTTCTGTAATAACTAGCAGAACACACTGGACAGTGCGGTAGGTAGATCGTCCAGGACAAAGCTATTGGTTTCTGAAGGCAGATGGTTTTCACCGAAACAGCACAATCGTTTGACAATAACTTGATATAATGAATAGTACAGTTAAACAGTAGATTAAATACTTAATACAAACTTAAATTAAGTACTTCATTCATGGAGTATTTATATGAATTATAAGTTATAAAAATAGTGAAATTAAGTTGTCTTAACTCTTAGGTGAAGGGTTGCATGGCGGATGTTGTCATCGTCTTTGTCTCGTGTGCATCAGAGTATGTGCAAAATGCACATAGTCGCATACATTACATTACTTTGGCCATTGATTTTAGAATAGTTATATATAATGACTAACAGCAGCTTGTGAGTTGATTTGGTCAAATGTTTGTTCGGTATTTACATATGTAATTTGTAAGAATACATAATAATAGTAAAGTTAACATTTTTATTTAAAATATGTCAGTAAGTGTAGTATGGCACCATTAGCGAAGCTCTCCCCCCCCCCCCCAATTGAGTCACTGGACTTGGCTATTATAGAACTAATTAGTAGCATGTGTATTTTTCTCTTCTCTTTGCCATTACTGGACATTCAGTATTTTTTTAAATTGTTTATATTGACAATTTTTTAAAAGCGATCTATTATATAAATTTGTTTTATTCCCTAGTTTTGCAATGATAATTAGGCGTATAAGTTTAATCATAGTACCTTTAAATCATTGAGTTGGTAGGTATTATTAATAATGCCTGTACACAATGGAATGACAATAATGGGCTACCCGCCACAGTCTTGACCTATATTTGTTTTTGTTTGACCATGTGTGGACACCAGACACGACTGGAAGAAATAAATCGATTGATAACTATTTCTATAATCGTAAACGTTGCGTTTTGTCCACAGTCCAGTGTTCATTCTTCATATCACTGATAAACATTAAACATGAAAAACTTAAAACCAGTATACTCTACAGAATACTTGTGAATTATTTAGTTTTTGTAGGTAGAGCATTATTTTTGTTGTTCGCTACTCCGCGTTATTATTGTTTAAGTGAACTATTATTCTAACTTATAAAAAGTGTATAATGGAGGGAGATAACATATCAAGTAACTCTGGGTAAATATCTCAAAGATTTTTTCACAAAATGTATATTGTACTATTAGCATGTATTCGTGTTTTTGTTTGATATTATTATTATGTTTAGTGGAGGAGGATTATTGTTGCGATATGCTAGCCAAAATTCGTTGGATGAAAGTTCACAGAAACAGATACCTAAGTCGTGTAGACGAGAACGAGCTCCATACAGAAACAATTCTCATACAGTTCGTGCATTTGAAATTTTACAATCACTTCGCAGGTAAAGATTTTCATAAATGTACATTGAAACATAAATATTTAATTGATCAATGTTTATTTAAAGGGATGAACTATTATGTGATATTAAGTTAGAAGCTGATGATGGTACTGTAGTTTGTGGTCATAAAATAATTTTAGCTTCAACTAGTCCATATTTCCATGCAATGTTTACTAGTTTTGAAGAAAGTAATAAAGACCGTGTTATAATTAGAGAACTAGATTCTACGGCATTAAAGTTATTGATAGATTTTATTTATACTGCTCAAATCATGGTCACTGAAGACAATGTACAGGTAAATAATGTATGATGGTCTAATTATTAATTTATAGCTATACACTGTATATAAATAATTTAAATATCAAATTATTATTTTTGACAAAAACAATTTACCTTTTATAGATTCTGTTACCTGCTGCTAATCTATTACAACTACATGATGTTCAAGATGCATGTTGTGATTTTTTACAAACTCAGCTGCATCCTACAAATTGTCTTGGTATCAAATCATTTGCTGATCTTCATGGATGTATGGAATTGCTATCAAGTTCTGAATCGTACATACAACAACATTTTTCGTATGTTGTTTTAATAATTTAAGTTAACATATTTTTATTCCATCGATAAGAAGGTTTTTTTTTATTTTACTACAGAGAGGTAGTTGAAGGAGATGAGTTCCTATCTTTATCCCCCGAGCAAGTAATAAAATTGATCTCAAGCGATGAACTTACAGTTCCATCTGAAGAAAAAGTATATTACAATTGTTATAAAATTTTAATTTGTAGAGTAATTTCATATTATGTAATATTAATTTACATTTTGTATTATCTATGTTTTATACATAGGTATTCGAGTGTGTAATTTGTTGGGTAAATAATGAATCAAGTATAAGAAAAGAATTTTTACCACAGTTAATGGAACACGTTCGTTTGCCATTGGCTTCTAAAGAATATTTACTTAAAAGAGTAGAAGAAGAACCTCTCTTAAAAAATAGCCTAGAATGTATGTTATTCACAGGTTTTCCAAAAATCAGTAAGAGTGACTATTAACTAAAAACTGTTAATATTTGTAGGTAAAGATTATATAATCGAAGCATTGAATTTTCATTTATTAAAATCTGAGCAACCTGGCACTATACCTAAAACAATTCGTACAAAACCTAGACAACCTGTTGGTTTGCCTAAAGTAAGTAGATTGCTTTCAAAAAATTAAAACTTAAGAAATATTATTTAATATTTATTTTTTAATTTTAATAAGCCAAACTGTATTGTGATAAGACTTTTAATTATATAAGATTGTTGGACTTTGAGTTTGGTAAAAATTCTGAGACTTTTAAGTAGTAAAGATAAAATTCAATCTTTTTCAGGTTATTCTTGTAGTAGGTGGTCAAGCACCAAAAGCAATTCGTAGTGTAGAATGGTATGATCCAGAAACCAATAGATGGCAATCAGGACCAGAAATGAGCACGCGCCGTTGTAGAGCAGGTCTAGCCGTTTTAAAAGACCGACGAGTATTTGCAGTGGGAGGTTTTAATGGTTCATTACGAGTGCGTACTGTTGATATGTTAGATTTATCTTCACCATCTCCATGTTGGGTACCAACAGTTGCCATGTTAGCTAGACGAGGTACATTAGGTGTTGCTGTACTAGACAATTGTATTTATGCAGTAAGTAATTTTATTTTTTGAACAATTTTTTATTATGAAATATCCTAAAAGAATGTATTACAGAATTACAATTTTAATAGGTTGGAGGATTTGATGGCACTAGTGGTTTAAATAGTGCTGAAGTATTTGACTGTAATACTCAAGAATGGAGAATGATCTCAAATATGTCAACTAGAAGAAGTAGTGTTGGCGTTGGAGTATTAAATAACTTACTTTATGCGGTAAATATAATTAATGTGTTAAAGCTTTAATAGATTGAAATATTATTAACTGGTTATCTTCAGATGTATCCATGTCTTTGATTAGTTGCTGACGTTACGGACTCATTGTAGAGTTCATTTCCAGAACAATAGTCGCCATTCCACTGGTGCGACTATACTCAAGTATACTATTATACTACTATAATCAATATAGTAGCAACAGTGCAATGTGACTATCGTTACAAAGATTGACTCTGCAATAATGAGTCTTAAACTTCAGCATCAAATCAGAAACATCCAATGATTATCAAGTTAAAAATATGAACATATTCAAACATTTTAAATTAAGTACTCATTCAAAATATTTTTGTACATATTGTATTGTTACTCAAAATTAAATGTAAATACTACATCTGTTTATAAGGCTTGGCATTGTTAAGTTAAAAAAGTCACGAGTTACTTTTGGTTCTTAGCTAAAATTTTCATGTAGCATTCTATCATGAGAAAATATATTTGCCATGTGATAATATATTTATATTATGATAATATATTAATAACGTCATGTGCAGCGATTGAGGTCAACAACATTTAATATGCTGTTTTTCAAAAAAATTTACTGAACAAATTATTATCATAAATTATTATAAAATTATTATAAATTTTACCCAGCACTATGTGTAGCAGTTTGTACATTTTTATATCACACAATATAGATCAATATTGTTTCATTTTATAAAAACAAACAAATTAAACTGTATTTTTGAATATTATTAATTTTAATTTATAATAAAAGTATGAGTATATAGCACAGTATGAAATGTTATTGAACTACTTTTTTTTTTTGTATAATATAGGTTGGAGGCTACGATGGTCTATCTCGTCAATGTTTAAAATCAGTTGAATGCTATCATCCGAGCACCGATTCGTGGACACCAGTTGCTGAAATGAGTGTACGACGCAGTGGTGCTGGAGTAGGAGTTTTAGATGGTGTGATGTATGCAGTCGGTGGTCATGATGGACCTGAAGTTCGCAATAGTGTTGAAGCGTATAGACCAAGTGCTGGAGTTTGGACATCTATAGCTGATATGCATATGTGTCGGAGAAATGCTGGTAAATAAAAATTATAAAAATATATTGCAAGTATTGTTCTTTTTTTTCTTTCAATTTAGGAGTGATTGCATTGGCTGGTTTGTTGTATGTTGTGGGCGGTGATGATGGAGCATCAAATTTAGCTTCAGTAGAAATTTATAACCCAAACACTAATACTTGGGCTATATTGAATACATCCATGAATATTGGTCGAAGTTATGCTGGAGTTACAGTTATTGATAAGCCTCCGCATTTTAATGATTGAACTATGTAGGTTTATTGTTTTAAAACACTCAAAAGTGACATAATATTATTTTAATTTTAGTTTTAAAATAAGCTGTGTATAAGAATGTAAAAAAATTAATTGTTATTGTTTTATAAAAAATATAATTTTAACACTTTCTTAACAACTTGTTATTATTTGGCTTTAAACTTGCCAAATGGATGTATTTGGATGTATATTTTAGGTACATTATTTAGTTCATTTAAAAATAGTAGAAAAGTTAATTTTTTTTATATAAAAGTATACATTATATTTTTAATAAGTATTATGAAAATGGTGAGACTATGTGATTAAGTATTGTTGCAGTGGACATTTTTATTTCCTAGCGGGCAGTTATTTGGGAAAAGAAAAGACTACACTTCTTATGCAGAAAGCAAAGAAAAACCATTGAAACAAACAAATTTTCCAGGACACAAATTTATATAGTTGTCTGCCAACAAAAGTTAATAAACCAGGCTAACACCTTTTTAAAAAAATTATGAAAATATTCCTGAAAGTCAAATTACTGCAGAAATAACACACATATAACTTTTTTAATATAATCCTAGCTCAATATTATTTCATACTAGTAGTAATAAAAAATATCCAAGGTATGAATATCTATTAATATAAGACAAATTTTATGATTTAATTAAAAAATAATAAATATATTCGTTATATACTATGTACAATTATATGTACATATACAGTTTTCTCAAAAATCTGTGGTCAAACTTTTTTTTATTAAGGAAAAAACCCCAAAAAATGGGGAAATTATAAATTGACAGTAGTAAATTACCAAGCTGCTATGCGTAAGCAGTGAGCGAATCATCAGAGATAGGTAACTGCAAAATATTTTCGTCAAAATTCTGTTAGTAAGGATACATGGGTAACAACGTCAACTATTATTATAGACGCAGACGATCAGTCCTGCACTTATCCACCCTAATATTAAAATTAGTAATTACAATTTTACCTTTATAATTTATATTTTTATTGATATTTAATATTTCTACCATTTACATATTTGCATCGTTATAATAATTCCTGTAATACCTATGACGACCTCCCACACCCCAATATGCTCCGTCTCATTTTATAATATGTGGAGTTTTCTTATAAAACATGACATTAAAATAAAAAGAAAAAAGAAAAAATGTAAAGCGAAAATGATTTAAACATATTACTAAATGCTTAGCCATTTTTGTTTTTAGTAAGACTTTGTTTAATTAAAATATTTCCACAAAAAAAAAAAATGTTTTGAGTCGACCATAGACTTTAAACGTTTAAGTGTTACCTATAACTAAAAACAAATTTTTCATTTTTAAAAATCACTCATTCATTTTAATAAATCTATCCAAAATGTACTATCAGTATGCGGGTTAATTATGCTATGCTCATAATCCTTGAATAATTTAAATATTGATTTCAATAAATCAGTACCACTAAAAAAATAAAAATAAATTGTATTATTATGTGGAAATTGGAATTGTTTAATTGAATTGATCAACATGATAATAATAATGAAATAAAGAACAAGATAATAAGATTTGTATTGTATAATTATTAAATAATATGAATTAATATTTAAATTATTAATTTGACTAGAAGTTAATATTTTGATATTAATTTACAAAAAAAATTGTTATTAATAAATAAAATATCACATAAATGATTGATCAATACACCATTATAATGCTTAATTAATAAGGTAATTAAGTAGTGTAATATTTATATATATATATATGTTTGGTTAACAAATTTGAATTATAAAAGATCAAAACCTGCTTATGATTACTAAACAATTTGTTCACAACCATTATTAAATTTATTTTGTCTTTATAAGCAATTAAATGTATTATGGCAGCATACAAGTAAAGCGTTATATCTTAATGGCTCATAGCTAAATTTTGGTTAACAGTACATAGCAAAATGTTATATAGTGCTCTCGATTGTTTTCAATGAAATATAATATAATTAACAATTATAATGAAATATATCATTATTTATATAATATACATAACTAATTTTTAATTATAAACATTCTATAAATTATTTATTGGTGTGTGTCCATTGGATTAGACACAAATGCAGGTTTTTGAATTTGTCCATTTGGCATAACTTGACGAGAAGTTTTTGATCTTAAAAAAAAATTTTTTTTTAATATTTATATAACAATGTAATGTCAGTCTATTTTATATAGGATGGTTGTATCACATGGTGTCCCACAAAGATATGACAAATGAAAAAACTTTTGTTCTAATGAATATTATTAAGTTTTTTTTTTAAATTTATTTATAATCATTTGCGCTATGGGCACCACGTTTTTTATTGCACTTAACTATTTTACTTTATTAAACATTTTTTTGTTATATTTTTTTAAAAAACTCGAGATAGCCAGATTTATTAAGAATAATTTGATACAAATTTTGACTGGTCGATAACCAGATATGGATAATTACTTCTTAAGTTACTAAAGGTTAAAGGGTAGGATAGGAGGTGGAGTGCGGTAAAGTAATGTGCTCAGATAAAAATAGTTCTACGTGCTTACTCTACCGCACTTCAACTCCCATACTACCTTTAGTAACTTAAGAAGTAATTATCCAAATCTGGTTATTGACCAGTCAACATTTTCAGAAAATTATTCCTAATAAAATGGCTATCTTGAATTTTTTAAAAAAATATAACAAAAAAATGTTTAATAAAGTAAAATAGTTAAGTGCAATAAAAAACGTGGTGCTTATAGCGCAAATGAGTACTAATAAATTAAAAAAAAAAAATCTTAAAAATATTCACTAGAACAAATCTTTTTCATTTGTCTTATCTCTGTGGGACACCCTGTATAATACAGCTCATTTGATAGTTCATCAATAGAGACCAAACTTTACATAGTTTTTATAACACATAAATAAATAAATTTTTGAACATAGTATAGATAGTAAATACTACTAGACAGGAGGGAAACAATGGTTTATGTAATAATAAAAAAACAATAATTCTAAATAACAAAATACATTTAAAAGAACAGTGAGTTGCTTCGTTATACGAGTTACTTTCCAAATCAATCATACAGTAATTTCACATAATTATTTAATATTTATTAACATACCGAATTTGACCAGCTAAAAGAGGGTTGATAGCGTAAAGCCATTCATAAACTTCTTTGTCCAAAAGAGTCTGCATTAGATATCCTCTATGTTTTGTAACCACGCTAAAAAAAATTGTATTACATTTTTTTTTATAATCTACTGATAAGTACATAATAAATTTAAAAATAAGAAATATTTTAGAGATGAATTCACCTGAATGAATTTGGTACTTTAACCATGGCTAATTGGTCTTCTGAGTATTCGACTTGAGCGGTGGTTAAGTTTATTAAAGCCCTTTCAACAGGGTCTTTTTCATCTCTGAATATGAATACATAAGGTCGTCTTACAGTCTAAAAAATAAAATAAAATAAATTTCTTTTAAACAGTATATACATTTATTTTGATATATATATATATGAGCTGGTGAGAATGAAAGTGACGTAAGTCTAATTTTGAAAAAATCCCCTATACCGCTAGGGCATATTAGTATACTCTAAAAGAGTCATTTAGTCAATGAAGTAAGTCAAGTTGAGCCTTTGTTGGCGAGAGAGCGCCACTTAAAACTTTGTTAGTTAATACAAACTTATAGAAATATATAGTTAATACAACGTTATAGAATAGTTATAAGTATAATATAGTTATATAGAATAATTAATAGGTTTACAAAACGTAAACCTTCTATTTCTCAAAACAACTTAAATGTGACTTAGGTCACTTTCATTTTCCCTGGCTCATATAATTGTAATTGTAATTGATTTATGTATATATTGTAATAAAGCTTAGTCAGAAGCATACTTGACTACTTCTCTCCGTTTCTGTAGATATTAAACTTAAGGAATTCAAAATAAATGTTCAAAAATAATAATATAATATATTAATAAGTACATTCAAACATTTTAAAATTATTGTGATTTGAAATTTACAATAATATTTTGTACACAAAATATATAATATTTCACAATCCAAAATATTAACTGCAAGGTTTAATTATGCCACTGTTTAGAATTTTATTTTATTTTTTTTAATTGAAAGACTTACCACCCATCGCTTTTTCCAGCCATTTGTTTTGTGTTCCAATATGTTTAAATAACCTTTTCTGGAGATCACTGGACTGATTCGTATTTCTTCAACTTCTGGTACATATAGCACAAGTTGTGGTTCAGATGACAATACTTGGGACAAATTCATAGTATCTTGATTAAAATAAGTTAAATCCCCAATAATTGAACTTTGTTGCAAACTGCGATCAGGAGAGAATAATCTACAACAACAAATGAATAATTACTAATTTAAGTAAATAAATTATTTATTTATTAATTTTAAGTAAGTAAACAAATATTGATTAGCACTTACTCATGATTTGAAATTGTAATATTGCTAGACGAACGACTAATATACGAGTTGATCATTTTTTCATCAGTTGGACTAAGAACATCAATGTAAGAGGGTTGAGAACTTTCCTTAAAACATAAATAACATTTAAAAAAATATAAAACTATACATTTAAGTACATAATATTCATTATAAATCATACCTTAGATGGAAGTTTTCCTTGAATTAACTTGATACATTTGGTTGCTAAATATCGCTCTCTTTCAGTCATTTGCCAAGGCTCATAAACACTAGGATCAACATTACGCATTGTCACGGGACTAGGTGGTCTCATTATTTCTTTAGCTGAACTCGAAGCTTTAGCCATTATATTACAAACTTCCTGTGAAATATTCAATAAATTATAATGACGTAATATATACAGGATGTAATGTTAAGTTCTATCGAGCTTCAACTAAGACATTTATTAATCTCTATTAAAATTATTTAAAATAGAACTCGTATCTCATTAAAAAAATGGTCTTACAAAAAAAGAATTATAGATTTGAAATCAGGAGAAAAAATCTTGTTGAATTGATATGTAACATGATTTTTTGGTATCTGGCTACACACGCGTCCACTGAGTGGCCGGCATGGGACCAAAACACATGAGACACATCATTTTAGGTTAGAATTTTATTTTTAAATCAGTGGTGTCCTTAGACCACCCTTTTATATTAAATGGTGTGTCACATGCCATATATTGGTTTTTTATATAATTATTTTATTTGTAAGACTATTTTTTTAACAAGATACGAGTTCTATTTTAAATAATTAAAAAATTTATATCATTTATTGTACCCATACAGCATCTTAAATGTCTTCTTTAAAGCTCGGAAGAACTTGACATTACACTCTGTATATATATATATATATATGTACCTTTTCTGATTTTGTAATAGGAACTTTGTCAAGACCAATGCGTTCTCTAAGAAGAATCATGTGTCTAGTACGTCCAACTTCTTCAAGCCTTGTTAGTTTTTCTAATTCCCATTGGTGATCAAATATCAAGCTATCTCCACGGGGTTTCCAGCCTTCAAGATTTTCTTCACCTCGCACATAAGTAGAACTTGTGTCCAAAACACGTCTTTGTCGTCTTTGAACACCTACGTAAAACAACAATATAATAAATACATAAATAAAATTATATATATTAAAAGTGGAAACGAGTAGGTACTACAGAAGCATTAACTACTGCAACAAGCCAATAATTCTTGTTTCTACTGCTGTTTTGTGTCACGAAAACTACCTGGACTACCTGCTTCTGAAGCTCTTTTCAGTACAAGTTCATAAATTCCAGACAGCCGATGTGCTTCATAATTTTTGTAGGTACTGCTAAATAAGTGTTTTAAAGATCTAGGGCCTGTACGGGCATCTCTACCATAGATAACCATACTTAAATCTTTAGTAATGATAGCCGGACAACCACAGTTCTCGAGCTACAAATAAATAAAAATAATTAGTGTTCTTTAGACAAAATATCCTAAAATAGTTTTTATATAACCTCTAGATAAGCTGATATAGTCATAAAAATGTGTTCTCCTCCAGTAGATATTCTATTGAGTAGTACTGAATTGTGCAATGAACTGTCCCAAGCGGCTTCAAAACGGAACATGCAACGGTCTTCACCGGGCAGTTCAAGATACTCTCCAGGAAATAAACCCAATGAAAGAACCGAGTTATCTGTGTCGTCATCTTCAGATTGAGGTATGTTACGAATACGACCTACGACTAGTTCACGTATTTCTTTCCAGCATAATTCAGGGGCAGTTTCATGTACGATAGTTATACGAATGCGTCGTTGTAAGCCTTGGTGGAGCATAAAAAGACCGCGGCATGGTAATTCTTCGCTATGATCAACCACACAAGGTACATAGTCCCCATCAGGTCCTAAAAAAAAATAATAATAATAAGTACACACAAATAAATTACTTTACTAAAAAAGTTATAAATCTTACCAAGTTCACATATTTCGAACCAAACCAGTAAATCATACTTGGCATGTACATGCGATGTACATAGTGAAGGTAATGCTCCAAATTTAGGAGAACGCACTGGCAAACTAATTGGAATGGATGGTGGTAACATTCGTCTAGGAGGTTGTCTGACGCTATACATTAGTTATTACAAAATGAGAATGTAACAAATGAACAATTATTAATTTATTTATTAATTTAACGAACGTACAAAGTACTGTCTTGTTTGGCGTCATTATGAAGAGGATGCTTCTGATAATGACCAAAAACTTCAAACACAATAGGTTGTGTTTTAATGTATTCAATAAATGATTTTGACACAGGAACTGTTATCTATATTATAAATATAAAAATTAACTAGACATGAAAAATATTAGTAATTAATCAATTTTTTAAGTATTAACGTTTTGAACATGATAGAATCCCACTGGAGTTCCTTTTCCACAATTTTTTACTGGCTCAGTTGAAAATGCATCATCATGTCTGTGTAAAAAACTGAAAAAAATATACATATTTATATGGTCACTGTATATATTTATATATGATTTATTAAATTACTGTTTGTATTATGATATAATGATTCGTATTTATTATATTAATATATAATTTGGCTTACTTGAACTGACAAAAAATATCAGCATATTCATTTGGAACGCCAACAGCCTGCAATAAGGTAACTCTGAAGGTAAATTCTTTATTGGTTAATAAGTGACTGGGAAGTTCTTCATCTTTTATATCAGAAGACACGGAGCTGTCTCCATGACCACTGTCTCCATCAGCTTCTACTTCTGATGGTACAAATCAAAAAATGTAATATCAATATGATTATTATAATTCTTTTTAAATTAGTTACCTTCTTCTTTTATACTACATTTCCCGACAACAATCCTTTCAACTACTTCAGTATTTTTCTTGGCTGGGTAACGACCTAATAAGTCTTTATCGTTAAAAGAAATTTTTGCAAATTGTCGAACTCCACACGAATTATCATTTGCTTCATCTTCTGCCACCATATAAACTCTTTTTTTATAATGGTTATTTTAATAATTCAGTTTTATAAATCTATATTTACCAGAAACCGCTTGAATTGCAACACGTAAATATCCTTTAACATCTCCTTTTTCATTTACCACAGCTACTTTGTGTATTAGTGGGACAGGATACATTAAGTTACTTAAATATATGAACGCTCGACCAATAAGCCTAAACCATGGAAAACGGTCATAAAATGGATCGCCACCTGTGATTGCTTCAATGTTAAAGTCTGGTGATGTCGGTGATGTTTCAGCTTCGTTTTGATACATTTCACGCATTAGTTCCAATCTTTGTCTGTAAATTAAGTTACAGTGTATATTAACCAATTAACGCCGGAGTTTTTTTTTGGAATTTTTTTTTTCTTCCAATAATTGGTGTCTTGGGTTCTTGTTTATTATTATATAAGAAAAAAAAAATTTCAATTTGATGTTGCCATATGGCAACGCACGGCACTAATGGGTTGAGTATATCAAACGATTTTGTACTAAGTAAAAATGATAAAATTTATAATTGATAAAATATGGACTATATTTTAGAATGGGAAAAATGATAATGTTTGATGATTTCCTAACTATGTATAAACATTTATATTATTATATTTATTTATTATTATAATGATGCACTTGGGGCAAGGGTACAGACACAGTTTAACATAAACAAATATTAGGTAACAATATCAACCTGAGTAACTTAAAATTTGATAAATACCATTGAACATTAATTTTAGGTCTTATATAGGAATCAACAACTAACCTTGAGGGTATTAAATAGGAGAAAGACTTGTGAGGAGAGCAGGCTATTAGACATTGGAAAAAATCATCCTTGATATTGCAAGGCGAGTTTTGAGGACTTTCAATATTGCCATTATATATTTGTTGCATTAAATCCAGTCTAGTTCTAACACAAAGAAAAGCGTTAGAATCACCCACCCTATGGTATCCTAAATAATTTCTACACTAATTTCAAAAGTACACACCTCAATTTTTTTAACGTCCAGTAGTGTGTGGCTCCATTTTTGGTGTCCAACACTTCAACAGCAACATATGTACGTGGATAAGGCCGATCTACATCATCATCTTCAGTTACGAAGTCTACAGGCAATGGAGAATACAGTGTTTCAGTCAATAAGGTAAACTGAAATTGTACCTGAAAATATTTAATTCGTTTAGAACAAAAATACTATTATTTTGGATTTTCACATAAAACTTATTACCTTTTTTTTAAGTTCCACGGATATAGCATTGGCCTCTTTTAAAAATATAGCATTTCCCCACAAATCGTCTCTCAAGGATGTAAATTGATGGTACTTCCATTTGCGGCACGTTGTTAAAGCTAATTGGTATTCTTTATCTGTCCAATTACACTCCGCATCAAATAATGGATTTACTAAAATATTAATACTCAGTTTTAATTGTTACTACAAATTTAAAATATTTTATAATATATACCAAAGATATCTTCTTGTACAAAGTCATCTGGAGTGTAAGAGCTGTACATTGACATGGTCATACTCTGTTCTTCGACCTGCTTTTGAAGAGCATCTATTCTAGCTTCATAATTCTGTTTAAAAAAGCAAACTTGTTTAATTTAAATAATTATTTACTAATCTAAGTAATATTTTTGATATTACTTTTCGCTGTTCTTCAAATATCTGATCTGCTGTCTCTTTATCTTTTCTAAATTGTTCTTCGAGAGCATTTAATTTTTGCTGCATGTCTTGTTTAAGGTCAATACCTTGTTTTTCTAATAACTCAATTTGTGCAAAATTCCAATCTACATTTTCATTACCAATTGGAGTTTCAGCAGTTGACATTTTTTCTGGTTTAGTTGTTACTGTAATAATAAAATGTACAAAATTATTGCTTAATAGTATTCAAATAAAACTAATTAGTTGCCTTACTTTCTTTAATGTTTTCTACTGAGGGCTCTGGTCTAGTTTTATGATCTCTCCGCTCTCGAGCTAAATATAATTGATATTAATATTATTTAAGAAAAAAAATTGATTAAAGAATACTCGTAATCACCTTGTTCAGGATGATTGAACCGGAAAACATGGTTCTTTCCCAAAATTACTCTAGAACCAGTTTTTAATACAATGGACTCAGTGAGCTCTCGTCCATTTACATAACACAGTGCGCCTTTCATAGGTGTTAATGTAACAATCCCATTATTATTTTCAAATCTACAGTGTTCTCGGTGTATGTATGAACCACAAAGCCTTATGTCCTGAGTAACTTTAGATTCAGCAGATCCTACACGTGTTACTCCCGATTTGATGTAATATATTAAACATTCTGACATAGATGGATCTTCGTTTAGGTTTACCAAATGTGGTGTCTTTAACATTAATTTATAGTAATTAACTACAGCCAGTTGGATTTAAACACATTGTAAGTTATGTCTACAGTAAAAAGTTACCTTTTGTGGTGAAAATACTCCTACAGTATCTCCATCTTCTTTAACAGCAACTCCCATTTCAGCAAATACAGCTTCTCTTTGAATTCTTATTTCTTCTGTTCGTTTTAATTTCTCTTCCCAAGTTTCATTCAGTTCTAATAAATTTAGTAAAAACTAATTAAATTAATTCCGGTTTGTAAGCTTGCCATAAGTAGTAAGAAAATAATGATAAATTTGTACCAGCAATTAGTTTTTCACTAGCTTGAAGCTGATCAACAGCTTCTTCAGCAATCATTGATGAAGGAATGTTTGGTTTTTCATCTCCATTTTTTAACATCTTCATTCCATCATCACCTGTGACCAAAGTGAAAATTAATATGCATACTTTTGATAAGACAATATTTTTTTATAATGCAGTTTAAATAGCTGAGCCCAATCAATTTTTCTTATTGTTTCTTTTAATTTAATGTAAACAATTTATAAGCCAAGCAAACTTTTCAGGCGATGAGCACAGAAAGCATTATGGCAAACCCTACTTACTATTTTCTTTATGTTTCTCATAAACCACTTTACCATCTAATTTGCATAAAAATAAAAACCACCGTCACCAAATTAGGTCATCTAAATTTAGATCCTAAAGACTTAATTAATTTATATGCTACAGTTTTTAAAAAATAAGAATTACCTTCTTGTACTTCAATTCCTTCTGCTTTCAATAAATCACGAAGTCTCTGTATTTCTTCTTTAAGTTCCCGAATGAGTTTGGCATTAGCATCTTCATTAACAATAGCTTTACAAACAATTTGTTTAGCTCGATCTGCATATCTAAAAAACAAACATTTTTGTAAAAAAAAAAAGAGAAGTTTTAGCCCTTAATCTAAATTTTGAGAAAAAAAGACTTGGACTAATAGATTCCTTATGTTCAAAACTCTTAAATATCAATATCCGGGAAATCCCGCAGCTGGATTTCAAGATAAAAAGTACAAATAGGAGTGTATAATTATACAGGGTGTAATGTTAAGTTCTACAGAGCTTCAAATGAGACATTCAGGATGCTCTATGGGTACAAAAAATGGTATTCATTTTTTTTTAATTTTAAAATTAGTTAAAATAGTACTCGTATCTTATGAAAAAATTGTCTTACGAAAAAAAATAATTTTAGATTTGAAATCGGGGAAAAAAATCTTGTTGAATTGATATGTAACATGATTTTTTGGTATCTGGCCACATTTGCGTCCACCGAGTGGCCACTGAATGGCCGGCATGTGACCAAAACCATGGCAAGTGAAACATTATTATCAGTTAAAATTTTATTCTCATTTCCGAGGTGTCCTTAGAATTGTTTTGTATTAAATTATGTGTCGCATGCCATATGTTGGTTTTAGTCACATGGGGGCCACTCTGTGAACGCAAATGTGGCCAGATACCAAAAAATCATATTACATATCAATTCAAGAAGATTTTTTTTCTTGATTTCAAATCTGAAAATATTATTTTCAAAAGACGATTTTTTAATAAGATACGAGTAAAAAAATGAATTTATTAAAAAAATACCATTTATTGTACCCAGAATTGAGCATCCAGAATGTCTCATTTGAAGCTCGGTAGAACTTTACATTACACCCTGTATATTTGATTATTATAAAAAAAGTGCTTATGATTTACAAAAATATGAACATAATTGATTGAAATGTAAAACATAAAAAAAAAGTATAAAATTGCTTCCGCAATTTATATTAACCACCAAACTAGTATAATAGCTATAGATAATATTTATTTTATAGTCTACCTTAGAGTTGATAGAGTTTCATCATAATTAATATCTGCAGGACTTATAGCAGCAATCATAGCAGTTTTAGAATTTCCACCAAGATTTTCTCGTAAAAGCCATGTCAACACAGAGTCCCGATAAGGAATAAAATCTGCTTTTTTTTTCTTTTTTGAGGCCTTGTAAATAAAATTTACTAAAATTAAATAATCTTTATACTTTGACATTACATTTATTGATCATTTTAGAAAACATGATAATTTAATCAAGGTCAATACTTACAGACTGTTATCCAAAACGGCCGATAAAAAAGAAAAACAATATTAAATCACAGTTTTTAAAATTTCAGACTGGCCTAGTTATTTTTTTTAGTAAACTACAAACAATTTTTATAGCATATTTTTTTTTATAATAGTGTTAGAGATTTACTTGAAAAATGTGTAAGAAAGTTGCATAAAAAAATTTGTTTTTGTTTTCTATCAATAGAAAAAGAAAAGTTCGCACTGTGCAAAAAAAATGAATTTTTGAGTTCAAATTTATTTACCTAGTATAACAAAAAACAAATTAAGAATTTTAAAGTTATTTTAAAAAAAGCCAGTAAAGTGAGAGGTCAGGGCATATTGTGGACGAAGCATATTAGGGCGGCAGTGATAAAATCACTTTCAAATAAATCTTTCAATTATAATGGTAAAAATACAAAAATCAATAAAATTGTATCTAATGACAATAATGTGCTTAAAAATGTATTTTTGTTATTAGGGTGAATATGAATAAGGTTGATGGTCTGTCTATAATAATATATTTCCATAGTTACCCACAGTATCGTAATTAATAATATAATAAAAATATTTTCAAATTTTTGTTTACTGTTAATTCACATAGTATCCTAGAAATTGACTACGGCCAAAGTATAACTATCCATTTTTTTTTTTGGGTTTATTTTTAATAAAAAAAGGTTTGACTAGAGATTTTTGAGAACATTTTGTATGTTATAGCTCTATTATACTCATTTTTTGTCTAATTTTTAGACCTTTAGCTCTAAAACTTAACCTAAAAAGCGTAATTTCCGCCCCTTTTAGAAAAAAGGGTTTATGATTTTTTGGTTTGCCAACGTTTATACATAATACTATGTCTAAAGAATATTATTCTATACAAATTTGGAATTAATTAGAATATTTTACAAAAAGTTATAAAGAGCAGTAGTTTTAAGTTGAAAAATATATACATTTTTTGCCCAATAAAGTCCTTTCGGCTATGATTTCTGATCTATAGTCACTACACAAAGAAATCGGTTTGGAACATATTGTGAGTCCAGACATAAATGAAAAAAATAAAAGCACATCATTGTAAAAAGAATACCTTCTTAACTCCGCACTTAAGCTAAAAAAACAAGTTTTGTGTTTTTTGCAAAACAATTTTTCCATTTTCTTTAACACAAAAATTATACAAAGATAGCCGAAAATGTATAGCGAATGAAAAAGATAAAACTTCTACTTTTTCAAACACACAAAAAAAATGTTAATTCAGAAGTCTGACAAAAATGTATATTATGAATGGCAGATTGTGCAAAATTTATTTTTACTCAACGCAGTATTGGTAAAAAAATGTATACATAATTAAATTATATTACATTTCATGCAACTTACTAAAAAAATTATTTTTAGTAATTACCATTTCAGCTAAGCCAGATATAACTTTTCCTAAAGTGGTTAAACTTTTATTTATGTTTGCTCCTTCTTTGAGTCTAGTTCCTTTAGCACCAGTTGAGTCTGCTCGCTCTGAACCAGCCAAGTCAACCAACGATATTTTACTGACTTTTTCTGTAGTTAGTTGTGTCATATCATCGAGCCGTTTTTGTGTAAAAAATATAGTAAATACTGCATGCGATCGGCTTGATGTTTCATTCATGTTAGTTGCAGCAACCGTCCTATAATAAAATGTATAATGTAATATAAAATACTTTAACTATAATAATAGTTACACTGTAAAAATAAAGAAATTAGAAATGTTAATAGATAAAAGATCTAAACAAATACTTGCCTAGCTTTATTGCCTTCATCAATAAGATCATGTATATTTTGGTAAGTGGTAACAGCAAGCTTAGATAAATCTTCAACATACGGTCCTAATAAAGGATGTTCACGAACTCGTAGGTTACCCTTGTTTTTAGGATTTAATAAATCACGAACTCTTTCACAATATATTTCCATGTAGCTGACCTATTAAATGATAAAAATACTAATTCAAATATCATAATTTATTAATTCATAAGTATATTTGTAAATATATTAATTTATAATTCAAATTTAACCTCAACAGAGTATTGCAATTCATCACTAGTGGTTGAACTAATTCTGTGGAATAAATCTTTACAAATTAGTGGAATAATGCCTTCCTGACCTTCCTCTTCTTGACGGCCCATCATGGTATATGACTTTCCAGCACCCGTTTGCCCATAGGCAAATATGCATACATTATACCCTAAATTATTTTTAGTACATTGTAATATAAGAAACAAAAATGATATTAAAACAAAAATACCTTCAAACGCATGTTGCAACATTTCTTCACCAATATCTCTATAAACCATTGTTTGAGATGCAAAGCTTGGATCAGAAGGCTGAAAAATAATATTATCAATACGAATTTTACTTTGACATTATTCTAACACTTACATTTTGGGACCAGTAAGAGTAGTCAAAGTTAAAACTTTTTGTAGCATCCTTAATATTGGCTGGAACTTTTGGATTAGAAATGGCTGTAAATAAATAAAAATTAAACTATTTATACCCGATGTGTGCTGAATAGATTAAAAGGTAAGAATTTAGATAGATATAATTTTATCCATAGTCTATATCTATATAGGCCATTTAAATTATAATTGTGAAGTTTTTATAAACTAGCTATTTTCTAATGCAGCGTTTCTCAACCGAAGGTTACCCCCAAGGGCGCACAAAAAAAGAAAGGTTAAAAGTGGAAAAAAATAGAATTTTATTTATTTTAAAGAGTTTGTCATCTGTGAAATATTTAAGATAAGTTTTTGATATTATATATAATATATATATATATGTGCATATTATAACACGGTAGGCAGCCCGCAGCAGCAACAGTGGGCAACGGACTTCGGCACCACTGGGAACAGTCTATTTCATATCGTAATATATACAGTTTGTCACTTGCGTTTAGTAGGTAGTATGTGAATAGAATAAGGTTGAGAAACACTGATCTAATGATTTGATACTTCATTATTAAATCCCTCAAAAAATAAATTTATAAATATATACTATATATATTATACAATTAGCTTCGATGCGTTTGCTGAGAAGGTATTGTTGAAGATTTTTTTTTTTTAATTTTTGTGTCTGTACTCACAATATCTTTTAAGCCACTGAACCGATTTCTTTGTGTAGCAGCTAAAGCAGCTTAAAATTAGAAATCATACCTATTAGGTACTTTATTAGACCAAAAATTTAAAAAGTTCAGCCCTTCCCCTTCAAAATTGAGAAAAACACCCGAAAAATTTACACTTTTTTCAACTTAAAATTAGGGCGCTCTATATCTTTTTTCAAAAGAGTCCAATTAGTTCTAAATGTGTATAGAATATTCTTAAGACATAGTACTACCGACAAACCTTGACAACCTTAACAATTATCGTACACCCTTTCTCCTAGAAGGGGTGAAATTTTTTTCTTTCTTTCGCTTTTTTATGCAAAGTTTTAAGGGTTTATGTATGAAAACTAGACCAAAGGTAGACCTAGAATGGATACTCATATACAATTTCCTCAAAAATCTGTAGTCAAACATTTTTTTTATTGAGGAAAAACCAAAAAATAGGAAAAAATTACACTGACCGTAGTCAGTTTTTAGGTTGCTATGTGTGATTATACATACTACCCACAGATTCGCATCAAAGCGTTTATTTAAAAGTGATTTTATCACTTTTAGTAATAATAATTCCTGTAGACCTGTGACCTCTCCATTTCCACTATGCCTCGACCCCACTGTACTAGCTTTTTTTATTTGTTCTTTAATGCATAATAACATTACAAGTTAAAATATTACAATAAGATAAGCAATAAAAATTGATGACAAAAAAAAACAACAAATCTACAACGTAATAATAATTCATTTGTGCTCAATCACTATGAAGACCAATAATAAATTCAGTTTACACTGGTTTGGAATGCTCACAAAATAAACAATTTGCTTGAAAATAATTATAATGTTTAACATTATTAAAAGAAAACTGTAAGGTCATAAAGAAAAAAACTAAATTGATAATGAAAATGAAATTTGCACTTTTTTTTTGTTTTTGAATAATTAACTTACATGTAGTATAGCCGGCCATTTCTATAATACATTTACAGTCTCTGGATATTTCACGATTATTAAATGGCCGAACACGGACAGCCACTTTAACTGAAGACATGATTGAAACTGTTATGTTGTAGCAACAATTTAAATAGACTCGAACTACCCTGAAATAATATAAAAAATGAGTAAAAAACGATACAAGTAAAATAATTAAATTTCGAATTGATGTGTGGATAATAGATAACCTGTCATACGAGTATCACATCGTCAAGAAATTGTCCCACTTTTAGACTCGTACTCATCAGCATCCACTAGCAAAGTGCAAACTACTTTTATAACCCTTGGGTGGCGCTTGTGTACGACCAAAGGAAAGCAAGGGTGAAAATCAATAACTTGGAAGGTAGGCGAGGGTTGAAGGGTGACGTCATAACTAGGCATCCGCCCACTGACACTGGCCTCAGTCCTCAAGAATCAGGACTAGGGCAACGGATTAACGTCAAAGCTCTATAATTAACAAACACTTAAAAATATATAAAAACGTATGAAATGTTATTAAAATATCTAAATAATATACATTTATAAGGATTGGACCCCGCCCCGTACCTATCGATCATGAGCTCTACCTAAAATGTACTTCTAAAAATAATTTAGATATCTCAAGGATAGATGTAAATATAATGTTATGTCGTATGCGTGTAATCATAAAAAAAGTCGCTACTGCAAGTCTGGCGCCAAAGAAATTGCTTTGGTTTATAGCCCGTTCTCAAACAGCCAATCAATAAATATTTAGTAATCTGTATTCTGATTCAAACATGAGACATGTGCACACAACACAATTATTGTAATAATATTATGATTATCACCAATCTATCAGTTATTAGTAATATATATATTTGTAAAGGCGCCCACCCGGTCTTTTGACGTATTTTTTTATTACTATTACCAGTATTACGAAAGTAGTATTAGTTATAGTTATTTAAACATATTATATTAATATGAGTTATAAAACTATGGATAATTTTAATTACACATATTTATGTTCGGTTTAAAATTGACACTTCATACTTGTGTGGAATACAGAAATAGGTACTAGTTACCTTATTCAGTGGCGTAATTTGGCAATGTTTATGTGTGGGGGGGGGGGTGTAAGAAAAAAACTGCATACATTTTACTCATCAACCCCTCCCTCCCTCAATTATTTTTTTGTATGTATACCATTGTGATACATATAACGTCAAGGGAGGGAGGATACGACACCCAAATCCCCCCGCAATTACGCCACTAACCTTATTTAATTATAGGTTTTATTGGGATATAATACTAATTCGTTTTGAATGTCGATGTACATAGGGTCGGGAACGCGATAGTGAAATATAAATAAATCACACACTCAATAATTCATTGTATGCTTATTTAATAATAGTGTCATTTTAATTTTAATTTAACTTTGTATATACTTTAGATGTATTTATGTTGTTATATATTGATTCTAGCCAAAGCCTATGTTAATACTTTTATTTAGTACTCAACAGTCAACATGCCAAAAAAAAAATGGTTTCAGGAACATTGCAATAGCATAATTTTGAACATTGACTTGATTCAGAAATAATTTATTGTTATCTAATTAAACAAGTTTAAAATCAAACTTAAAAATTCTAAAAAATATAACGATACATTTTTATATTATTTTAGTTCTAACTTTGACTAACAGCACAATATTATAAATATAGTCGAATCTATAACATTCTTTCACATATAATCATACAAGTTTGATCACTAATAAATATAGAATCCACCTGACAAATCTATTAACCCGTTTAGATTTTATCTTGTAAAATTGAAATATGTATTAGTATTTTGTAATCAAGGTTAAACTAAGTGTTAACAAACTTAAGTATTTTATTAAAAAAACTAAAGCGTCTGTGCAAACTATTTAAACATGTAAACAGTAATGTATGGTTACAAGCAATTTTAACCCATATAATATAACAAGAGTGGCCACTAACCTTAATTTTGGGAGTCGCAAATTTATAAAGCTAATTCGAAGCGAACCACATTATTAAGATATATTTCTAAAATGAAGAAATTAAAATTTACTCTAAGCTTAGTTTCAAGAGCTGCATGCGGCTCGCGAGCCTCGTTGTGGCCTGTAATATAATATATACTTAGTTAAGATATTTTAATATTCAGTTACAGACCCTCGATTATTTAATAGTTCTATAAAGATCAAATAGTATTGACATGAGTTCTTCCATACCAATTTTGAGAGAGTAGTTGAAAAAATGAATGTTTAAATTTACCTTTTTAACTAATTAGTAGTTATGTATTATATTTATACTGTAAAAAACCAGTGAGGAACAAAAATGTAAACAAATTTTTTATTTTCTGTGTATCCAAGTTTGTCTCTAGATTTTCTAGTTATTTTATAAATAGCCTCCAAAATTGTAAGCAACATTTGCATTTTATTTTTTATTTTTATCAAATGGATTTTCTTTGTTTTGTCCTTCCTGCTAAGGTGCAGGGGAAACTTAATTCTGAATGGGGAATTACAAATTAATATTCATCCACAGGCTCATTCAACTTTTTTTTTAAAGCTATTTCAAATATTATGGTTTAATTTATTTATTACAATTTTATAAAATTAATAAATATTGTGAAATGTTTTCCTACTTCCTCAGTAACCATCGGCAACATATCGGCAACCATCGGTTAACATAGCGCACATTTTTTTAAACTAGATTATTATAACTTTAAACATTTCATATTACTATTTATACTAATACAAATTATAAAAAAAAACAAAAATAATAATAGTATAAACAAATTTAAGTGTATTCTGACCTAGGTCCTAGATAAACAAACATTATTACACAAAATAAACTATATGCATAAATAATAGTGGCAATTTCTTTTTTATTTAATTTTTTACATTTTCACATGTTTAGTAAACAAATAAGTAAACCCGAGTATAATAGATATAATATTACCTTACACAATAGTTTCACAAAAAATAATAAAATACATGTGTGTTTTATCCCTAAATCTGACTTTGATTCAAGCTTAAATTGTACCTTGTACATGTTGTTTTCTTAACATCGTCAGAAATTGTTAAAATCTACCATGATTGAAAATTTGAATAATTAGACCTAATAAAATTGATAGTACATAATAAAGTAGCTAATCCATTATTCAAAAATTATGATTATTTCCGATATCATAAAAAAAAAATCAGGTTAAAAAGATTAACTGTTAACAAATTGGAAAACATTAAATAAATATTCTTACCTAAATGATTTAACTTATATATAAACATCAGAGGTATTAACATTTTTAAAATAACTCCTAAAACAACAATAATAAATCATTAAGCTCAAATATTTAAAAGAAACTGAAACTGCAAATATCTTTGATAATTAAGAAATAACAATGATAACACTGTATACTGATTACAGCAAATACTATAACACAGGACTGGAAACGACACTCATATCAATGGAACCAAAGTACAACCATTGATTATAAATATTATTGATAGCCCACCGAGACCAATTTCAGTTCTGGACGTCGTCACGGGATAGGCGGTAGTAGTGCCATTTTCATTGAAAACGATACTACTAGCGCCCGTCCCGTGTCGACGTCCAGAACTGAAATTTGTCTCGGTGGGCTATCTATATTTATAATCAAAGGTACAACGCTTGCTAGTACAAAGACGCTTTTAACGCCATCTATAGGTCAGTCAGTAATTGCATACAAAAATACTAAACAAAACAAATTTTATACAATATATTCACCATTATACATTATATTTAAAGTAACTAATTTTGCTAAATTTTTCTTCGAATTAATTTTGTTTAGGTTTTTATTTGTATGTTTGTAAACTGTCTCATCCTTGTAGTAATAGGTATAATATTTAGGAATGAACATCAGTACTTCATTCTTATGTTCATCACAAGGAAAAGTAAGTACACTGGCGTTATTGTCTAACACATCATCAAATGTGTCTTGAAAGACACTAGCCTCCGTACAATGTTTTAAAAAAAGAGTTTTCTATTGTAGTTATTAATTTATGAAAATGTTCATTTATTAATTGCCCCTGGATTTTAAATTGGTAAACGCAGCTTCGGATTTGCTTGAATAAGTCTTTCCTAAAAATATTAATTTACACTAAATCGTCAGGTAAAAAATGATTTTGACACAAAATTTGCCACTGAACTTTTGCCATTCGCCTTTGAAATGGCTTGATTTAATGCTATGGAAATATTTTTTTCCTTGGGGCATTTAAATAGAGTGCATTTTATTGTTTTGTTTAAAACACTTTTACATAAATGCACGCTACATTGGCGAGGCATTTTCGAAAATGTATAAAAATATTTAATACTAAATTTTCTCATTTTTGTCGGCCCTATTCCCGCCAATTCCGTATTATGTTAGGTTAATCCACGGATCTATTAAACTAATACCACTGACTATAATAGTTTATTTATAAACTATTGAAAACTTTTCATTTAAATTATTCGTCAATAGATGGCGCACAAGGCGCGATTGAACCGGGAAGCGTTGTACAATCGGGCCACACCCCGCACTCCGCCGGCCCGTCCGTTTCCAGTTCTGTATTATAGTCCGTGATAGCCGTCTGCGTGGATAAAACTGTAAACCTCATCAAAAAATTGGTATGAATTATGATAAAGTAATATCAATACTCACCACTTTGGTAAATTGTTCTTTTAGAAACTGGTAACTTATACATAAAATTATAAAACATGTAAACGCCGTCGTCGGTAGTGCCAGTATTATTGGATTTTAATATTCATTGGGAGTGCAATTCATATTTATATACAAGAAAAAATTATCACTACTATCCATACAAATAAACAATAACCGAGCACAACAAATACCACTGAAGAACAAATCATTATTGATTACAACTCGCTATTTAGGTAAGAGACGAAGTACCTCGGTAGTTAACACTTAACAAACAACTGGACATAGGTCTAAGACTAAGCCTTAGTGTACTTTATCCGCTTGGCACTCACTATTACTTATTCTGCTCTCAATATGTTTTTGAAGTATATCATACATATTTAATAGGTTTGCCATGATGATAAATATAGGTCATCGTATAGTAACCTTTTCTGTGAAATATATACTTTTTTTTACGTATAAACATTGGCTATTCTTCAAAAAATTGGCACTGCAAATTTAAAATTCATTGGCTTTTACACTATTTTACATTCAAAATACCATGATATATTTAAATTAGCATAGCCTTCCCCCCACCCCTTAGTAATATGTATTATACATTAAATCTATCAATTTTCCAGTACTTCCTAAGATATAAATTTTAAGATAGTTCAATTTTTTGCATCTTCTACTTGTTCGTTAATTAATCAATTCTACAATATTATTTAAGAATATATTTATTGTGTATAAAATATAAATAATTGTTATTTCAAAATTAAGGCAATGTTAACCAATTTAGTTGCAGCGTTATATAAATATAACATATTATACAGAGCATTTCAAAATGATTCATCCGATTTAAAAAAATAATATTTATTGTAAAATTTGAGTAATTACAGGTTAGGATTAGTTTATGTTAGAAATTACATTAATTTTTTATTACAATGGAAGGTGACTTTTCAGTTCATCAAAATCTTTTGAAAGGGAGGTACATAAACAGTATCTTTATAAATTATATTCCCCCCAAAGTAAAAAATCGCAGACTGTTTAGGTCTGGAAAACAGAATGGCCAAAGGCAATGTGCCTCGTTGAGAGTGCCGCAACGACCAATCCATAGCTGGTGTAGTTCATTGTTGATAAATCTGTGGACTTTTAAAAACTAATGAGGTGGTAAAAAAAAATTAGGAGCCCCTCTTTTATATGGTTGGTAGTTCGTTCACCACAAACTATGGGTTCAAGATTTATACCCTACTAAAATCAGATATATCATTTTGAAACTCCCTGTATTTCAAAATGTATGTGTTCCAAAAGTTGTTTGTTTTTTTTTAATTTGTTAAAACATTTTTTATTATTAACAGATTGCGATAGAATATTCAAGCTTCGTCTCATACATCAAAATGATAATAAATATTACCAGTGTAATATGTATGCTCTTCATTACCACCGTAACTCCAATTAGTTGGTATATGCAACCAAACACACAAAAATGTTTGCGTGAAGAACTTAGACAAAATGTATTGGTGAAAGGTGACTATGATGTTCGCCCTATTGAAGGACAACATATGGATTATATTGTCCGTGATTCTAAAGGTCATATTTTAGCCAATAAGCAAGATATAACAAAAGGAAAATTTACATTTAGCACAGAGAACTATGATATGTTTGAAATTTGTTTCACTTCACGTGTACCAGGTTATCAAAGAGGTGTTTTACATGAGGTTTTATTAGACATTAAAACTGGAGTAGAAGCTAAAGTATATGAAGGACTAGGGGAAGTTGCTAAATTGAAGCCATTGGAGTTAGATCTGAAGATGTTAGAAGATTTGTCATCATCTATTGTTAATGACTTTTCAGACATGAAACAACGTGTTGAAGACATGAGAAATACAAATGAATCAACTAGTATAAGATTACGATGGTTTAGTGTATTTAGTATTTGCTGTTTATTTGGACTGAGTGTCTGGCAAATTCTATATTTAAGAAGATACTTTAAGGCTAAAAAACTTATTGAGTAAGCATTTTTTAGATGTCTGTTATGTACTACCGTTTTATTGATTATGAAGAATAAAAACTGATTAATTTCACTAAAATACATTTTTTCACAGAAACGTTTTTATATTTTATAAAAACATTTCTTTAAAATACATTTTTTAATTCCATTTATTCAAAATATTCATGAATTTGAAAGTTCTGACTGGATGATCAAAGTCTAGCTAAGTAAGCTATGCATTTAACTTATACTCCATTAAATCTAGATTAAAAATTGTATTTTGCGTATTTTGAATTTTTTTTATATTACCCATACTTTTAAAAATATTACTGCTTATTTTAAAGTATTTTAGTTATATAGGTAAATATATAGATAAAATTATATTATATTTTTATAAAATGTTTTGCGAAAATAGTAAAACATGTATGTTTGACTGTCCATTTTATTATCCAGTTATTGGAATTATAATATGCGGTTTGCAAGCAATGGCATTACCTAAAATGTTTTATCTAAATAAACACTAGCTGTTGTATAAATTAAAAAGTGTTTGTTTTTCTTTTCAAAAAAATTTAATAAAATACCAATATACATTTTAATCAGTAATATGTGTTCAAATAAAACAGTTTTTTAATGAAAACATAAGTTGGAAGTACATATTTTGGTAGTGTTTATTAGCACATAAATGGATGCACCTGGCACCAATGCAAAATTTGGTCGTTTTTAGTGCTAATTAGATAGCTAATCTATATTTCTTACAATTGTGTAATTGTATTTTCGTTTTGAGAGTATAATCTACTTACTTGCATAAATACCCATCATGTTTTAGCTAATTGTTTGTAATTGTGTTAATCAAAATACTGATTGTTAGTATACCAAAATGTATATATCTTAAATTTCATAAAATTAGTAAATTATTGAGGAACATAACTTGGCAAAATAATATCTAACTTACAGTTTACTAATGAATTATTTAAATTTAAAGAAACCAAAAAAAAATTAATTTCCAATTTATATATTATTATATTAATTTTGAAAAACAAAAAACATTTCTTGCTATATTATAACGAAAAAATGCATTTTAAAACATTCCTCTTTGCTGCTTATTTCTTGCTGCATTTCTTCTATTATGATTTCCTTGAAATGCTTTATTTTCACCTTTTCTTTGTCTATCTAGTTCTGTTTGTGAACCTGAAGTGCTAGAAATAAATATTTTTGGTTTACCTATAAAATAGAAATTATTAATTAAGTTTTAAATAAAAACATTTAGTTAGATTATAAAACAGTTATTTACTTCGGTTTGACTTGTTGTTTTGCCTAGCTACATATTTTCTAGCTTGTCGTTCACGGACAACTTCAGGGTTCTCGCAAAATGGTTGAAAATTTAATTTTGGTTCTTGTGAATTTTCATCTGATGAATATTCTTCTATACATTCATTTAGTGGTTTTTTTTGTATTAAAACTCTAGGTGTAACATCCTGTCTACGTTTTTCGTTTTCATCTGCTGGTTCTGGTATAATATATTCAACTTCATCATATGTGTCATCATATTCATCATCATAGTATGATTCTAATTCAGCACTGGTAACTTCAGTAAAATTGTACTGTTCATAAAATGGTCGCATTTCATTACGAAACGATTTGTCATCCAATACTGCTTTAAGTTTTTTTAACTTTTTATTTCTAAAAATGGAAAGATAAATATTTCACTAATATACATGTTTATAAATATTATTAATATATTAATACAACTTTTTGACTTACAATAATGGTGGTTTATCACTAATTATGGAATTTTCTTCAAGGGACAAACTTGCAAGAGAAAAATCATACTGAGTAAGTTCTAGTGGTAAGCTATTTTCTAAAACCATACTAATCACTTTTTCTGAATCCATATCATAATATTCCAAACATAACTAATAAAAACAAAATAATTGTTAAAAACTAAAAAAAAAAAGAGTATAAAAACAAAAATAATTCACTAGCCTGTATAAATCCATTGCCTAAATGTGGTAATAAGTCTTTAACATCACTTATAAGTGATTGAAGTTTTGCATTTTCCAAGTTGTTATTACTGTTTAACTGCTAAACCACCAAAAATACATAAATAGATGTAGAAAATAAAATAATTATTAATTTACCTCCAATTGGTCATCAGGCAACTGTTCACATTCAATACTTGTTTCACTAGTCAAAGCTAAAGATTTCTGTAAATAATCATACCTTGTTGTATCCCTAAATAAAACAGACATCAAATTTTCACTTTAATGACAATTTTAAGTAAACAGGATGTTCAGAATTTCATGTAACACTTAATTTTTAGGTGATGTACTAAAATTTTGAAACAATAACACATATTTTTTATCAAACAATAATTTAATTATATGTATTTCTTCCCAGTCAGAATTCATATTTAGGAGGCGGAGGCATACAACTTTTGAAACATATATTATGTATACATTTTATTCGGTTTTCTTCTTCTTCTTCGGTTTTTCAGAGGCCATTGAGGCCCATTACCGCAACACAAATTAGCTTCCACCTGTCTCTATCCTGTGCTACTGCTTCCATATCTTGTATTCCAATTTCTTTTAAAGTCTTTTTTACTTTGTCTATCCATCTTTGCTTTGGTCTGCCTAGTGGCCTTTTCCCAAGGGGTTTCCATTTTAATACCGCTTTCATTAGGCTATTTGACCTCCATACGTGGCCAGCCCATGCGATTCTTCTATATTATAATATTTATTCGGTTTTAATTAGGAATAATTTGCTGAAACTTTTGACTGGTTAATAACCATTTTTAAATCATTACTTTTAAAATTATTAGTTAAAAATTTGGGACAGAAGAAAAGGTGGAGTGTAGTATTTTTTTCGATCTGTGTACATTACAAAACTGCACTCCACCTCTCATCCTGTATTTTGAACTCTAATAATTATAAAAGTAATGACTCAAAACTGGTTATCGATCAGTCAACATTTACAGCAAATTACTCTTAATTTAATAAAACAAATTAATTGTATACATTATCATTTAATTTCAAAAGTTACCTCCTCTCCCCCTCCTTAAATCTAACTTCTGACTGATAAAAATACAAAATCTTTAATTTATTATTGTTTGACAAAAATTTAAAATATTTTACATAATTTTTTCAAAATGTTAGTACATCATTGAAAAATGAAGTGATGGATGAAATTCTGAAACCCTGTATTATGTTAAAAATGTATAGTTTTTATTATTTTTTCTCAGGCATGAATAGAAACCAGGTTATAAGGCAATAGCTGTAACTGACGTTTTTCCCATCTTTTAGTATAGAGAAAAAATAATTTTTATTTACATAATATATATGTACTGCAATAACTTTAAACATTGATAACACATAGTAAAATAAATGTATTGATAAATTTCAACTACAAGTCTAAGCTACAGACTAACTTGTATAGCCCTATTGCCTATACAGCTTATGTCACATATTGCAAATAGCCTTTTATTAATCAGTCAACATTTTTTCAGCATAAATACACTAAAAAAAAAAAAAATTAAATAGTTATCTTACTTTTCTTTCATTATACTTTGACATTTTTTTAAGCTGTTGCCTAAATTGTATACTAGGTTGTAATCGTTTACAAACTCGTTAAAGGCTAATAGCTCTGTTATTGTTTCCAAGTATTCTTCTACCGCGGCTTTCGATTCTCTTTATATGAAAGTAATATACTTAGTATTGAAAACAATGATAATAAAATTATAATTACTTTTTGGTATTGATCTGTTCAGTTAGGCTATTTAAACATTGATGTACACATTTTACTTGTAGTAATCTTGTAGCATGAAGCTTTTCATTAAACTGTTCCAATTTGTTCATCATAATTACCCTTTTATAAATAAGAGGCTTCACATTATGATAAAATGATGCCAAACTAAATAACCAAAAAAATATTCAAATACAAAAAGATGGTTAGAGCTGTAAATTGTCAATTAGAGTACATACCACAAATGAAATTTTTCTTTATAAAATATATTACTAGCTATAGGATAGATTTCTAAAAATCCTGTGATACTATATGAAATGTCTAAAAGAAAATCTACAATATCTTGAATAATTATGAGATTGGCTTTATTCATTGCAGTTGAACTTTTACCAGTTTGATTTTGATTCGGTCTATTGTCAAATGCAAGATCTAATTCTATTTTATCTTGAAACTGACTAAAACACTATTTAAATATGATACTTTGTTATTTGTATTAATAAATTTTAATGTATAAAAATTTAAATAATACGCACTTTATTAATACATTGTATACAACTTTTCAAATTTTCATTAAATAACTTTTCATGTGAAAAAAGTTTCTTAATAATAATTTCTAATTCTTTAGTATGCAGGTGACTATAAATGACACATAAGTCAAACAGCATGGGAATATTTATTACATTTTTTTTAACAAGTAAACCACACAGGTATTTAGGAGTCAATTCCTATAAAGTAAACAAGTTTTAATAAAACATATAAATTTGAAACGAAAATGGTTTAATTAATAAATACTTCATTTTCATCAGTCAAACGTTTTAACAATAGATACGCCAAGTGTTCAATCTCGTTATACATTGATATTATATCAAAATCTTGAGAAAAATGATCACTTAGATGTGGTGGAGCAGCTTCTCGGAGAAATGTTTGAAAACCAATCATAGCGTCCTTAGTAAACTCAATAGTTATCCAGAATCTATTCAAAACATAAATAAACACCTATAAATATATACTAGAAAAAATAATTTTACTAGATCAATTAAAAAAACATATTTATATTCACTCATAGTATGGTAATTTAAGAAGAATATTAAAATCTTCAATTAAAAATTTCATCTGGTCTAACCAACACTGTTTCTGTTCAGGAATATCGGTGATCGATTTTAATGGATGAATGTATTTTATAAATCGCCTGTTCAATGCTAATTTTTTATTCTATAATATTTTAAATATACATTGCAGTAAAACATATTATTATTCTTAGTATAAGTGTTATACATGACATAATAAGTATAAATTAATAAGGTTATTGAAACCATTACTTTGACATCCATTTAAACTGGGTTTGCACCAACACCTTGTAATAATCCAAAAACCAAATATTAGAAATTATTGAATAGGATATCTGATATTACTGAAAATGTGTCATATGCATTAAAATTAAGTATTCAAAAGTAGGATGAACCATGATTGAAATATACCAAGTTTTTGCACATATACTCCTTCTTCATCAAATATTCGATGATAAAATCAAATATGTCAGCATAACGGGCAGCTAATCAAAATCAGGTATATAAAATATACGGTAAAATATATAGTAATACTGTAATAGTAAATTATATTATAGTCAAATTGATATCCCGTTAGTTGGTAGTCGGTACGCTCATGGCTTAAATATACAAGGTTACTGCATATCCCCACTTTATTATATTATCAATTCATAAAATGGCAGCGTTAGGGTACATCATTGTTTTTTTGATAAATTTGTAAATAATACCTTTATAAAACTAATTAATTTGATTGACTAACCCTTACGCTGCCATTTTATTTTTATCGTCGAAAATTTCGGTGAAGAAGGGGTAGAAATGCAATAATCTAGTATATTTAAATCATGGGTACGCTGTCGTTTTATTTCTGAAGATAACAATTCGAGACGATGTGTAATACCTAATAACACGGAATATTCTGTGCTAATAATCTGTATATTTCAACGATAGGATAAACATGACACTAAGAACATAAGAAGTCTTAATTTTTTGTACAGTGATCGATTGCTACATATAACGCAAATTGCCAATTATCAGGCAATTGAATTTCTATACTCATTACTCAGTATTCAGTTATTTTGTCATCTATGGTCTGTGGATATGACCCTGTGTACGGCGACCTCATGCGAGTCCCAATATTTTTACAGGATATTGTAATTGTCATTCGAGATGAGTGTGCCAAGTTTTAGCCTTCTATGACATCGGAAAGTGGATTAAATTAATTTTGCAAGATTTGAAAAATACCCGTACAAACGTGTTAGCGAGTTAAAGAAAAGCATGTAATAATAGTTATGTCTATGAATAAAATGTATTATTATTATTATTATTCATTATTCGGTTAAAAAAAGCCATTGCCCTTTGGAGTTTGGCAAAACTATGCGTCTCTTTAGAAAAAAAACAGTCTTTTGTCCTTCCTTTTTTTGCTATTCCGGAACGTGTGTTATTAGTATAGCAGTGTATGGTTAGGAACGGCCAAAAAGGTATTAATACAATTTACATAATATACGAATAAAAATGATGGCATGAAGAACCTAATATTTTAACATAAACTAAAAAAGGCCAGTGATGATTTTGGACACCGTTCAAATGGTTAAAAGAGCTCATTATGTAGGCAGAGGTTCATAGCTATGCAGCAACATAGTTATTAGTTCCATACACCGGCACAAATATCATAATCCATGGTACATAATAAAATAATATTTATACTATCGTGAATCGTGATTCACCAAGCGACAAGCTACAATTTACAGTATAAACTTTAACGTTTTCATTCAGATTTTCACTATTCAGTTTGCAGTATAACCCAGTATCCAGTCTATCCACCTGGACTATCACGAGTTAAGATTACAATAGATAACCGTGATCCATAGATATATATAATAAGCTAGATTGCTAACTGTACATGCCACCAATAGAGAATATTGAAGCAGCCATTTTCCGCCATCTTGGTGGGAATTAGAACCTTATCACGCGAGAATAATATATGATTATACAATCCACAGATATATATAATATTGATATAATAATATATACAGATATATATTATATATATTGATAACACACATAAATCCCACCAGAATGGCGGACCGTCGGCTTCAATTCTTGTCGAAAGTTAGCAATCTAGTTTATTATATACCTATATCTATGCCGTGATCATGATAAATGTTGTTTTGATACGGCTGAAGTTAATGATAAACGCCATTTTTTAAAAACACCGCGGCTGCCACCGCGCCGGTAATCAAGAGGTAAACCGGTGTTGCCAATGATAGTTTGTAGTTTGTCACATTATTGTGATCGTACACGGTGGTTTGTGTTCCCTAAAACAAATATAAGAAAGATAATAGGTGTACCTGCCACAATATCGATGAAATCTGTGATAATGCTCAACTATTAAGTGGTATGCAAGACTGCAATCTGCATTTATGCGCCAATATTAACATCAGTAGTATATATTGAGTAACTAATCACGATATCAAGTCTCAACCATAGTAAGTCTTCCTTACAAATAAGTACTACTAAATATAAGAAGCCCGCCAAGTGAGCTACGACTTGTGAGAGGTTCGTCGTTTTAAATTTCAGAACGAAAATAAATAAACTCTGTAGTTTTTTGGGTGTCATTTTAATGACACCATATTAATGCTAAGCCAGGTGTTGGTAACATTGCAGATTAAGGGGGGAAAGGGAAGAGAAAATACGGCAATCGGTTGTTTTCTCGTTTGTCACTGACCACCGTGTAAGGGAATTTTGTAATATTGAGAACTGATAAATTTCTCGAATGGAATATCGGTGGAATTAACGATCGCTCACTCATGATACGGGTAGGTTATAGTGGGCTTCAGGAACCGTACGAATTGTTTTGTGTATTTAGCCGTGTTAACGTTAGATAATAATATTATGTTCGTGTTGTGAATAGATTATCTGGCGGTAAAAACTTAAAAACACGTTACTCTGTCGGTTTTTGTTGATTACCCATAACATTTGTTCAGAAAAACAAAAAGTAAGTTGGAACATTTAGGTGGCAATGAGTGTTAAAATAAAATAAAATAACATGTGTTATTATAATTAGTCTAAACATTCCATACACATTTTTAAAGTTTACTTTTTTTGGATAGGGTCCTAAATACATTTTCTATTATCTCGTTACGTTGTGTACTAATTATTCTATTTTACCACATAACACAAACATAAAGAGTATAAAGTTCATTTTTTTCTAAACAATTTCGGAAATACTGTAATATTCATTTTGTTTGCTTATTTGCATGTAACAATGTCGGTTCTTATTTGTATAATATAGTTTATACGCCGTATATTATTCCATCTACTAACTCGTGTGAATACCTACTGAAAACTACATTTCACTTTTGTCAAATGTTTAGTCAGCTTTTTCTTTATTTCTCAAATTTTGTACAGAGTTGTGTTTAAATTCACCAACAGATTAATCAATTGTTTGTCATAGTTTGTTTTATATACATATTGTATGATCCACAGAACTGCTTGAATTCTAAATTTAATGCTATAATCGATTCATTTAATACAAATTATGTATTATTTGAATATCATTTAGCCCGTTTCAATGTAATTTATTAATAGCCTCTCCAAAGAGAACCAGTTTTTAATCTGTAGGTATTATGTCTGAAAAATATATCACTTAAAATAATATTTAGCATAACTCTTGATGTGAATCTAGATATTATTGATTACAAACATATATTTTAATATTTTAATTTATAGAACTATAATATTATACCCTATATTTTAAGTATAATATTTATAGTTCTTTAGTAAATAAGTGATAATTATGACAAAATATTCATTACTTTTTTCTGTTTTGGATGTACATTAAATTAATCTATAGTCTAATTATTATCAAAAAGTCTAAAATTATTTCTAGAAAAAAAAAACAATTCTGATTAAATAATAGTAATTTTTGATTTTCAGTTATTGTTCAGAAGTAGCATATCTAAAAATATCATAACCTTTATTTAGAATTATTTCGACTTAGTAAAGTTTGAATATTATGAAATATTAATAATAAAACTTTAAATATCTGAGTCGTATTTAATTTTTCTTAATTTGACAGATATGGTCTAACATTTTTCATCTTAAGTTCTATAATTCCTATTGTTATCCTGAATGTTAAATAAATTACCTAAAGGGGGGTTATTTTTAAATAGTTTAATTTTCTTATGATTTTGTAAGTTACAATTTGTATAAAGGTATTTTGAAAATTAATGTTTTTCTCATTATTTTTATAGTTATAAACTAATTGTATCAACTATGCTCAAATTTTATGGGTACTTTAACAAAAACAAAACTAAAATAATCATAAACTCTACTTAAATTTTAAGTATAGTAGGTGCAATAACTTAAAGATTTCTAAAAATAATAATAAATGGGTATTAATAAATAAGATTTTAATTTTAATACTAGAAGAACTAAACAAATAAGTGTACTATAAGTATATTAAACCCAATTATCTATCCAGTATTTTAAAATTATTCTTATTTATTCTTGATCATTTTATTAGCTACATACCGTCGCTTATACTGCAACTGTATGTATCTCAAAATTTGGTAAAATTATTTTATCTTCAAATGTCATAATTCAATTGGTTAGAACATATTTTGTTAGACTAATGGTTACACTGTAAATAATTTAAAAAATAGTACTATCTATATAAAAATCTTATGTAGTTATCATAATATAGTTTATTGCCTTCCTTGAAAACCTAAAAAATTCTAAAATACATACTGTTGCAGCATACGTGACGATATATATATATATATATAAATATATATATATATATATATATATATATATATATACTATACCATCCTCCTGCAGATTCAGTATAATTAAAGTTTGTCACTATAATCCTGACTGGTTGTTCAGTTAATGTTACTGAAATAAACGCATGAATCCGCAATCTGGTACATGGCCACAAAAATCGATGAGAACCCGATTAAACGGTACAAACCTTCCAGTCCGACACCTCAGTTGAGATAGTAAGTTGTAAATAACCTAATTTTATAATTAAAATTGTACAAAACCGATCTGGTATCTTCAGTAATTTTATATAGTTTGAGCTTTTATGCTTTAAATAAACCAATTACTGGATTGGGATTATTTGCCTGTATCTGGTATTTTTTGTTTTTTTTTTTGGTTTGTACTCCCAAGCATCATATACTATACTTTTTGCTTTTTGTTTTGTACCTATGTTGTTAACAATGTTATAAGTTTATCGGTAGATTATTTTTTAAAAATTTAATTTGGTGTATAAATATTCTGATATTTTTATTTGTCGTTTTGTTTAATTTTTAATAATCCATACTTTATTCTATGTTATAGCAGTCAAGGAAACGGCAATAGTATAATGGGTCCAGATATGGATATATCAATTGATAATAATTTAGATTCTGAAAAAATTGCCATTTTGGATGCTGGTGCTCAATATGGGAAAGTAATTGATCGGAAAGTTAGAGAACTATGTGTAGAAAGTGTTATGTTGCCATTGCAGATTTCAGCATTAACATTAAAAGAGCAAGGATATAAGTAAGTGTTAAATGCAATTTATAGTGATTTAGTTATTGTTAAGCCCTGTTAGTTGTTAAGTTTACTCTAATTAGAAACAAACCTGCTTTCAACAATTTTTGTAGATTAAAAATTAGCATAAAAAAATGTCCAGTTAGGTAATTATACCTTAAATAATGTTATTTTGTTTATGTTGTGACTGATGAAAAAATATAAGCTCATAATCTTAACATTTTGTAGAATCATACAAATATAAATAAGTGTTTTTATGAAAAATTTACATTTACAGAGCTATAATTATATCTGGAGGGCCAAATTCAGTTAATGCTGCAGATGCACCAACATATGATCCAGATATATTTCGAATTGGATTACCAGTTTTAGGTAATTTTAATACATAATCATTTAAAAAATATCTTGATTATAAACATTATATTTTATGGTTGTTTTTTTAGGAATATGTTATGGTATGCAAATGATGAATAAAGAATTTGGGGGACAGGTAGAAGCAACTATAGGTCGAGAAGATGGCATATATAATGTTGATGTTGACTCACAATGTTTACTTTTCAAGTAAGTATTGTGGTGTAATATTAATGTAGAACACTGGAGTGTTCTACATTAATATTAAACTTCAAAGCTACTACACATCAAAATTGTAAATAAATATAACAACCTAAAAATTATCCCTTACAAGAGTTTAAGGGCTATGAAATCATTATTTTCATGTAAATGTACTACCAGCAGTTGCTGCAGCCTACAATTAACTTTATATAAAGCTTAAATACTGTCTTATATTGTATAAGGAGTAATTAAGGCATTTTACACGCTTTAGTCTGGCTCACAAAAAGTAAACGTTCAAGGCCAATGGTCGGTGGCTAAATATTCTGGCAGCTAAATATTTTGACAGGTATGAAATTTTGGGTATGGTGTTCGTGTTCGGAAGACTTCAAGCTAGAAAACCGTCAAAACTTCAGCCCAAACTAAGGAATAGGAAAAAAGTTATGCATTGATTTGTGCACAATTGTCAAAATCCTATGTTAAATCCCATTAAAACTTCAACCCTTTGGGACACGTGTTAAAATTAATGTTTCAAATTTTTTTTTTTTTGGATCTTATTTTTATTGTATTTAGAAACCCTTTAGGGGGGCGTCGAGATTAAAATTCGAAAATCAACTTTTTAAAGACCACCCTAATATAAATATATATATATAAGGAAGGGCCTTAAATTTGACATTCCGTTAAATGGCAGTCATTCGGCTCCAAATACTGAATTTTTTCAGATTATTTTTATTTTATCCCTTTGTTTTGCTGCGGCTGGGTTGGGCCGAGTGACAGTATACATTTGATGTGCAACAGGGAGACCAAGGATTTGAAATAAAAGTCTGACAAAATAAGAGAAATATTTTTTTTCAGTATTTGGAGCTGAATGACGGCTATCCAACACCATATAAAATATAAGGACCACCCAAATATTTATATATATTTTATAGTCTACGACCTGTATAGGTCGGATTGGACAACTCTTTCTTTACAAGATCCTCATGGGGAGCTAATAATCCTGGGGAAGTGGGTATGGTGCGGTGGTTTCCCATTGACTTCCGCACCAGTCAATCGGGTGGGTATTTCTCTCTCCAGACGGTTATCTCGCCAGCTAGAGAAATGGCCAGCGACTTAGGTTCGAACCATGGCTAGTGCATAGAAATACTGCGGCAGTAACCCCCTCGATCACGAAACCACGACATTTCTATAATATTTATTATATAAGAATGAAACATTTTTCAGGTCTTTAGCAAAAACCCAGAGTGTTCTACTCACACACGGAGATCATGTCACAAAAGTAGCTGACACATTTAAAGTGATAGCTACATCTAACAATATGGTTGCTGCTATTGGCAATGATAGCAAAAAGTTGTATGGACTTCAATTTCATCCAGAGGTCAAATATTTTATTTTTATTTATTGAGGCGCCAATGCAGTTTGTTATTGTAACATGCCTTATGGAAAAAGTGATGACTTCTTGTAGAGTTATGGGATTTTGCTTTTTTTTTAGAGTAGGAAAACTTCATACAGTACATTATGGTTCGATTTTCAAAATTCTAATATACTTCAGTAAGAGTGAATATGACTTAATTTTAAACTTTTTTTTTCAATTTATTTTGGTAATTTAATAACACATTGAAACCCCAGTGTAAGCTGTAGTAAATCTTCCTCTTTAAAACAAAAAAAGTTATCAAGATCCAATTACTTAAGGAGAATAGAATAGGCCATTTATTGAGGGGCAAAGGATAAGCAATATTTGACAAAAATTGATCTAGTAGCCATGTTAAACATGCTGACTAAATTTAAGGTGAAAATAAACATGAAGTTTTGCTATTTGAAAAGTTATTTTGCTTAAAGTTATGGCAATAGTTTGATAAAAAATGACTTGTAGAAGTTATTTTCTGGTGATCTATTGAACAGACAACAATTATTTTTTTATTGTGATGCTTACTATTTTGTTTGGTGCTATCCTTATTGATGTGTCATTATTTTTCCCGTAAAGTAATTTGTCACTAACAAAATGGCTTTCTTATTTTAAGAACATTAGATGCAAGTGCTAAACTATTAACATTTATTAATTTTTTTTTTCAAATTTAGGTTAATTTAACCGAATCTGGGACTAAAATGTTAAAGACATTTTTATATGACATTGCTGGGCTTTCGGGGACGTTCACTATAAGAAGTCGTGAAGAAGAATGCATTAAATATATAAAAGACTATGTTGGCCTGAATAAAGTATTAGTACTGTTAAGTGGAGGTGTAGATTCAACAGTTTGTGCAGCTCTTGTATGTCGAGCATTAAATCCACAACAAGTAATAGCTGTACATATAGACAATGGGTTTATGCGCAAATATGAAAGTGAACAAGTAATGCAATCATTAACAACCATTGGGCTTGATGTCAAAGGTTTGTAACCTTCATGAAAGCAACAATTTTAAATTAATAGATGATTTAAACAAAAAAATGTAATATTTTCTTAGCTGTAAATGCTACATTTGACTTTAAGTATGGAACTACTATTCTACCCGATTTACATGTCGCAAATCGTACTAGAGTGTCTGCCCCATTGTGTCAGGTTAGCAACCCAGAAGAAAAGAGAAAAATAATCGGTGACGTTTTTGTTAAGGTACTAATTGCAGTGTGTAATGTATTATATTACAGCGATTTTATTTAAATTTTAAGTTCTAATAAGTGGTCTTCATGTATTTATGTTCTTTGTATTTATCACTTTTAGACGGCAGACAAGTTCCTGAAATCATTAAACTTATCATCCGAACATGTTATATTTGCTCAAGGCACTCTTAGACCTGACTTGATAGAATCTGCTTCCCGATTAGCCAGTAATCATGCTGATACCATAAAAACACATCACAATGACAGCAAATTAATACGAGAGTTAAGGGACAAAGGACGTGTTATCGAACCTTTACAAGATTTCCATAAAGATGAAGTAAGCTATAAATTAGTTTCAATTTGGAGTCCATTTTAATATGTAAAAAACGATTTATACTTATAGGTTAGAAGATTAGGAATGGATTTGGGTCTTAGTGAGAGTATTGTGTACAGACATCCATTTCCAGGGCCTGGCTTAGCCATTCGTGTGATATGTGGCGATGAACCTTTTATAGAAAAAGATTTTTCTGAAACTCAAGTTTTAGTTAAAATTGTTGTAGAGTACAATGACATGGTTTTAAAGGTAAGTGTGTTTTTTCTAAAAGATTATTAAAAAAATAATTTATATTTAGTTGGTTTAGTATAAGCGTTATTTAAAATAGTTTTTTATTTTATTTTGTTTCAACATCTCTGGCTACTATTGCAAAATATTTTATTTATAATTATATTGATGGTTTAAATAATATTTGGTGTGGGCACAATTATTTTTATAATTTCCACAAAAACAAAAAATGATTATCGAATTTTTATTTATATATTTATTCAAGCTTTGGAAACATAGGCTATTAGCTGTTGGTTGATTTGTGTTGTTGGTTTTTTGGGTTGGGTTTGTGTGGTAGGGACATGCATGGGTTGCCATTATAAATCCCGGGTGGTCACCCACCCAGGATCAAGCAGCAACGGACACAGCTTAACACAGTATGGTGTTCACTGCGCCACACCATGGCCCTTATTATCTAAATATTGTTGTATTAACTTTACTTTAATATAAGGGGTAAACAAAACTTATTGAACCTAATAATTAAAGTAGTTGGACATTTTTTTATATTTTACAAGTCAAAAATAGCCTTTATTTATTATTATGTTCATAAATTATATTTTAAAAATGATGCACAAATTTGAATTTACAGTAGAAATTATTATAAAGCAGAATATTTGTTGCAACCATATTTATGTAACCAACTTTGGTTAACATTAACATAAAGCATTTCTTTCATTTGTATTATCTAGTTGCTTTAGCTCTAGACAGTTGTGATATCGTGTATCATGTAGCAAGTGTCAATCTTATGTAGATACGTGTTACTTATATTATTGCAAATTGTAATTGTTAATTGTATTGTGTACTTTATCATTAGCGAAAGTGAATAAATAATCATACAATTAAATCATAATTCACTAATAAATCATATTTGTTTGTATAAGATCGTCTTCTAACTACACAGATTTTTATAGTGTATTTTTATTTTCAGAGTCATGCACTTTTAAATCGAATAGAAAATGCCACTTCAGAAAATGAACGCAATATTTTGAGAGAAATTTCATCAAAACAAAAAATGGCTGCCACATTGCTGCCAATCAAAAGTGTTGGGGTCCAAGTATGAGCTTTTTATATATATATATTATTTTCTATAAATATTATGTTAACGTTTAATGTTAAACAGGGTGATAAACGTACTTATAGTTATGTGGTAGCCATATCTTGTACAGAATCTGACCCTGTTTGGGAAGACTTAAGTTATTTAGCTAGAATAATACCTAGAGTATGCCACAATGTCAATAGAGTATGTTATGTTGCTGGTCCACCTGTAGTTTTTCAAGTATTGGACATAACAAACACATATCTAAATAGCAGTGTAATAAATTTGTTAAAAGAAGCTGATTATGTTGTAAACAAGGTAAATATGATTTAATTTGCCTATTATATTTTATAATAATACAAAAAAACAATTTATTAGGTACTAGCAGAATGTCCAATTAGCATGCGAAAAGTAAGCCAGATGCCTATAATTCTCATACCAGTTCATTTTGATCGAGATATTGCATACCGGCATCCTTCATGTCAACGTTCCATTGTCATCAGACCGTTTATCACTGAAGATTTTATGACTGGAATACCTGCTTTGCCTGGAAAACATATACCTGCTGTGGTATGTACTTCTTACTGTATAATTTACATTACAGGCAGGTATTAACATACCTGCATTATTTCCCCAGTTTTTATTTGATAGTACAAAGGCCTTTAAACTGTTGCTTCTATCTATACTGTTATATTATTTTAGCTTTGATGAGGAGCTGAAAAGATATTGGCTTTACAATAATGTGCTTTTATTAATTAAATAAAACACTAAAAACTAAAAACGTATTAACTTTGAGCTCACTTAAACTTTTTGATAAATAGTTGATTCCCTTCTAAATATGTGTGCATTATTTACATATATTGCTGCCGATATTGAGAGAAAAAATAAGAAACTAACCCTTTTCTCAAGATTGGGTATAACTTTTTTCTTTATTTTGCTTTTTTACGTATAGTAAAACATGAGGTTATAGTTAAGTAATCTTACATAATAATTTTAGAAATTGTCTGAAATTAGACTGAAGGTAAATTTAGTAACTACAATTTTTTTTTTGAAAATCTTTATTCAAACTTAGATTTTTATTATGCTAAATTAAGAGTAGTTCTCGAATTTTTTAGTTTAAAAGTTACTTTTTGTATCCCTTACAAAAGCTAGCACGTGTCATTTTTCTTACAAAAAATCAGCATGTTTAAGGTTTTTAAGAATAATAGTATTTTTAAAAATTATTTATAGTTTCAGTATTCATTGTAAATATTTATACATTTCACTATTTTCCCATAAAAAACAACACGTTTGTAGTTAGACTGTCGTGGATAAACTGTGAAATGTGTTGTTATACGTGGTACATTTCGTGGTGAAATAGTGAAATGTATAAGGGTTTTTCTGTAATTCAGATTTTATTTTAACCTTCATACTTTCTAGTTGGTACAAAAAATGATGGCTGCTGCTCAAGAAATACCCGGAATATCTCGAGTGTTGTACGACTTGACACCAAAACCTCCAGGTACTACTGAGTGGGAATAAAAAGTTGTTTATCTTTATGAAAGACCAAAGTATCCTGGTCAGAACATTTGGAACTTGCGTTTCATAATCTACCAAATACAAAAAAAAAATAGAAGTCAACGTTCATTGCTCATTGGTGATATCAACAGTTTAAGACTCGTACTACTATGTTACTACAATTCTTCTATTCTAATTCCTAAGAATAAATTACTTTACAACATTACTCTCAGATTCTTAATTAATTGAGCTATTATTTATTTGTAACAAGACAAGAGTGGTCTTGATTGTTATTTGTATACTTAGTGTAAATAATTAACATCAAGTAGATTCTTGAATATTATTATTTCATTATACTAATATAATATAAATTATATTGCTTATAATTAAATCAAGAGCCTTTTGTACAAAGTAATTCTTAGTAGAATTTATACTATATCGCCCAACACTAATTAGTTTAATATGTTATGATTAATGCATTAAATAATATATCTAAAAAAAAAAATATATATATATATATATATTTTATTTATCAACGAAGAACAGTTCTATTTCTCTTTTTGTTAAATGTTTCAAAGTTGTAATTATTGAATAAAAAACAAAACTATTCTTAAATAATATGTTCTATTTTTTTACCATACTCCTATAGTTTTATGTGCACTTCTGTATTATAAAAACACATAGTTGATTGTTGGAGAAAACGAGTAAAGAATATAGTTGTCAATGTAAAAACCAATTTAGTTTTTTACCTTATGATTAAGGCTTGGCATTATTTTTGGTTAGAATCGGCTACTACACATTTACACATTTCCAATCCTATGGACCTTCTTTGGAAACGTGGCTACCTACATTTGTTAAATTGTACTTAAAACCAACCATAGTCCAACAACTATTTATTAAATATAGTTTCTATTTGGTATTATAACTGTAGAAAAGTAGTATCTATATTAAATAGTGATCATGTTCTGTACTATTTATTATTATATATTATCTTCTGTTTTATATTATATAATATAACAAACTGTTGCGTTAAATATATTTTATAAAATGATTAATGCGGAAAAACACAAAAAAATTATTAAAATAATGTTTCTACTTTCATTTTTGCGTTGTACAGTTTTAACATAGTTTCTTGTACGTTTTTCATAATGTTAAAATAACTTTGTTTCCAAGTAATTTGTTCTTTACATTTTACTAATCTAAAAAATAAAGACAGAAAATTGTAATTATTTTATTGCATATCATTTTATAGTTATATAAATGTATAATGGGTACAATTAAGATTAATATTACCTATAGAGCTTTCTTAATAATTCATAAGCGTCTGTAGTCCGAGTATCTTTTATTAGACTACATAGATATTCAGAAACCATTATATTGTCACAGTCTTTAGGTTCGTGTTCAGTCGATACCCATTCTTCCATAAATTCTTTCATTTGATCAATATGAACTTGCTGATATAGTCTAGAACTTTCTTCAGAGATAGTAGTTACGTTTTTTTCATTGGTTTCAGTAACATGTGTTTGTTCTTGATATTTTAACTCATTTTCTAACTCCAAACGCAAATCTTCTGGTAACGCTTCTAGAAATAATGGATCTACTTGAGATTTACTTATGTTATTCAAAATATTTATTTTTGATTGTGAAACTGTTAATGATTGCACTTCACTATCTGGTTTGTAGTTTTTAGGTTGGAAAAATTCAACAATTTTTTTTGATTTGCTATTGTTACTCAATTCAGTGTTTTTCATAGCTTCACTTGGTAAGTTATGGATTGCATTTGCTTCAGTCAATTTTGGTAATCTAACTACCAAGTTAGCATCAATACCAGGGGAAGTATGATTTGGTAGGAATTTCATGTTTGATATAAAGTTTTCAATCCGACCAGATCTTTTTAATGTACGACTTTCTAAACGATTAATTTGAATTCCTATTCCACGTAATTCTGTCGGATCAATTTTTAGTTGATTCATTATTTTGACTACAGTCCTATTTAAAAAGAAAAAAAATGTACTATATCCAAACAAAAGTTAAGTAAGTTTACCTTCTATCCATTCAACACCATACACATAGATATTAAGGGCCTAAGACCTCCTCGATCCAGCTATGCGGGCTTTTTTTTTTTTTAAATAAGCATAATTTTATTCAATAAATATAATACTTACTGAAATATGATTTTAGAGTCTGATGTTAGTTTAATTAATGGACTTGATTTAGTTACATGATCACAAAACCCATGACCTAAAAATTTTGCAGATTCTTTAGGAGCTTCAGCATTACGTACCTAGAAATAAATTAACCTTTTTTTTTTAAAAAATACTAGTAATCAAAATAAAATTATTAAACATACCATTAACTTTAGTGTCACTGTTCTCCCTTTCATTTCCACATCATCTAATCGCTTCTCAACTTCTTCACATAATTGTTTAATAAAATTTTCTGATTCTTCTTGGTTTCTAAATCTAATGCCATAATTTACTTCAGCAGAGACTGATTTTGGTCGATAATCATAATTAAGCTTTCGATCATCTTCACCATGACAATACCTAAGTCACACATATATATATATATCTGTTAAGCCTGATAGCCTGTTCATTAAAGGCCTGTTATGCTGATGATGAGATATATAATATATATAAATATTAATCACACAATATCATTTTTTGCGTATTGTCAGAACAATCTTTATAAAAAGGATAATTTATGATTGCACTGACTAAAATTAAATATTATTGTCATGTTTTTTTAACATGCGTCATGACATACTTGTATAATGATTGCCCTATCTTATTTCCAAATTCTGACTGAAGTGTTTGAAGTGACAAAGCTCTCAATTGACCACAAGTGCTTATTTCTAGAGTAGAAAGCTTATGACTCAAATTCCTTCCTACACCTTATAAAAGTATTTAAAACTGGTGTAATTAAAGTAGTTAGTTTTTAATAGTTATAATATTGATAAAATACCTGGAAGGTCGGAGATGTTAATATTAGTCATAAAGTCCATATAAGCATCCGGTTCCACATATAATTGACCATCAGGTTTTGCTTTCTTGGTAGCTAACCTAGCTAGAAGACAGTTTGGACCAATGCCGGTAGAACATGGACAGTTAGTTTTTTCCTTAAAATTATATATAACTATTTTTATTATTCAAAATACAATAATCTTTTTTTTTTTTATTAAATTATATAGAGAGGTTTTCTTTATTACTGGGATGATGACTGTCTAAAGCTAAGGTCATACAAAATCAAAATGTAATTAAAAAGTGTATTATGACTTTTTGTGCCCACTACAATGTGTATATTCCCACAAAAAATGTCTTTAACGTTGCTATGTATCAACGGAGCACAGAACATGGCTTTTACACATAGACAAAATTGTAAGAGTTAAAAATTATACCCTGAAGCTTATGCAAATTAACCTGAAAATAAATTTACTAAAACCACTTTTTTCTTAAATGTTACCTGTCAAACCCCTTAAAGAAAGGAATTATCATTCCCTTCCCTTTCATAAGAGAATCTAATTTTTCCAAAACTGTGACTGAATTAGATTTTAGGTCAACAGGGAAATACAAATATAATAATAATAGGTGCAAACTAATTTATTATCTAATAGAAATTGGTGTAGTAGTTCTCATAAATAGTGGAAAATAGATACAGACGAGGCTTCACATTAATTATAAGAATATTAATAATCAAAAACATTTTATTTAAAAAAAAACCACAAATAAATAATTCAAAGAAAGGCTCCTGTCCTATTTAATTGTTAGAGTCACTATATTAGCACACTAAAGTAAGCTAACCTTTATTTCTTTACGTAGGAAAGTTGCTAGTTGAAGAGGTGAACTTTTAGTGGTTTCTAAAATTTGTGTACAGTCTAAATATAATTCATCACAGCTAACTGCTTCAACATCAAGTGTATAACTAGAAAAATAAAGATTTTGCAAAAAAAAAAAAAACACAACACAATTGGTTAAATATTAAATAGAGTGAGCAGCATTAAAGTTTAAGTTGTACATTAACTATGTATTTTATTAATATAGAAATTGTTCACTCATAAAGTATGAATAAAAGAATATATCTTAAGTTTAGAAGGTTCTTTATGGGATTAGCCCTTTTTTGAATTGCCAGAAATAACATAAATTAATGGTTCAGTTCAAATACAGATGAGAACTTTAAAAGTTAATTTATGACTTTGAAGGATTAAATGGGAAGTTAAAAAACAATTTTATGTGCTTATGATGTGGGGTGTCAATTGAAAGCTCGTTGAAAAATGAATTAAGAAATGTATATTAAGGTGGTCCTTAAAAAGTAAAATTTACAGTTTTCAGTAGAGTTTTAAAGTAAAGTTTTCAAATTTTAACCTCGGCACTTCCTAAAAAGTTTCTTAATACAATAAAAATTCGAAAATATTAATTTTAACAAGGCCTTACAAGGGTTAAAGTTTAAATGTGATATAACATAGAATTTCGACACTTGTGCACAAATCAGTGCATAACTTTTTTCCTACTCCTTAGTTAAGTTTTGATGGTTTTGTAGCTTAGAGTCTGCTGAATACGTACACTATACCCAAAAGTTCACACTTGTCAAAGTTACTGGAAAAAAGTGATTTTTGGTAAATTAAGTACAAAATTATCAAAAAAAAAAGTATTTTACGGCAACTGAATAGTCGAAACCATTATTGCCTTGAAGATGGACCCTGCAAAGAGTCCGAAACGTCTGTATATAACTAGTAATATGGATACATCCAAAACTCTTTCAAATAATATATCAATCCACGAAAGCTTTAACGCATTTATAAAAATAAGTACCAAAAAACACTTTAAAAAATTAATATTTTCCGACATTTTTTTTATCGTACTTTTATTGTATTTAGGAACTTTTTAGGGGACGTCAAGGTTGAAATTCGAATACCAACTTTTTAAGGACCACCCTAAATTGTATGTTACTCTTTTTTAAAACTTTTTTGAAATAGCGCTTAAAAACACTGAGAATAAGGTGTAGACTGAATAAAAATTATCAATATTGCATTATGATAGATATCAACTCTACTTCTGTAAATAGCTGTTACCTAAGCGTGTTAGTTAGTACAGAACTCTATTGCATAGGATAAATTTGAACTTGGCTGGTTTTTTTAGTACTTTCAAAATGTATATTATCTTTACACTATTTACATGACTTGAGGTTACTCCCACTTGGATGTCTTGACTAGTTCGCCAACATTTCGGAACACTTCATTTCGGAGCTGGCAGCGGCAAGAGGAAGCAGAGAATGCGGTGAGGGGTATGGTATATAATCTACGCCCACGGAAGCGAATCGGTCAGTCTGCAGGAGAGCGAGTTACGAGCAACATTGAACCACAGCCCTGAAGATGGAACGTGCAAGTGTTCCGAAACGTTGGCGAACCAGTCAAGACATCCAAGTGGGAGTAACCTCAAGTCATGTAAATAGTGTAAATATAATACCCCACTCAAGCTTCAATAAGTATATTGTCTTATTTTATAAAAAGAAAAGTACTATTTAAATATTATTAAAAAATACAATTTTTTGGGTCCCGCCTGGTGGCTCTTAACCGGCTCGCTCTTGGTGCATACCTATGAAAAGGTGCTCAACTTACTGCAATAATTAACAAAAAATAAAATATTTCAATATTGAATATTGTATAACTTACTCATTCATAATGTGCGTATATAGAATGTGGGCAACTTTTTTATAGTTTTCAAAATTATATGGTATCAATTTTAGTCCAGGACACATTTTTAATGCTTGACCTACTAGCATGCCATTTTTAATTCCTGCTTTTCTAGCTTCATAGCTACAACAGGCAATTTCAGCCATCGAATCAGTGTCATTTATACCATCTCTTTTAGTAGTTAATGGAAGTCTTTTTGTTTCTTCTCCTTCATTCTCATCACTATCAGTATCATTTCCTTTCCAACGTTTGCTGTACAAGTTAAATTCTGCCTCTCGGTTAACACCATATCTTTTAAAAGATGAATTTCCTTTAGCATGTGTGACGGCCACAGGCATATTATGTAATTCGGGTCTTTCTACTAGACCAACAGATACAAAAAAACAGTCCATATCTATGTGCATAATTACTCGACCATAATCTATGTTTTCTGATACAAATTCAGGTGCTTCATTGCATTCTACCCATTTTTTTAATCGTAACCTTCCAGGATATGTAGTTTGATTAAGTTTACGTGTTTCAATTACCAGTTGCTTAAATGTTGTAGCCATGGTAGATATAAGGTGTAATCTGGAATTGTTATAAAACTCTGACAAAAATGATGGTTCTGATGCATTTTTGGCACGCATTGGAAAATCTATTTTTGGTTGATCTACTTTATCAACAAAAAGTAAATAGTCTCTATAATTTCGAAGTTTCCCTTCTTTGAGGCTTTCAGATATCCATTCAGGCTTTACTATTTTATACTGTTTAAGCAATTTTAATTTTGCATTAGGTAAATTACTTGCTATAATGTGTGTGGTAAGACCGGGCCTGTGATAATGATGGTAAATACCACCATTTTCCATCATAATACATTTAAGCTCCTCGGTAGAAGGTACTGAAATACAAATAAATGCATCAGTTATAATGACATATACAACAAAATAATAAATTTACTTATTGTATTTAACGAAATATTATAATCAGGCCCATATTTACAAAAATTATAAGTTATAACGAGTTAAATAACGAAAACACTGAAATGTCTTACTTTCTGTCTACCCTACAAGCATTTAAAAAATATAATTTTATCTGAAATTTGGGCAATAAAAAAAAAAAAAAAACAAATCTTGGTTATTTTAGTATTCTAAATCCAACCAAACCTAACTGATAGGCCTACAGAGCTTGATAAAGTCCAAATCAGACTTAAATATAAATAATAGGCGTATCTAGTATTTAGTTGAAAAAACTAAGTGTCGACCCTGGCACTGAATGTGTCAATCGTTCTGTTGTCTGTTGTCATATCAGTTTACAGTTATTTCTTTAGCCAACAAAAGAGAATAAAGTCTTATCGTTATTGTTGTTGTTTCATGTTAGTGTTTTATTATTATTTATTATTCATTGGGTAACATAAGCTACTAATAAATTTTTATATTTTTGACCATTTCAACATTTTTCCACCCCTAAACCCTTTCTAATAATGCCGCTAGGGGCAATTGTCCCTCCGAGCCCTCCCTTAAATAAGGGCCTAATTATAATTTATAATAAAATAAATAGCGCTAAGAAACAGTAGGCTGTACAATAATATCAAATGTAATTTTAGTTAAATTATATAGATAATTTATTAATGCAAATAGAATAAAACCATATTTTAAATATACCTATTGTTTTATTATGAGTATACTTGATTTTTTAGCTAACTTGAAGTTGTTTTTTAAAATTTTATTCGCGGTACAATTGTTAAGAAGTAGATGTAGAAAATTTGTCATAAAATTTTATGTTGAAACCATAACTATTTAAGCATCATCCATAAAACAAACATTTTTATATTTATTTTATTTTATCAAAACAGCTTTACTCTATTGACGATGGTTTTTAGAATAAAAACAACAATTAAGAAATTGTAAGATACTAACATTATGGAATGTCAAATCCTTTGTCAATTATACTCGGTATTTGACTAATTTTGAATAAAATAAACATACATTTTTTACTTTTTTAAACAGCACCTAATACATTTTTTTCTAGGGAATATTAAAAAAAAATTCCATTAAAAACGTCTTAATAAATTTATATAGACTAAAAATCTACGCACAAGTATATCCGTTGACAAATATAGAAATTCCTTTAAATATTTGGCTCTTCACTTTGTTTTCTGAGCTAGTTGCTTTCATCATAAATTGGTCTTCTAATTTAGACTTTTTTGCTTCCATGTATCCACCCTGAAAAACAAAACATATTAATATGAAATATTTTAACAAAATGAAGTATGAATAGACTATACCCATTCTTCAAAACCATCAGATTCAGTTGTCTGTCGTTTTTTCATTTTGTAGTAAATAGTAATAAATATAGAATTCTGAAATAATCCTATATAATATAATTTTTTAATGTTAAATGATAAAAAGTAAGATGTGTGTAATGTTATTTTTTCAAAGTACTTACTCTTAAATCTATATATATATATATATTATTGAGTATAGTGTTTCTCTATGATATTTACGAGTTTAATAAAAACAAATAATTGTATTATTATTTATTATTCCATAATTGTCACTATTAACTATATTTTGATTAGTTCAATATTGTGTTATTCAGTGGACAGTGATTGTTGGCTAATGTTGACACAGACAATGTACATTCTTTTCATAATATAATGTATAGTATTAATATAATCCTAGTTCCTACCAGTTTTTTTATCACTTGGACTGACACCTGCAGTGACTAGAATTCAAAATTGCTATACATGCTGTTATCAAAAAGACATGCGGCATTGACGTACTTTTTTTGACTAATGCTAATCACTTATCAGTAGACGTATTCTTGTGTGTTTATGGTTGCTGCTCGTCAATTATTATTTCTTATTGTGAATAATAAAAAATACTTGTCTAAATTTCCAATGCCCAATGGTAGAATATTGTAAAAATCTCAGGTATAGTATATCTTTAATGTATGTTTCAATTTTTGGGTTGTATTATCGTTATATTTGTATAAAGAATACAAAACTAGTGGAGTGCAATCTTAACGTTCTAAAATTCAATTAATTAATTTAGTATGGTGTTAGGTGTAGATAATTCTGTACCGATTAGTATTATGGTTATTATCTCTATTGAAAAGGAATGAGTTTTTTTTTATAGGTGATGTTTAATTTAATGCAGTTGTTGGTACTTGGTGATTTATTATTTATATCAATTCCATTTTATCATAAAAACATTTTATCAGAATCCGTTGACCAAAACATATACTTAAGACCAGAACTTCAAAACAAGATGTAAAATGTTCATAGAAAAGTTCATACAAATTTGGGGTCATTTGGTAAAGTTTTACAGGTCGCTCAATGCCATTTAATATAAATTTTAGACATTTTACATTCATTTGTATAATTATTTAAAATTATAATTTTATGTATCTTTATGATTCTAAAACTAAAACTATTCAATATTTTCTGAATCTATGTAATTGAATTGTTAGAATCCCAAAAAGTTACTCTTTCATAATATACAAAATATTAAGCTTGAATTATGATTTCATAGCAATTTTAATCATTAAATACATGTTTTTTATTATTTCCAAAGTCAAACTTATAAAAGGATTGTATATTTTATTTTTTAATTCATAAATTTATGATATCACTGCCCCGGTAGAACAATGACATAACTGCAATAATTGAAATTTTACAGGAGAACCTAAAACCCAAATTATTTTTCACTAAAATGTTAATAATTGATGAATGCACAATTAATTATTACAGCTAATATTACAACTACAGTTACGTTGTTTTTCTACCTTATGCGTTCGCTATATCTAAACACATTGAAGCATTTAGTCTATTTTACCAAATTTTGCAGTTGTGTCATTGTTCTACCGGGGCGGCGATATGATCTATAAAAAGCTTCAAATTTTATTAATAATTTAATATTAAAAATAATTAATCAGTATTAATTGTTTGTTATATTAATTAGAGTTTGTTAATAATATTATGTTGTATACATACAGCCAAACAAAACCTTCTGTATTCCAAGGAAAATGGTTTCAACGCGATGGTCACATACAATTGTTGAACTTTTGTCTAATTTTAAGTAGTAAACTGTATACCAACTGTTCCCAAACTGTGAGGCGCAAGCACGTAACAGGGGATGCGCAAGTTAAATATTGATATTTTTATATCAAAGATAATTACTCGTACGAGAATTTGTAATTCATTTATTCATGAGAGGCACGATTTTTTTATTTTGAGGGATGCGTGAACCAAAAAAGTGTGGGAACCACTGCTGTATACAGTTTAATTGAATGAACTACGTCAATTTAACTTATTTCTGTTGATATTATATGTAATAAAACTGGTTTATGTATACTGATACATCAAGTACAGCAAGGAATGATTTGCAATTCCTGAAAGACTTGTATAGTTATGTTTACAAATTTAAGTGTTGCAAAAGCTGAAAAATAAAGTAATTTTCTCGGTATTTGTGGTATTTAGGTGAAGAAGAGTTCACAAAAAGAATTAATTTAGCAACTGTAAATATTTCTACAACAACAAGCAGTTTAAGTACACAAAATACAAAACAGCTTTTTACTGCATTAAATATAAATACAAATTTTTTGTTTAAACCACCTCAAATTTGGAGAGAAAACGAACATTATATTTTAGGATTAAATAGAATAAAACAGTTAACCGTAAAAAATGATCATGTAGAGAGAAGAATTGCACTCATGACTACTTTTAATGATTGCTTAACCTACAATGAAAAGCCAAGACGACAATACCTACTTAAAGTGGTTGAAAATCACAGAAATAAATTTCCAGATTGTTAAAAACAAATTAGGTTAGTTAAAAAAAATAATTGAACGAATGAATGTTATTAAATAGTACCTAAACAATAAAAAAAAAGTGCTTAGTATTTAGCTATTTCAATGTTATAGTAAAATGTTAAGTGTGCAAAACAGCTTTAATTTATGAAATACTATAAATTGAATACAATTTTATATCATATCAAAATTGTAAATATAATCTAGAAAAAACTGTTAAGCAAACTTATGGTTAAATATATAGTAAAGATATAAAATCTACTTAATTAATGTTTTTTTAGTTTGACTTTGGAAACAATAAAAAAACAATATTTAATATTAAAATTACTATGATACCTTATTATACGAGCATATAGTTCATATATTACTATATCAAATGAACGAGTAACCTTTTGGGATTCGAACAAAACCGTTAGATTCAGAAAATATTGAATAACTTAAGTTTTTGCTATAGGGTCGGTTATCGTGTTCTTTGCTGCTTGATCTACCAACTAATTTTTTATTGATATTAGATAATCTGGGTATCCAGCATATTTGAATACTACTTTAATTTCATTGGCATATTGTAGACATTTCTTTACTTGCAAATTTATATCATTAGCATTATACACATTTTTAATGTTGTTTATCGCTCTAAGGGAATCTGACAAAAATTGTCGTTTTTGGTATATTTTATGTAGGCTACGAGGATTGCATATGATTCTGTGGTGAAAATTAAAAATGTATTAAGGAGCTTGTACATAAGTTTACATTATTCCTAATTACCGATGCTCCTACTCTTGTCTGGCTTTTTGAGGCATTGATTTACGTTTTTTCCTCAGGATTACTATGTAACATTTGAAGGAAGAGTTGCTTATAAGTATTGTTATTAATGGAATCTTTTTTTCAATTCTGATAGATGAATAATTATGGCGTCGATTGAATGAATTCAGAGGGTGTTAGTAGGTGACATGAAGGAATGATAACATAAATCTTGAGCTTGTATCGCTTGAGTAGTGTCGTTAGTTTTTGTAAATTAGGTTTACAGTTAAATCTTGATGATGTTGTGGCTAGTTTTAACTCGTATTTGAGGGTAAGCTGCATTCTTCTGATTTTGAGAAGAGGTATCCTAGCAAGGTTAAACATACAGGGAATTGGGCTTGATCGGTATGCTCCCATCCCCATTTGTATTCTACTCATTGTGAGTAACGCTGTTTGTTCACATTATCATGGCGGAAACATATTTCTATATTATACTTTTTTAAATAGCATTATTCATATTCCAGTCTCAAACAAATTAAGTTCTGCCATTTAGCAGATGAAATATTTTTAGTTGGGTCAGTTTTGGTTTTTGATGGAAATGGACATTTGATTTTTTTTCTTTCAACGGTACCTAACTATACATATTTTATAAACTTTTTGATTCGAGTATAATCTATTGTACAAGTGGACCATTAGGAAATGAAAATCATAATATACGACGCTACCCACCCGTAATTTATCCATGAAAAATGGTTTTTCGGGGGACAAGAATGTGAGGGCGGTATTTAGAGTACCTAGCCGTGTACAATTTTTTACAATAGATAGAGAAGAATTTCATCTGCGGGGTAGCGTTATTAGCTTTTTGATAACTTGAGCACAATCAAAATTATTCATTCGTAAATATTCATTCTTTTTTCCTTTTAAGAGGACGCTACCCAGACCATTTCTAAGGAATAAAGTATAGGCAATTTTTCGAAAAATCTTAAATTAGAGTTTGAACTATAATGTACACTTATTAATACAGTAATGAGGAAACTTTGTTGATTGACATTTTTTTTTGTCAGATTATCACAATCATTTCTATAGAATAAATTACAATTGTTTTCCCATCAAAACTGCTTTGCGCGGGACAAGTATATAAGGCCAGTATTAAAAGTAAATTTACCAAATTTTCACAATGCATAGGGAACTGGGAAGAACTTTATCCATGGGATATTCATCTGGATTTCCTTGTTTGTATGGTTTTTCTTTAATAAAAAAAGTTTGACTATAGATGTTTGTGAATATGTTGTATGTTAGTCCTACTTGGGCGGTAGATTTAGTCTCAATAAAAGGACCCTATAATATAGTGGCTTTATGTTGCCTTACTAAGGTATGATTTATGTGATCTGTGATTTAGGAGACACCGTGGGTGGGATTAGACACACAAAAATAAACACATCAATGTAAAATATTTTCTTAGCTAAAAAAAAAATTAGTTAAATAATAGTCACAATAGTCAAGTAGTCAATCACATAAAATATTTAATATACTATTTTTCGTACCCATATTATCTTAAAAATTGAACTTAAAATATCTCAAAGAAATTTGGGTATATTTTTATGTGTTAACGTAATGATTGCTTTTGATTTTAGATCGAGTAAAAATATACACATCAATTTTTCAACAAAAACTTTTCGGAATGAACATTGGTAATTAAGTATTAAAAAAAAATATGTCCACATTTAGAAAGCATACACAAAATGAGGAATTTTCTAAAATGTTCGCTTTTAGCACTGAGTGGCATTTACCAGATATAAAATACATGTTCATAGAATGTCTATGGCAGATAGAAAAATTACAAGATCAAAAAAATAAATTAAACTTAGTCAAACATAAGTTAAACGAATTTGAATTAGATAAATGGCACGAGCATACAGCTAAAATGAATCCTGCAGGATTAGTCATGAATCATGTAAGAAAACATATACATCCTGATTTTTTAACTCAAGCGTGGTGTAAATTTTATGAAATATTATGTAGTTCGTCATTATTTCACCAAGATGCGTTACTTAAAGGTAATATATTTACTGTGCATCTATGTGAAGCTCCTGGAGCGTTTGTATCTGCTCTTAATCACTTCATGGCTCTTAATTACAATTCTGTGAGGTTTGACTGGCTGGCAATGACATTGAATCCTTACCACGAGTCAAACGGTCATCCTCATATTGTTAGTGATGATCGATTGATATTAAATACCATGGAGAACTGGGAATTCGGGCCAGACTACACAGGCGATATTTTTCAATCAAGATATCATGAACACCTTTACGAGACAGTATTAGAAAAATTTGGTGGTGATGTTAGTTTAGTGACGGCTGATGGAAGTATAGACTGTTCAAATGACCCAGGAGAGCAGGAGAATATTGTAATGCGTTTACATAACTACGAAATGATGGTAGCCCTGAATATTTTACAGGATAGGGGCTCATTAGTGTTAAAAATGTTTACCATGTTCGAGTGCAATACTATATGTAGAATGTATCTACTTTGCTGCCTTTTTGAATCGGTAGTTGTTAGGAAACCAGCTACGAGTAAATCTGGAAATTCAGAAGTGTATGCCGTATGTACGGGATATAAAGGGAAATCCATGGCATTACCTTTCATACGTACATTTTTCACAAATGACCACAAAAACGCTATGTTCCCCCTAAATCAAATACCTTGTGATTTCATCGATGAGTTATACAAATGTTCTAAATATTTTACCGGCTTACAAATTACAACAATTGAAAACAATATTAAATCATGGAATAGGAAAGATGATGGTTATTGTGAAATGAATGCTGTCCAGTGGCTCACGTGTCAAGAGTTTATTACCAGATATAAACTGAAGGCAATTCGGTGGGATCAAGAGTTGATCTCATCAGGTAATTGGTCAAAAGTCATAACTAAATCAAAAAAGATCAGTCTATCATATGCAGAAAAAATACGACGGCGTAATTTGAACCTACGAGAAGAAGCTGCATTATTATATCAAGAAATCATAAGCCGAGATGACTGGAGTAGGGGTAGATGCAAGGACATTTTATGGGGACGGCGCGACCAGATAAGCTTAAATATTTCAGATGTTCGATTCCGTATGGGAAAGCCGGTGACAGAGGTTCGAGGCTCGAAGTTTTGCAACGAATTATTACTTCAACATAGATATAAGATTACAACAACATTTCCCTGGGTTAGTAATGAAAATAACACCGAATCTCGGAGCTTGTATTTTAAAACTAAACTTAACTATTACCAGTCAAAACTTACTATTTGTGACTTAACAGACATATGCACCGAAAATCGCAATGATAACGTTGTACAACAATTTAAATGTTTGAACGTCATTATCGATACATTGCGACAAACTTCAGGAGATTTGTTACTTATTGGTTATCCGCTTTATACCCAAATGGCAGTGGCTTGTTTTTTCGCGATTGCGAGTATGTTTGAAATGTTTGGTATAATGAAGCCTGACAACCAATTTGGCCATGCCTTTATATTTCTAACGTTTAGAAACCACACCAAATGGCTTGACATGTTAATTAAGGCAACAGATCATGTGTTACCAAACAACGGTTCTGGATTAGCTTTGGTTTCGTGGCTACCGATCAAGTTACTTCTAAAACAAAAGGCTTATCCTGATATAGTAGCTTTAAATAATGTATGTATTATAAACGAAGTTGAACCGATTTTATCGTCTTATGTTAAAACTGAATTTTAATATCATTTTTGTTTTCAAGAAAAAAATATATGCATCTTAAAATTTTAATTTAACTTGCAACTTATTATATCATATCCTTTTTGTTTATTAATTAATAAGTAGCAATATGATGAATAACGTGTTACGTGGATTCAAAAACTGAATAAACATAACTACACTGGAGTAACGTGATAAAGTCAATATAATACTATACACTATTAAATTTTGGAAACGCCCATGTGCCGTCCGTCATCGTGAGGAGGAGATTTTTTTTGAAAAATTATGCTTAATCTTATAAAAATTAAACCTAGCTAAAGGCAATCTTAGGATATTTTGCATAATAAATTATTAAAATAGGTCCAGCAGTTAATTAGGTAAGTTGGGAAAAACGTAAATATTATGTTTCACCGAAATGTATTACTCTCTTCCTTTCATAGTTAGGTAAAAATTATTTTATGTCTAACAAACTGTATTATTTTATCTTTATTGTTAGTAATATTAATGGTCTAATAAAAAAAAACCGGTAATATAACATGAAATACAATGCGTACAAAAAGTAAATACTTAAATTACTTAATATAAATTTGACATTTCTGTAGGGCTTTTTACATACCCGAATTTCATTAATTTAAGAAAACGTACTGTAGGTAACTATATTATGAGCCAAACTCAGTATCAACTAGTACTGTATACAATTTGCAAAGTAGTCAAACAATTAAAAAAAAATAACCTCGTGACATTGAAACTGCGACTAAATTAGAATCTCTACAGTCGACACAACCGGGTTAGTCAAACATGTCTAACTAAAATCCTTTCGGATCTATTTAGGTGGCCACTCCATCTGATCGCCTGAGTCCTGACTGACTGAATAAATTGGATCGTGTGTTAGGTGGACTAGGCTTATTAGTTGCGGTCTTAAGGCGTTAGTGTATAAAGCCCAGTCCATACTAACTACTAAGTGACAGCATTTAGAAACCTACTATGTTACTTCCTAATTGCTTTTATCTTTCGATTTGAGGGATGGAGGGGATTTTTTTCCATTTTAATCCTCTCGATTACCAACTAGATTGATTGATTTATGTACTACTCACGTTATCAAAATGTTAGTTGTTTTTTAATTGTAAAAATGGTACATATTTGTGTACTGTTATCTATTATTAACTACTTATACATATTTGATATTCTCGTAGATCATGTAATCACTGAAATAAGTCGTTTTTAATACTTTGATCAACTTAGTAAAATGGTATGTACCTATTACATAACAGTCGGATCCTAATCCCCACAAATAATGTGTTACTATTAACAGGAAAATAATTATATAAATATAAGATAGGAACAAATATGTTATTATAAAGATCCAATTACAGTTTACAAAAAAAATGAATGTATGCATATTTATCTTGTTCTGTGTATCTGGAATACTTTAATAATTATTGACAGAATATAAAGCAATGTAAATCAAATTTAAAAATGTATATAATAATAATTAGTGATAACACATAGTGATAGATAGGTGCCTATCAAATAGTTAAGTATATAATATACGTGAAATCATAAAGTAAGTTAACTAAATGTATGTGAAATTGTAATTTAAAGCGAGATAAAGAATTTTTTTTTTAAAATTGCTCTGATGGGCATCAGTTTAAATCCGGTTCGTTTGTCCGCCTATTGTATTGCGCGCAAAGGCATATTGGAAATTTTCATTTCGGTACAAATTATGTAATGTATAAATAATCTCGAATATACAGTCATTGTCTACAAAATACCATCGATCAGTTACAGTTTTTTTCTTTCAACACTCAATTTATGCAGACCCTTTGTGTACAGCTAAAGAAAACAAGAAGGTACTTACATTGAACATAAAAAACAAATTTGTTTGTTTCGCTAATTTATGCAGAATCAAATTTATTTTTTATTCATTTATTGAACAATAATAACCTTCGAACTTGACATTTATTTGTAGGTACGTAATTCAATGTTGAATTACCTACGTTTGATTTTCGTTATTGTGCGCAACTAACATTTCACGTTGTTTTCAACATGTACAAAATACCGTGTACATTTTTTTACACAACTGTACATTCCCTGGGTTTTTATTATTTCTTTTACTATATTGAACAGTCAAGTTATCTTGTATTTCGGGGTCATTGTAACAAACGGAAATGGCTAGAATGAAATACATGGAATTTTCTTAGTAATATCTTGTTTGATATTTATCTATAGGTATTTTGAGTAAAACTCATTCCCGCGTTTTCTTACACAGTATAATAATAAACAAACAAAATCATTTAAATTGATTTGATACTGTTTTTTTTTTTTTTTTAAAAATATTTGGTGTATAGTATGTACTATGTACTTATACTCGAACAAAATATTACTGATTCAAGGTATTTGAATGACATTAAGATAATATAAGTCAGTCAATTAAATAAAGATAGACGATAAAGATTGTTTTACGTATTCCTAAAAAAAAAAGTGTAAACAACATACACAGGCTATAATTAAATTTAGCTTTACTGTTCATGGAGGGAGTTGTTTGTGACGTACCACGGAGCTTTGGTGACCAAGCGGAGGCATATGGACTGGAACACCTGAATTGTCCTGATGTTAGAGGTTTTTGCGGCACCCCAAAGAGCAATACCGTCAGAAGAATATGAACTTTACAATATTTATTTGTTTTATTTTTAGAGGCTGTCACACCACTTTTTATTTTTGTGTTAAACGTGTCTCAGAGTTGTAGGTACTTAAATGGGGAACAGTGCTGTTTTAGATAAATAAAAAAAATATATTTTAAGATAGACTATTATAATATTAGTATTATGATATTATAATACTATTGTTATGGAATTTTAGAATTATTAGTTTATAATTTAAAAAAATGTATAACTTCTTCTATGGGAGGTCTTACAGAGATCTTTAATTCAGAGAAAACTATTTAAGTATAGAGGATATGTTACTGCTAGTTATTGGTATTTTCTAGGGTTTTAACTGAAATTCGGTAGTTATAACTATAAAAAATAACTTAACCAAATGTTGAACTAATTCTAAAATTTCTTGAAGAAGAAAATAATATAGCGTGCTACATTTAATAAATAAAATTCTATGTTAACTTTTGGTTTTATGGATTTTGAACGGGAAGTGTTGACATTTTAAAAACGTCGGTTTCCCTAAGTATCTTTGGTGTACAATTTTATGATCCATTGGCTGTAATTTTTTTGTACAGGATATCTTCCAGGAAGTCCAGAGAAAAACATTTATATGTAGTTACTCGATTTTTAGCCACAAACGCTGTCAAGGGTAACACCGATCGCTAATGTTCTCAGGGACCTTTAGGTGTAACTAAAGGGAAAAATCTGAAAGTTGCAATTTTCTCAAAATGAATGCCGTTTCAAGTAGTGTAAATGTAGCTCTAAATGCATGATGTGACGCGCATGCATATTGATTAATTAGACTAGCACGGGTTTTTATTAACTAATTAGATCCCCGCGCCGCATAGTGGGAGGAATACGAGTTCTACCTGGCCAAAATTCATATGACCAAAAATACAACCAAATTAATGTATTTAAATTTTATGAATATATACTATATAGTATTTACTATTTAGTATATACATAATAAATTATATTTTAATGGTAGGTATACACTTATTACTATTAAGAAAAGCATAAAATATTCGTAGAATTATTAATCAAAATTATGTTAATTTATTTAATCTAGAAATTAAAAAGTATTACTTTTTTTAAATTATTTTTATTTTTAAATGAAAAACAAATTAAAAACTTATATTTGAGGAAAATTATAATTAAAACAAATTTCTTTTGCGAATTTGTCGAATCGTTCGTAGTTTATTTCAACAACTACATGAAAAAGCCGTCAAAATAACATAAAATCTATTTAATAAATTTTCGCAGTTAAAGTTTAACTAAAGTAATAGCAGACTTGGCCACAATGTGCATATCACTACTTTGACGGGCTGACTTTTTTGGGAAGGGGTCTAGAACTTAGCTCTTTTTCATTGTTAGGTTTTTGTTGGAGATACATACTACTATTGTTATTTGTTTACCTCTCCACATGTAAGTAAATATTAAAATATTAAAATAATGCTACTTTAAATTTATAATATAATTTTTAAAAATTTAATTTCAACATTTTTAGAACCTGTATTTATAAAGTTATCAGCTGTTCGCATCCAATTAAAGTATAACTTTTTTGTTTTGACTAGTTATATATTTTCTAGTTAAAATTATCATATGCTTGTACTTTATTATGTTTTCTGTGCTAGCCCAAAGATTGTGTAAAGCAACACTTTTGTTAAATGTCACTCTAGAAATTAAATCTAGAACATTTAGTGTACTTATTTATTTTGGAATAAATTAAAGACTATTTTAAAACATTTGTATTTTACACCAATTTATGCTATACAAATTAATTCGTATTAATAAAATAAACAAAAATTAATCAAATCATGTGTTGACAAGTTTTATTTTGTTTGTAATGCAAAGCTGAGAAAATATTAGTGTTACATTTTTGTCTACTAACATGATAACTATATTTCTGCTTAAATTACTCGCTGAAGTAACTACTATACACCATCTTTATCGATTAGTACTTTATTGAGGACCTAAATATCGATTGCTAAGGAATATAAGTTCATAGGACCTAGGAGATCATGTAAAATGCATTTAGTTTCTAAATAAGTAACTCAGTAATTTATTACCTACATCGAATCAAATAAAAAATATTTCGTACATACAAATACATATTATTTATTAAATGCGTAGACTCTTATGAAATGTTATGCTTTAATTCATCTTATTGAATAGCAAGTAATTTTTTTATCAGTTATAGTAAAACAACATAAATTATTATATTGAAGTAGACGATTACGAAATCTTTTCGTCATAAAATCCAACAAAAACATGAAATGTATTATTTAAGAGGTAACTGTTTACGATTTTATTATACATTTATTTTGTACGTTGTTTTTTACGGCGTAGGTTTAAGTACAGCTGGAGTCCTTGTGTACTTTAATGTAGTCCAGAATCTTATAATTTTTCCTCGGTAACTTAAGACTTAAGTTATTGTAATTTATCAATGGCTACCACACTGTCTAGTGTACCAACTATTTTTTTTAACATAGAAATGATTTTTTATACATTTTTGACAGGCTTGTACGTAGTAAGAAAAAAATTGGGCTTTATCCAATGATTTTGAATTCGTTAATATGCTTTTTATATAAATTTATGTAAAAAAATAGATGTTACACATAAGGACTGAAGTATGAAGATGTCATTTTTTTTTATTCTTACTGTATTCATTATATAGTTATAACTTGTTATTCATTTAACAGTTCAAAACATTACTTATTAAGTATGTTCAAATATTATTTTGCAATATTTATTAGTTGTGAGTATTTATTTGTTTGATCTTTTACATGAACTGCTTTAATATTTATAAGTGCTTAAAACTTTGTAAAACCATGTAAGCTGTGCATACGTACTACATACATATACATATTTTGCATTCTTATACGTACTGAAGGGGGAACCTAGTTAGTGATTTACAAAGCTAAGAAAATAGGTAAGCTACGAGTATTTTTTTTAATTTTAAATATTAAGAGGACGTCACACACCTAAAAATAAAAGCGAAATGGTCATAGAAAAACAATTTTGATACCGTTAAAAAGAGGAAAACTTTTAACTACGTTCTCTCGTCGGTATTTTTATAAAATTAAATTTTTTCTTAAATACTACATACATATTATGTACTTAAACAAGTAAAAAAATGTCAGAATTAAAGTATAAAATGTGAATATTGGGTTAAAAATAAAAAAACTGACGCGAGACACTAGATAAAGTTCTCATTGTTTTAAATTTGTATAAAAAATGTTCTACTACTATTATTTAGTCTATAGTAGAGAATATGTACATTTAATAAACATTTATTAAGGAACTAGGTATAGGCAATTTTTTTTGCAAAATCTTATATTAAATGTTACACTATGTTGTGTAGTTATTTATTATGTGAGAGATGTGTTAGTTCGGTAATTGAAACTCTTTTTTCTTGGTAGTTAATTTATTTTACGGACCATTACAGCATCCTTGTCAGCGATTAAAAAAAATGTTTTTGTGTAAATACAGCTACGCTTATTCTTTACTATTGACTAAATAATAACAATAGAACAATATGTTTTACATATTTAAAATAATGAGAACTTTATCTAATATTCCTAGATACTAGATACTATTTCTAAAAGATAAAGATGTGTCATTAAAATTTCTCCTCCAAAGTTATGATTATGACAAAAAACATTTTTATGATGAAAACGTGAATAGTAACATATAGTTCAGTATAAAATTTTATTCGTCAAGAGACCCTAACAAAGAACAAATTTTTCGTGAGATTATCTAGTCAACCTCCACGTGGTTTCTGCTAGGTAACGCTATTAGACTGGGCTTAACCTGTGGACTTATCTAGATTTGTACCAAATTACTACGTGATTCGAATTATAAATTAAGCAATTGAATATTTTGGGATTTAACTCGAGCTTTCTCTGTTATATATACTTTGGAACCCAACTCATGTACTCGATAAAATACGTTCGGACCCAATTCACGCGATTTTTGTAAATTTGGGAACCAACCCAAGGTTATCCGTTGTTGTCGTCACAGTAGTTGAAATAAAACAAAACGAATCAAAACACAACAATTCAAACTTCCTGCCTAGATATCTGGTAGGCTGCGACTGCTACAGATAGATGGCACCAGCTGTGCGCAAGCCAATTTTTGAATTGAATACAATGTGCATTTTGGATTAGGTATAAAAGGTGGAAAAGGATTGAAACAAAAATAGACTTTTTTGTAATAATTA